CTACTTGCCGTTCATAGCGGCATCAATGTCTTGGGATATTACCATGGCGTGAAACCATTTGGCTAAACAGCTGGTGCTGAATGGGGCAAAAGGAGGCGCGCACTGGCTGGCAAATTAAGCATGCGATGCGTAGCCATGTCTCTGGCCTGTCTGAGTCCCTCCCCCCCCCCCCCCCCTTCATCTCATAGGCTGCTTCTTGCTAAGCGTGTGCTACGGGGTCTCACCTTAATCTCAACGACTAGGCTTGTTGAGACCAATTTCATGTCTCAGCTATCGAGCGTGGGCTTGGACAGTGAAGTCAGAGGTCAGCGACCCGTGCCTGTTCGGTACAGGTACGAGTACGGCGCAGGCTCAGGCAGCCACGTACTCGTACCAGTGGCCTGTGTGATGCGAAAAGGGTGCTATTGCGCTGGTCTGGTCCGATATTAGCAGCTCGTTGGCGTGTGAAGCCCCCCTGTAAACACCATCCGCCTCACCATTCACCTGGCGGAAGCACTAAAAGTGTGAAAGGCATGTTGGTAAGTACAAGTATGCCCCAACGCGGCAACAGTATACGAGCTGGGTAGCCTGGCAATGCATGATAGCACCGATACTTTTTCTCCAAGGTTAGCACGCACAGCTGTTATGCGTCTCTCCCTGGTCCTGTATGACGTCGGCCAGCCTGCTAGTGTGATGTAGCACTACTACTAGCGAAGCAATGCATTAACAGGCTTTTCAACAACAGGCTCAACAAGTTTTATCTTCCTTTTGTTCTCAAATGCTACTAGCTGAGGTCACGCCCGCAGGCTAGGGCAGCAACCAAGGGAGTCTGGAAGTGAGAGAGGGCAGATAAACGAGATGCTTCGTAATTGCGCCAAAAGAAGGGTCAAGCATCGCCAAGCGAGGGCCAAGCAAGGCTGGCGCGGCCCATCTTGGCACATGTATGCTTGTATCACGTCGAGCCGTGCGGTGACAACCCATAATTATTTATCAGATTTGCAATGCATGCAAGTTTTACGCCCATTGCCTATTACGTGAAGAGGAAGGGTAATGGCTAGCCTGCTAATCACGGCGCCTACCCAGGTCCGCATCAGCGGCCTTGACAAGCTGACGACGGAGATGTACTTTGTGCTTTGGGTGAATTGATCCGTGGCGCCCGGTGTGACTGGACGCCGCTATCGGCGATTCGAGAGACGGTTGAATGAGGGGCTTGTGGTGTTCTGGGGAAAGTCCACTGATACCGACTGGAAGACATGGGTCTTTGTCGCAGTTCTGAACGGTTCTGCAAAATATCAACAGCGGATGCCTGATTTTTGCCCTGCAGGGAGAACAAAGGAGCATGACGAGATTACGAACTATTACATACAAGCAGGACGAGGTGCGCTTTTGTGGCAGATGGAGGGGCCACGGATTGTGGTGAGCGTGACTCGAGGCTTTGGAGAATCGAGACAGAAACCAAGCAACCAGGCCTCGTGGGGGTCGGACCTCAACTGGTGCAAAAAGACAGCTCCAGCCAGCCAGATGAAGGGAGCAGCACAAATTAGCACGTGCTAGCGAACAGAGGCTGCCGTGAGTTGGGGCGGGATGCGCACACCCACTTCGGGTTCTTCCAATGGAATGGCTAAATTCATGGAAGGCAGAAGCCAACTGCTATACGGGGAAGGGCGAATTGGAGAAAGGCCTGAAAGTGGCGAGGCCAAGGAAAACCAGCAGAAGAGATCATCGCTGTTCTATCGATCAACATCATCGATATCATCATCTGCCACGCTGCATCATTTGTCAGCATCTGGCTATGTCACGCTGCTGCGCCGGTGAACGCAATTACGTAGCCGCAATCTATCTCCCTACATCTCCCTGGAGCAATCTCTTCTTCACCTTTTCTACTCTGCGGCACAGGCGTGTCGCGGCTAACGATGATTAGCAAAGATGGGCTTGAGAGGGGCCATATGATGGCGGCGATGTGATCGGGGAGCCAGCTCCCGAGCAAAGGCAGCTGAGCAACACCGGCACTGGAGCTTCCGGCGGCTTGCAGGTAGGCTTGCGGTTGGGTGGTTGCGCGCAGCGTGCTTCTATTAATGTAAATCGCGGGGAGGGAGGAGATCCAAGGCAACACCACATCGATCCTTGGAAGACGATGACTGGGACTGGGGGCCAGAGCTACTGTAGGAGACTTGAGAGAAGGATTGGTGAGACATGGAGGATGTGCATGTACAAATGTGAACACAAGCACAAGGCAGGGAAGAGAGGAATTAAAGGAAAAACCGCCAAGTGCGCTAAGCATTGGATAAGAGAGAAGAAGAGAAAGAGAGGGAGAGAAAGAGAAACAAGCAGAGGCCAATGGAGGCATTCGTGCTCCCGCTGCACATTCATCACCAACCACCACGAACATACGCGAACATCCAGTACATGTCATAGGCCTACTGTAATACAGCAAGTAGTAGCGGATAGCGGGAGATTGCATCAGCCACCGAAAGCCAGGATGCACGCCCCAGGACACACGCCCCTGCGAGGGTGTAGCCCAAAGCGAGGGAGTGGCCTTGAGGGGCCGGTCATCTCTCGGCGCGAGTCCGATCACAGAGACCCAGAATTCAGTCTACAGGCACCCTAATGAGGCGCCACGGAGGGTTTCGGTGCTTAATCGAGAGAAGAAGAAAAAAGAAGCGTTTCTGCCTTCTTCTGTTTTTGTTACTAGGGCCGCTTCTTCCGCGGTGGCTTTGTGGCTGCAGGCTTAGGCCAAAGGAGTTTAGGACGGACTACTGCCGCCCACACGCTTGGCGAGAGACGGCTTTTTGTAATATGAGAGCGAGACGGAGATGGGATGTGGGATGTGGAGGCAGAGAGAAATATGTCCGATATAGAAAGTAGTGGTGGACGGTACTACTTACTGTAGCAGGTCGGTGGCATGTACGAGTAGAGCAGAGTGGGCTAGGCTAGGCCTTTGAGTAGCAGCAGAGCGCCGTGGTACATCCGGAGCTCCATGATAGTACATGAGCGTTTGCTGTGGATGTATGCACGGAGTTGGGACTGCCAGGTGAGTCGTGCTGTAGGCGGCCAGCCAGCTTGTGCCTTTTTGGGGGTTCGAGAGTCATCTGGGCCATACATATGGTATAAAGCCCTGCTCTGTTTCTCCCCGTCGATGCTGCTTTGTGTGTTGGCCCATGGACTTTTCTTCACCTTGGCCTGCCTTTCACTCTGCATCTCGTTGAACGAACAAGGCTACTTTGATACAAAGCTCAACTAACGCCCAATCGATTGCCTACTATCTATATACTTCGGTGCTTGCCTCGGGGCTTCACAGGCTTCTTGTCCCGTGTTCAAGGTTTGCCCTTCGCGGACTAGGCATCAGGATAGGCTTTCTCATTGCTATTCGCTCCTTTGCCTATCTGCTTCACGCCATCATTATCGATCAACCAGCTCAGGTACCGGCTGGCCCGTTGTTCCCAATATATCTCCGGCCCAGCAGCTGGGCGAAGCGGCGAACCACAAACCTGGAACGTCACCTCACCTTACCTCACCTCACCTTATTTCAGTCATCTCTGAGGCTCGCGGCTCGGCTTCGTATTCTCGAAACACCCAAATTTAGGAGCAATCCCATCTCGTCGGTCATCAAACACTCCTTTTCTGGTGGCCATATAACGGGCTTCTGACGTATGTTGGCTCCAACTCACACCTGATCAATCACCCGTGTTTTTGCTGTTTTATTGTGGGCTGGCTGGCGATTTTGTTGTATGAGGCGAGCCCGCTGCCCTATTATGGATCCCAGCTTATCTTTGAGCATCCTACGAAGTACTATTTAATTCATTTCATGCACAAGTGCCGACATGATGCTAACGGTATTTATCACACAGGTCTGGCAATATTTATTTATTTGTTTTCGTCTGCCTGTTGCCAGCATCGCTACTCACCCAGCCTTCAACGACTTCACCACATATTACAGCATCTCGCTCACTCTCCCTTCCCGTGCTCATCTCTCGCCTAGTGCCAGCTTATTTTCCCCGTCGAAGAAGGGCAACGATCTGCTGCTCGCACCGGATTCGACCACAAAGTGCCAGCTAGCCCCACCCCAACGCCTGTGCGACGTACCGGTACCTGTGGCCGTGCCCAGTACCTGGCTCCTCTGTCAGACTGCCCATTCCTGCTGCGACAGGCATAATCGCCCGCTACAACCGCCAAACCATCCCCCAAGCGCGCACGCCCCAACCCCGAACCGTCAAGTACCGCTACCTGCAGCTCGCAGCACCGGGCCTGTCGCCACGCGTTGTCGCTTCACTGGGTTACTCCCTGGAGCGTCGCTGACACGCCCCCCCTCAAAGAGAGCCTCCAGGGCCCTGGCCCGCTAACCTGAGCCACCCCTTCCAGCGCTCCAGCCCACTCGTCCACCCACGAGCCGGTCTCGCAGAACGCTAACACGCTATTGGACGCACACATGCTGCAGGCCATTAATTTTCCTGCGAGTGCGAGCCGCCTTCCTGGTTCGCCTCCCCCGACGTTTGCGTCAAAACACAGGCATCTGGCCGCCAACTTTGACCTTGCAACTCTCCAGATGCCTTCCGCAATATCTTTTCGAAGAGAAGGTGTGTAGCCCGGTCCATCACTTTTTCGTCACCTAGAACTCAATCCCCATCGACGGGAGTTTGTTTCCAACTTTGATACCTTTTTTTTTCTTTTTTCGGATTTGCCCACCTTCTTTAATCATCTCTTTCTTTCCTCTTTCATCCCACTATAATTTTTTTTTCCTCGCGCCTCTACTCCAGAACGTCCTGCTTACTTCCTGCCCCTCATCGCAAACAGACGCTGGCCGACGACTCGCAAAGCAATCAGCTCTCGCCAAACTGGTCATGAACAACCGGCTGTTCTCATCGCCGCCGTCACCTCATTCTATTTCTCCCACGTCGACATCGCCGACGTCCCCCGAGCTGGAGCAGCATCCCCACCAGCTGGCTGTGCTGCCGCCCCCCACCAAAGATGTCTACGGCCCTCTCCAAGCTCCCATCCCATCCATGGCCAACGCCGTGCGCATAATGAACGACCTGACAGACACTCCTCCGTACTCAAGAAGCGTCACGTCGACTGCGCCCAGCTCGCCGCGAATGTGAGTGCTTATAAATACCTTCACCCCGCATGCCCCAGCTGGTTTTTTCTTCACGGCTTGCTTCTCCTATGAATCATTCATCATCCTATCTACTATTCACTATCGCCGTATCTTATCAAGCGTCCATGCGATAACGGCAACTTACTAATTAATGTTTCGGATGGCAGTCCTCCCCAGCGACAGAACTCCGGCAGCCAAACCCCGCGAGTTCGACCCCATGCGACGACGCTTAATATTCCGGGCATGACCAGGTCCAAGGTCTCTCCCGATGGACGAATTCCCCAGCGCGACGTGGCAGCCAAGCTTGTCATTGTCATGGTCGGCTTGCCCGCCCGTGGAAAATCCTACATCACAAAAAAGCTGCAGCGCTACCTGACGTGGCAGCAGCATGAATCGCGCATCTTCAACGTGGGGAACCGACGACGTAAGACGGCCGGTCGCAAAGTCTCAATTCATCCCAAGCTGGCCCCAGAACCCGATTGTCTTGATCCTCCTGTTCAAGCCGCCGAAATACTGCTAAATGGCTTTCCGGCTCCTAGCGACGGCTTGAGCCCCCGAGACCGAGGCGAGCCTACTGAGCTTGATCTAAATCAAGCCATCGAGGAGCAGAAAGAGGCCGATCAATCGGCGCAATTCTTCGACCCCAAGAATGAAAAGGCAGCAGCCATGAGGGAGCAGGTGGCAATGGACACCTTGGACGAGTTGTTGGACTACCTCTTGAATGAGGGTGGTGCGGTTGGCATTCTTGATGCCACCAACAGCACGATTGCGCGAAGGCAGCACGTGGTTGATCACATCAAGCAGAGAGAACCCAAGCTTGGCATTTTGTTCATTGAGAGCATCTGCCATGATAAAGACCTGCTTGAGGCAAACATGCGTCTGAAGCTTTCCGGCCCGGACTACCGGGATAGGGACCCTATCAAGTCGCTGGAGGACTTCAAGGCTCGAGTGGCCGCCTATGCCAGCGCATACCAGCCCCTCGGAGACTACGAGGAAGAGCACGATATGCAGTACATTCAGGTAAGTTGACACCACAATTTTTTTTTTTTTAAGCATTGCGTTACTAACTCGTTCTTGCAGATGGTTGATGTCGGCCGAAAGTTGATTCAGCACAGACTCAAGGGATTTCTAAGTGGTGGGCTCAGCACCTACCTCTCTAGCTTTAATCTCGCCCCCCGACAGATTTGGATCACCAGACACGGCCAGAGCATTGACAATGAGCTGGGCAGATTAGGCGGTGACGCTCCTCTTACCGAGCGAGGCCACTGCTATGCCCAGGCTCTCCATCGCTTCATCACACAGAAGCGAAAGGAGTGGATCATAGAGCAGAAGAGTAAGATGGCGCAGGCGTCATTTCCCCCCCTTCCAGGCGACAACACTCCCCCTTACCCCGACATGTACAGCGATGTCGACGACAAGAACTTTTGCGTGTGGACATCAATGCTGCAACGCAGCGTAGAGACAGCCGAGTACTTTGACGTCGATGACGACTACGACGTCAAGAACTGGGAAATGCTCAACGAGCTGAACTCTGGCCAGTTCGAGGGCATGACCTACGAAGAGATTGCGAAAAAGTACCCCGAGGAGTTCAAGAAGCGTGCCAATGACAAGCTCAATTATATCTACCCGGGTGTTGGTGGCGAGGGTTACCTCCAGGTTATTAGCCGCCTTCGCGACATGGTGCGGGAGATTGAGCGCATCACAGACCACGTTTTGATCATTGGACACCGGTCTGTCTGTCGTGTCCTGATGGCCTACTTCATGGACCTGACTCGAGAGGACATTACCGATATGGATGTGCCTCTGGGTATGCTCTATTCGATCGAGCCGAAGCCTTATGGTATTGCCTTTCACGCTTACCGCTACAATGAATGGCGAGGCTGGTTTGAGGAGCTCCCCAATTACAAGCCTCAGAAGGCTGCTCGTGGCACCGTCTGAAAGCTCTATTTTTGCATTCTCCTTTTTCTCATTCTTCATCTTTCCTTTCTTATTTCTTTTTTTTTCCTTTTTTTTTTAAAAACTGTCTCTTAAGATATCCGCCGGGATAAGCAGGCCAGGCAATGCATTAGCTGTACAATATTAACGGAAGCAATTTTGGCGTTGGAATGGTACCCGCGGAAGGATCGCGAGGTTTAGGGGGAAATGGACTCATCATACTCAGGGAGAAACAGGACACACAAGCATAACATGAACGACTACAACTTTTCATTCTACAGGAAGAGGACGAGGAGAAGTAGCCGTTGATCGCAAGTGGACGCAAGTCTATTTGTGAACTGGGCACTGAAAATGCCTTATCTGTCTTTTCTCTTTCTTTTTTCGACCTTTTGTTTTTTTTATTTATTTATCCTTTTTTTAGCTGCCTACATTCATCTTAGGCAAGCTCATGGCGTTTAAGGGGAAACAAGAACGAAGGAAATGTGGCACTTTAGCCGGCTTATGGATTTGATTTTCTTTTTTCCTTTTTCTTCTGTCGGATTTTGTGTGCCGACTTTTGTTACATTTCTGCGACGAAGACTAGACGGGAAAAAAGTAACGTACTCTGTCTTTCATGTTTGTTTGTTCTTCTCTACAGAAGCAAAAAGTATTGGAAGATGTTTTTCTTCGCGTCTAGCTGTGATAGATTTAGCTTTTTACGATGTTGTCTGCGTCTTTTGAACGAAGAGATGAGATGGTATTTTCGCAGAATTGACTATTTGAAGAGAAAATTTTGATATATTGCGCCTCTCTTGCTATATATATGTATATAACGAATAATCTTTGATTCGTTAGTGACACCGGCAAATATGATACTACAAAAGTCCAGTCCATTATGTATCTCGTATAATAAACAATAACCCCTTTCAAACCCTGAACGCCGTGCCATGCAACTACCGTAAGGACCCCCTTTTTGCGTTTTGATATAAACCCTTGACAAGTAACAGTAACCACTGCCCCCATAAGACAACACACATTTTTACTTTTCTCGAGCCAGCACCATCTTTTCTCTCTCGCTCTTGCGTGCCTGGAACTGCTTGCTCGAGTGCTTCCGCTCGTTCTCCTCTCTTCGCTTGATGGACTTGAGCTCCTCGTTCTTGATCTCGCCGGCCTTCTTGATGACCTTTGGCAAGTGCCGGTGGCGCTTGATGCGGTTGATCTCGGGCATGTGTCCGAAGCGCTTGATGAGAGCGTCGTTGTACTCGAGGGCCTGGCGGTGGCGGGCCGACTTGATGCCCTGTCTCTGCGAGGCGTTTGCGCGCCAGATGCGGACGTTGCCGTCATCGGAGCCGGACAGCACGTACTTTGCGTCGGGCGTCCACTTGGCAGACATAACGCGCTGCATGCGCTTGGTGTGGTAGACGTCGCGCGAGTGGCCGCGGTCGCGCTCCCACAAGCGCACGGTGCGGTCCCACGAGGCGGTGACGAGCTCCTCGCCGGTGGGGGAGAACTCGACGTCCATGACGGCGGCGACGTGGCCCTTGAGGACGTTGCGTGCGCGGTCAATCTTGCGCATATCGAAGAGGTAGACGTTGTGGTCCTCGGAGGCGGCGGCGAAGTTGAAGGCCTCCATGGGGGACCAGGCGATGCGGTTGCAGGCAAAGGTCAGGACGGACTTGGTGACGGGCGTGGAGGTGCGCAGGTCGTAGATGACGATGGAGCGGTCGTTGGAGCAGGAGGCGAGGACGGACGTTTCGACGTAGTTGAAGGCGACGTTTGTGATTATGTCGGTCGAGGTTGGCCAGTGGAGGACCTCTGGGGCGGCGGTGTGGCGCTCGAGGTCGTAGATGGAGATTACGCTCGAGGCGGCGGCGAAGGCGTTGCGCGAGCGGTGGTGAGACAGGCTCGTGAAGGCGCCGGCTCCGAGCCATGACGAGATGGGTGCGGATTCGCTGGGCAGGTTGTACGGGTCGAACAGCTTGATGGAGCGGTCGGCGGCGCAGGTCAGCAGCTTCTGGTCGCGCGTCCACTCGAGGCCCTTGACGATGTTCTCGTGCGCCGTGGCGTGCCAGATCTCCTCGCGGGTGGCCAGGTCCCAGACCTTGACGACGCCGTCGCCGCTGCCGCTGGAGAAGCGCTCGAGCGAGTTGGGGTCCTTGGCGATGGAGTAGACGCCGTCGACGTGGCCGCGGCCCAGCTGGCCGACGAAGGGGGCGGCGTGCATGCGCTCGAGCTTGACGGCGTTGAGGGCGCGCTTGTACTCGCGGGCGCGCTCGAAGGGGTGGATGGCCGAGTCGAGGTTTCGGGGCTGCTTGACGGTGTCGGTGCCGGGGGGCTGCTGGGCCGATACGGATCGGCTGATGGCCTTGATCTTCATTGTGATTTCGTGTTTCTTCTTCTTCTTCTTCTTTTTTTATTCTAGTTTTGTATCAATTGACCTATCGAGAATTGCGTTGTCCGGCTGAGTTGATAATGGCCAATAGAAATTTGGGAGATTATCGGTTTCTACTGTTCCAACATCCCAATTGCAATCAACGTTCGTTGGTGTTTCGCGGGGAGATTTTTTTTTTTCGTTATCACAAAGGTAGCATGCGCCCGATAAGACGTGGAATTACTAATGTTCCGACCAAGCTTGCTTCTTTAATCGATATGGGTGGCGCGCCGCTGCAGGGGTTCTAGCGGTGCGTGAAGCGCATTGGAGACTTTGCTGGCTCATCTTTGCTTCACTTTCTCTCACGCACGTTCTATCAGAGTCCCGGTCTTTCTTCTAAAGCGCTGCAACACGCCCGGTTCCATATTCTTATTCATTGTTGCATGTGTTGAGAATCCGAGACAAGGACCGAATTCTTCAGCACCTCTCGCGCGCGCCGGAGTCCGGCCAGCTTTTCTTCTCCTCTTCTTCTCCAAGATGGATGCCTTGCACTATGATCCGATGGCTATGGATGGGGAGCCGGAACAGCCCCAGGTCAAGATCTCAGCGGTATGAAGAAAATGCTTCGTGGCTCAATCGCTTCATGGATTAATCTCCTGACATTTCATTTCTCTGTTGCTCGCACCTTAGGCCGATAGCACGCGCGTAGATTTCGAGCTCTCAAGAACGAACCTGCCATTCGCCAACGCCCTGCGGCGAATCATCCAGGCCGAAGTACCGACAATCGCTATCGACCTGGTAGAAATCGAGGTCAACAGCTCTGTCCTGGCCGACGAGTTCATCGCGCACCGACTGGGCCTTATTCCCCTCGACTCCAAGGGCGTCAACGAACTCAACTACTCCCGTGACTGCGACTGCGAACAGTACTGCGAGCACTGCTCCGTCAGCCTTACGCTTCACGCAAAGTGTACCAGCGACGAGATTATGAAGGTCTACGCCCGAGATTTGGTGGTGGATGGACGACATGCGGGTTCTGTTGGAAATCCCATCATCACCGACCCGGAGGGCCTGGGGTGCTTGATTGCTAAGCTGCGGAAAGGCCAAGAGCTGAAGATTACGTGCATTGCGAAAAAGGGAATTGCAAAGGAACATGCAAAGTGGATGCCTACGTCGGCCGTTGGCTTCGAGTACGACCCTCACAACAAACTACACCATCTTGACATGTGGTTTGAAAACAACACCGATCCAGAGAAGGAATGGTAAGCTTATGCTCTCTCTCTCCCTCTCTTTTCCACTCTCCGAGGAATAGTAAGTTATGGGTATCAATCTAACGGATGCTCTAGGCCAAAGAGTAAATATGCTCAGTGGGAGGAACCCCTTCAAGAGGGCGAGCCCTTCAACTACGATGCTGTGCCGAATCGATTCTACTTCGAAGTCGAAGCGTCAGGAACCATGGAGCCGGATTTGATCATCCAAGGAGGTATCCGAGTTTTGCAGCAGAAGATTGGAGGGCTATTAAAGGGTCTGGACCCAAGAAAGTACGGCGGCGACGATGCCGACATGGACGGCCCTCGGAGCCCGGATATGAACATGGACGGCGGCACTACACCTTGGCAAGATGGCGGATACACAACTCCTTACGGAAACAACACGGCGTACGGAGGGGGTAATACGGCATACGGAGGTGGTACTTCATACGGTGGCAGCGCAACCGCCTATGGAAGCGGCACGGCATACGGCGGCAGCTCGACCTCATATGGCGGCTCGGCGGCCGGGTCGGGTAGCGGCGGATACGGCTCAGGACCTTATAGCCAGGGCAGCTCTTGGCAGTAAATGGATAGGGGAGGCGTTTGATGGGATGACTGGGATATTTTTGCTTTCTCTTCTCTTTTTTTTTTGTCAACTCTCGCATAAAGCAAGGATGAGGTTTTTTTTTTTTTTTGTTCACGCTTCTGGATTGTACAATATTTGGGATCGACAGCGTTAATAGTTAGAGAGGTGAGTGCAAATCTTCTTCTCAAAAAGTTAAAGGGGAAAAAACACAAGCAGACATTCCGGGAAAAAAAAATAACATTATACAATTTGCAAATCATATTTTAAATCATCTGTTTGTCTGCCTGACTTGTCGGTCTGACTTGTTTGTTCATGCTACCAATCTATCGTTGTATCTATATGCGGAGATTATGCTAGAAATACTACTACATGAGAGAGCACCATGGCCCCTCTGCTATTGTGTTTGTATAGCTACAGTATGCGTGTCTGATGTAATGACACCTGAGAAAAAGTTACAAATATTTGCGAATCAGATAAAACAAAAGCAAAGTCGCCCAAAAGTCTAGCAAAACGCCGCCACATTCTATACAAAGTGCCATCAACACATTCCTCGAAATTTTTCCTTTTCCCCCTTTTCGGCCTCCCTTATCCAAGATACGTTTTTGTCACCTTCCGATAAGTCTATGTTGCCTTTTCGTCCACGCCTTTTACTTTTCTATAAACCTTGCGGTGCATCTCTAGAAAGACGAATGTACAGATGGTGTGTCTTATCGAGGTTTAACGTTAGCAAATCCAAACTAAAAGAGTGTGTATATGGGGGGTTTCGTCAACTTACGGGCCAAGTCGCAGGAAGCTAGGGACCCAGCCCTTGAACATCCAGCGAATGCCCTCCGCTTTGTTAATGTCTCTTATCAGATGGAGGATGCCCTGCTTATGCGACGTGGACATGACACGCGTCTTGATGACATCAATTGGACTTGTTGCCGTGGCGGCAGCCAAGCCAGCCAAGAACGAAGCTGTGAAGTGTGTCGTGAGGGTATCCCCCATGGGGGTGTAGTCCAGCAGCAGGCGCTTGAAGGTGTCGTATGTGGCCAGCTGACCGGCCGTCATGACCGCCGCGCGACAGCTATTCGGCAGCCAGCCGCGGAACCAGCTCAGGGCACCCTCCTCTCTGGCCATGCGGACCATGCCGTCCACGGCGTGCTTGTAGTTGCGGCGCTCGGCGGGCGGCAGTGCAGCGTCGTGCTGCATGCGCACGTTGATGACATCGGCGAAGTTACCGGCGATGCCGCCAACGAAGCCCGAAGCCATGGCCATGCCGATGAGCGCCGGGAAAGAAGGCTCCTTGCCGCCGTGGGAGCGGATGTAACGCTGCTTGATCTCCTCGTAGATGCCGAAGCGGGCGGTCGAGTAGGTGAGCTGGCGGAGCAGTGAGGCGGAGATGCCGCTGTAGAGGCCGAGGGGTCCATCGTTCTTGATGACGTGGGCGAAGGTGCCGCTCATGGATTTGGGGGCATCGGCTTTGCGCGTTTGTAGGCGGACCTGAGGTAGGAGTTAGAAACGACGGGGTTGTTATATTGCTATTTAAAAGACGTTCAATTCGGATGCGCCGTGCCATGATGGGAGCTTTTTTGTGCGCCAAACACCGGCGCAATCCGTATTATCATTATATCAAACACTGCGTACCTTGACTATACAACTAGGTCAGCATGGAGTTGATACGGCGCAATATAGGAGTTCAAGATGACAAGAGAGTGACAACATACTCAAGTCCAATGGATGTGTAACGCAAGCTGCCATACTACTTGCGCTTCCTCCAAACCAAAAGGGATACCGCATGGCCGGCGCCCTCTGCTTCGACTTCTTCTTCTCGCCGGCATGAAGCTGGGCCGGGGAGGCGGCTTGTGTTGCTGAGGTCATCTTGGGGCAATTCAAGTTGCGCGCAACGCCAGAGCGTTTCTGTCAAGGGGTTGCAGAGGAGACGACGACGAGGGACTACGGGGACATTCCGCTGAGGGAAGCATTCAAAAAGAAACAAAGATTTATTTATTCCCGTATCTCGACACAAGAGTTTCCCCTGTCCCGCCTTTTTGGTTTTCCCACGATATCCGAGGTTCTGGGGGAGAGAAGAGATGGGAGGACGGGGTGTGCACGGGATTTGGAGAGAGAGATGGGGAGAGAGGAAGAGATAAAGACGACGATTGTGCACCGACAGGCGAGAGACTGAAAGCGAGAGCCGTGTTGAAAGGCTATTGACGATGAGACAAGAGGAACGAGACGAATCGAAAAAAAAAGATCTGCCTCGTCGGACGTGGTTTTTGGCTTGGCTGCTGATGCTCCGTACTTCGCACATGGAAGCGCTTTATCAGCCCCGTTGATTTTTCTTATCGCGATCGGCTAATTTGCAGGTTCCGCCGGTCAACCGTCTCGGAGCGGACTGCCGCGCCGGGCCGAAAGGCGGTCAGCGCTGGCGAGCTGCGCAAATCGGCGGCACAATTACAGGGCATGCATGTGCTGCAGTAGTTGAATGGGCTGACAGCCAGTGCTGTGCTGTCTCGTAGCCCGTTCTTTGTTTATGATAGGCGAGGAGCGTTTCTGCTGCGCTATGCTTGATTACGCATGGGAGCAAGCATACATAGGCGGACAATTTTTCTTTCTTTTTTTTTTTTAAACCCCGGCTGGCACGAACTAGGTAATACCTACTACCTAATCATACACAGCATAGGCTATTAGTCGGTGAATGTGCGGCTGGCGGGGGTTCCAAGAGACCAGGACAAGACATAACAAAGTCGCATGACGGCTGTCGGACCGCCTCGCCGTTCTCCTCACCGTCCTCTTGCATCTGCTTTCTTCCTCTGGCGTTCGGCAATCTCCATTCGCTACGCGCGTTGCTGCTCCGCTGTTTTCGTAATTATGCTTGCACTGCTGTGAACTGTGAACTGGGCTCCGCATATTGCATGAATGAGTGGCTGAGCGAGCGAGGGCGTGGCACAAGACGGGCGTGAGATATAAACAAGGCACACAACGACTCTGGCCAGCGATGGCTTCAGTCGGCCTGGAACTCGTCTCTCATCCGCCGCCTCATGAATCGTCTTACGACGCGCTCCAAAGGGAGCAAGATGACGCCATCATCAGAGTCGCGGGCTACCATCGAATGGATTATGCCATGCTGACTGCCTTCGTGTCGAGCAGCGATCACTCCGTCGTGAAGTCGTCCATTTTGACGTCAGGCATCGTTCCCAGGATGGGCCTGGGTGTCTTGAATCAGCTCCCCGTAGAGCTGCTGTTTCAAACTCTGCGCCATATGGACATGCAGTCGCTCTTCAACCTCCGTCAAACCAACCTCAGGGCCCGCCAGATTGTGGATTCGCTGAAAGAGTACAAGGCTGTCGTGGCCCATGGTCTGATGGCGTACTGCGCGCTGCTGCGAATGAAGCTCGCCACGCATGTCACGCTGCTGGATTTCTACAGGGTGCTATGTACCAAGGATTGTGCCTTTTGTGGCAAGTTTGGAGGCTTTGTGTTCCTGCCTACGTGGATGCGCTGCTGCTTTGAGTGCATCGAAGAGGATCCGGAAACAAGGATGGTGAGGGTGGCCGAAGTGAGGAGGCTGTTCCGGCTCTCTCGCGCCGAGGTCAGCCAGCAGCGGTCGTTTCAGTCATTTACGGGGCTGTATACCGAGGGCCTATATTCAATGAGGAGATCCTACCAGCAACATCGAATCAAACTGGTGCCCTATTTCCCGGCCATGAAGGAGTTTGGAGACCGGCTAGAGACGGGGGCTGCTCATTCGCAAAGGCCCTTTTGGGATCCGATTCACAACTTCATGGCGTCGTGCGAGCTTCCGTATTATGATCCGCAGACCAAGGTGGTTGAGGAAGGAATCTCATGTACTGGCTGCGAGAGGACAGAAGACGGGGAGCCCATTGAATTGAATCCTCCGTTTGGATATAATGACCTGTTCGATGAGAGGCCCTGGAGTGAAGTGTTCTCGCGAGAAGGCTACTTGAAGCACTTCAAGATATGTGCGCAGGCGCAGGCGCTGTGGAAGTCCAGCCCGGAAGCTGCCCTCGAGGCCATGATCAAACGGGATACTTGCCAGTATTGAGCATTAGTTGGGTCGGGGCCCTTGGCCTGCGGCGTGTTGCGTATGAGGTTCTTACGCTTGGAGCATAGAGTGTTAAAAGGTGGAAGTATTGAAGCTGAGTCTAAAATTATAGGAGCTGATATTAAAAGTTGAGGCGTGAATGAGTTGTGATTTACAACAAGACAGCCGGGTAGACGACTGAAGGATTTACTTGAAGTAGGTAGTAGTATATGGTTGCATTTCTTGGAGTAGGGCATAACATAGTATAGCGTAGCATGCATTGGTAGTATATAGCGCCTGATTCGAGTTGACATTTTGTATGAACGTAATTCCCAAACGCATGTTACTTGAGTAATATCAATTTCTGTGTTTGAACAACAGCAAAAAATAAAATATATCAGATCCATCCATTTAAGTATTCAAGGGAAAATGGCAAAAATATAAGTTGACGAGAGTGGGACTCGAACCCACGCGGATTGCTCCACCAGGAATTGCTGTTAAGGTAGCCTTAACCTGACGCCATAACCAACTCGGCCATCTCGCCAATCCATTTGATGATGAGCCAAAGGACCGGAATGTGACTATGAAGCTCGAGCTCTAGGGTAATAATATCGCAACTTTTTTTTTCACTTCCCCACTTCGGCGCTGGATATGCGTTTAAGCGGGCATTGGTGGGATGGCATGAGCTCAGTCACTCCAAACTCATCAATGAGAGACGACCGGGTGACGGCCTTTCACGATTAATTTGGCTCCAAGCAATTTTGGGGGGTGTTCTGGCTATCTCTCAATGAGGCCGTAAGAGGGCATCTTATCTTGCAATTATCAAAATGGCATCTGCCAGAATGGGAAGCATGCGCTGCTTCCTCGGCCCCTCATTTAGAGCTCGACAGCTCTCATTGAGCTCAAAACCGTTGCGACAGGGATTTGCCTATCGCTTCTACTCTGCAGGTTAGACAAATTCCGCATAGAGCCTGTTGTTGGGTGAGAAAGAAAGACAAAAGAGAAAGGCAAAAGAATGTCCAGTCTTGATTCTAATGTGTTATTTCTATTATTGGCTTCCAGCCTCAAAAACCAAACCCGAGGATTCAGCATCAACAGTAACTATCCGTGGAGACACACACCCTACAGCAAAGCCGTGGTTCAACGTGCCGCCAAACATCGTCTCCAAGACATCTAGGCGTCTGCATCTTCAGCCTGACCATCCAGTCTACATCACCCGGCAGATTATCCAGTCCAATTTCCCCCAGCCGACATACAAGTACTACAACGAGTACAGCCCCGTGGTGACGACGAAGCAGAACTTCGATTCGCTAGGCTTTCCACCGGATCATCCAGGGCGAGCACTCACCGACACGTATTATCTCAATGAGAAGCTACTGCTGAGGACACACACCAGCGCACACCAGGCGGATACCTTTAGGGCGAATGAGAGCGATGGATATCTCGTCTCGGCGGATGTGTACCGGCGAGACGCCATCGACCGGAGCCACTACCCAATCTTCCACCAGATGGAGGGTGCCCGGTCATGGGACCGTAACAAGGTGCCCAACGGAGACATAGCAGCTGCCGTCTTGGAGGATCTTGAACGCCTTCCAAAGCACGACGTGGTAGTTGAGGATCCGAATCCTCCCATCCACCCGGAACGGAATCCATTGCAAGAGGCGCATCACTCGGCGGCAGAGGCTGAGGCATTGGGAAGGCACCTAAAGCGGTCACTTGAAAACATGGTAGTCGACATCTTCACGAGGGCAAAGGCGGCAGCGATCAAGGACGACCCGGACTTTGTGGATGAGCCCCTGAAGATGCGATGGGTGGAGGCATACTTTCCGTTTACAAGCCCATCATGGGAGTTGGAGGTTTACTACGCGGGCGACTGGCTGGAAGTTTTGGGCTGTGGTGTAGTTAAGCAGGAGATCTACATCAACGCCGGCGTGCCATCGCAAGTGGGCTGGGCTTTTGGCATCGGCATCGACCGCATCGCCATGCTACTGTTTAAGATTCCAGACATTCGGCTCTTCTGGTCCGAAGACGAGAGATTCCTGTCTCAATTCACTGGTGTCTCAGCCAACCTGGATACGCTCAAGCGCTTCGTGCCCTTCTCCAAGCACCCGCCCAGCCCCAGAGACGTGTCATTCTGGATCCGCTCGACGTCTGCGGCTGGCGGGAACGACAGGGCCATCCTCCACGAGAACGACGTAATGGAGCTGGTCCGCAGCATTGGGGGCGATGAGGTCGAGAGCGTGAACCTTATCGACGAGTTTGTTCATCCCAAGACGGGGCGGAAGAGCGTGGCGTACCGCATTGTCTACCGGCATCTCGAACGCACAATGACCGGCAAGGAGACAAATGACCTTCACGAGAAGGTGAGGAACGCCCTAGTGGAGAAGTTTGGTGTTGAGCTACGGTGAAGGGTGACAACGAAGACGGCGATGATTTGAAGAGGAGGATTTTTCAGCTTTCTCCTCATCGGTATGGGGGCTGAGTGAGGCTTGGCCAGCACGCTATCAATTAGTCTTACGTGTAGAAAAAAAAGGGGGGGCGAAGGAGGAATTTGCCGCAGCGAAAACCGCTTGGTGAAGCTTTGATGCCGGAGTAGCACTGAGGCTGAAGAAGGGAACCGTTGGGTGAGGGGAGGGGGGGCAGCCCCGGGCTGAGCTTGGCAAGCTTAATCGAGATCTCGAGACAAGCGGTATATGCGTTGGTTGTCCCGTGTCACATGAAAAACGTGTACGGTGTTAGTTATATGTCAACTCAACCAACCCTGTATTATATTAGTAGTATCACCTATTTTCTTCGACATACCCTCCATACTTTCCATCTCACTTGCCTTGATGCCGTATATGGAATCTGAATACGCGCTACGAATACGGCAATAAGGAGCATACGAGTGTTGAATACAGTCTTATTGGTGAAGAAGCATGAATTCTCCTCTACAAGTGCCCCATAGTCAACCTAGCAACCTAGACTAGGTAGTAGGGCACACTTCAGGTAATCATTGGTATTGCTGCGCCTCGCCGCTTTGACAAGCACAGATGCTGGCTGGGCTCTATTTGATGCCAGAATTCCAGCCGGACAAGGCTGGATTCGGGGCCGACGGTGACGTGGCAGGGGAGGGAAAGCTGCAGCTGCGGCAAGTTCGGCACGATTTAGTAGTGAGCCGGGGAATTTTTTTTTTGATGGTGAATTGTTGGGGATCGTTAAGCGAAATGAGGCCTTGCTGTGCATACGATGTTTTTTATGCCATCTTGGATGTCGTTGAGAGGGGAGTGAGGCTGAGCCACAGAGGCAATCCCAAATGTGGCTGGATTCAAGAAGGCACGTACGCAGGAGACCTTGTGTGGATGATGAGTCAGCTGTCTCGGTGCAGGTATGCACTGTAATGACGTTTTGTGAGGCATCCCATTGGGCTGGACAGATTGGAACGCAGCCTTTTTTAAGGTTGCCTCGTGGCTTGTTTCGGCACAACATTAATCATGGCTGCCACGACATAGACTTGGCAATGGGCATGTTCGCTCCGGATGTTGGTGAAAAAAGCTTAACGTAAGAGGCTGGGCTTGCCGGGAGCCGTCAGCGCAATGGCCCGGATGGCTGCCAGGCGACAGAGACGAGTGGGAAGCCTAATGGCATCTCATGCATCCTCATTCTAATACAGTAAGTAAGCCGCTCGCTCGCTACATGCCTATCTTGGACGATACGCCTCGATTCCCAGTAAGAAAAAAAAAAAAGAAGAAGAAGACATGGAGTCCATCGGGGGATATTGCCCCGAGATGGACACTTGATCGAATAGACTGCTGCAATTATATTAGTACATGCACAAAGGTTCCCCTCGGGAGGAGTCTCGGGCTTGGCTGGGCTTGGAATACTCAGCACGGCACGGCACAGCACAGCACAGCAAACCTAGATGCCATAAAAAAGAGAGTAACTAGGTATACGGTGTGTTATCAACGCCCAGAAGGGGGGGAAAATGACAGTCGAAGCTGGATGGCCTGGTATGACACAGCCCATGTTACGGATATCATGGCAGAGAGGGGAGTCGTACGTAAGTTGTCGACGCTGCACTGCCGCGATGTTTGATCGCCCTGGATCAAAACAAGTGGGTAGGCGGGCACGATCAGACTATGCTATGTACATACTTGAAATCTGAGCACATAATGATGAATGATGACAAAAAAAACATCAGGATTGGGTATACATCTGATTCACCTCAAGAGTTGGTTCGCAAGGAAGGTCGGGGAGCGAGTGATTGGTTTGTCCCGGGATATCCTTCGATACGTTTATGGAGTGTGACTGCTTCACTCTACCTCCAGCAAGCATCCATAGGTACTTTATCCTTTACATGTATGTACCTAAGCGCCCGGGAAGCGACGGGGGTCTGCGAGCTGAGCTTTGACGGGCAGAGGTTGTCGCCGTGACCTCCGACTATGCGTGCTGCAGCAGCAGACAGTGAATGTGAGGTAGCATCGATATGCAGGTACTTTCGCGCGTTATACTGGATGTGGCTTGACGGAGGCCGGCGGGTAGGCCATGCGACCATTCTTTCGATGCATGAGAGGGAAATCTGGAGATAAGGGATGGACGGTGGACACGTCTGAGAACAGCAGCAATCGCCAGCTTGGCATCATTGCGCAACGCCAGCAGTTCTGGCAGGTTCCAGATTTCTCAGCTGGTAGCTGGTAGAGACGCAAACAGGCGCGGAGGCTGTCGAATCTCTACCTGATTCTCGGCTGTACCGTTGCGCTGCGTCGCGAGGTCGCACAGCCTCAAAAAGGGCACTCTGCGAAGGCGGGAAGATATTTGATAGTGCAGTAGACGGTGTTCCTTTTCGGCAGCTGTACTTGGATGATTCTCGAATGGGTACCTGGCAAGTACCTGGCCACCATCCCTTTTCTGCGCACGATATGCCCCAAAGGCTGTATTTGGCAGGTATCCGACTCGAGGCGCTCTCCGCGATGCTCATGTACCCCCGCTCCCCGAGTGACATTTCCTCCAGGTGCCTACGAAGCGGCCCCAGCATTGAACAAACGCCCTGTCACGGTAATAATGGAGATTACAGTGGCTTTGATGTGTGTGTCGAGCATCTTAGCCACTGCATCATGGCATCAGGTAATCAACCACACGCAGTGCGCCCCATGGCAAAGCGGTGGCAACTCGCTTCCCTTGGGCCAGAAGGAAAATTTTAAGCGTGTTCGCTGAGAATGCGAATTTCGCCCGCAGGCATTACTCGTGGAGTGGTCTGCACTGCCCGCGCGAGTTGGTCCGCTGTTCCCTGCACCCTGGCCTGGGGCACCACCACCCACTAAAACCAGCTAGAGATCCAAGTCACCAGCCACTTGACCGGTGCGTGCGTTGCAATGCGCTGCACGGGGGACCGCAGGCGCTAAGCGTTGGGTCCGAGTCGCGGCTCCACCGGCAGCGTCTGCGCCAATCCTGTACCGCCTCAGTCCCGTGGCCAACTGTTGGTCAACCTTTCGCACTCTTTCCGCCCTCTAGCTTGGGGCGTTTTATAAGAGTCGTGACTCCTCTTCCCTTTCGCTCGCCCTCTCGCTTCATACCATACCACAAGCAATCCGACTCCAATCTTCTCCAGGAGTACAGCTCTAGCTGCTGCTACAGAAATTGCAACGCGAAACCATTGTACAACCAGCTGCAACATTGCCGGCCAGCGTTGCTATAACCAAACAAACACCACCGCCACCTCACAACCACACAGCTCGCTCTTCACAATGGAGCCCACACCTCGCCCCTCAAGATCATCTTCCACCTCTTCTCGCAACAAGGCCAATCTCAGCCTTGATCTCTCTGACCTCCCGCCGTTGATCCAACCTACTCCTCCGTCCAACACTCTGCTCTTCACCAACCTCAACAACATCGACATCTTCCTGCCAGAGAATCTGCAAGAAATCCGCGGCCTCATCGAGAAAGTCGCACCCATACACTCGTTTGCGCCACTCAAATCCTTCCGTCGCATCATCGTCTCCTTCTTCGACATCGACTCTTCATTAGCCATTCGTCAGATATGGGACGGAAAGGCCATCATGAACGAGCGCATCAGACTCTACTTTGGCCAGCCCACCCCTATTGAGATCAGACCAGAGCATCTCGAACTGCCCGACGCCGGCAAGCTCTTCTTCATCTCACCGCCTGCGAGCCCTCCCCACGGCTGGGAGATGCGTCTGGAAGATGCCCCTAACAAGCAGGTCCATGCCGATGACCTTGCTGAGGCTCTAGCGAAGCTGCACCACCGCCCAATTCCCGTCTACGACTCGCCCGTTACCCCAACCGACGGCGGCGTACCACGCTTTGGCACCCGGAGTCGCAGCTCGACTCTCATCTACAAGCCTGACGAGCAGACCAGCCCTGGAATTCCTGCCGTGTTTGTTGAGGACATGACTGACGAGCCGGTCGCCCTGAGCCCGCTTGATGTTGCTAAGCCCATCATGGCTCAAACAGCACGGCCTCCTGTCGAGCTGATGAACGACCTGTAAATAAATTCTTGGACGATGTTAATACGATGGACGAGCGGTTGCATGAAAGTCTTTTTTTCTTTTCTTTTCTTTTCTTTCTGACCTCTTCTCTCTTTTTTTTTTTTTGGAGAGCAGAAAGAGGGTTTCGGTTGGTCGGCGTTGTTAGAGATACGATGCATGATTAGATTGGTTGACCGAGATTGTGGACATTGTCTCGTGGTATCGTTCTAATTTGGGCTTGGAGTTTTGGGTTGTCTTTTTTGTTTTTGTTTCTTTTCAAGGGAGTTGGTTGATAAAACACAAAGATTCCCGGCTTTGAATAGATACATACCAATTGCTGGATAGATGGGCACAATATGAGTAGCCTTTATACACGGCTGAATGAAGCCGTAGTGAAATTGAATTCAACTATTCAAGTAGATTATTCTATTTTTTTTCTCATAAATCTTCCATGGTGATTCTTTTGTTGATTATTTGCTGATCTCTAATCCATGGCTGCTTCTAGCGTTGAGCTGTCAGACCCTGGGACCCTTTTGGCCTTGAAGATTCGCGCCATAGAAGCTGCAGCGTGGCAAGCCCCACATCAACCCCCCACCCAAATTGATTTTTCCTCTTGCATGCAGCCTTGCTCTTCGCTAGTATTGCAACTTTTTTTTTATAAGGCGATCGAGTTTGCCTTGTCTCACACGTGCTTCTCAACGATGAGTTGCTCATGTCGTATCGCCGCCTGGCGGACGTTCGCGCGGGGCCTCGCACAAATTCATCGACCAGAAACTTCTCCAGCAGCGCATTTTCAATGGCCGGCCCATCGTCGCGTGACAGTGTTTGGCCAGAGCCGCGGACTTCACTCTTCGAAATTTCATAAACAAGATGGAGCGGCCATGGCAGTAGCCACGGAGAAACATGGAGAGGTGGAGTCACAAAACACCGGCACAAGTGTGGAGGATACACATGCAGCTACGACGAAATCTCTGGACGAGACCACACTACGAGAAGATGTCGAGACGGATAAGCAGTCGGTTGAAAGAACACGGGTGAAGAAGGACAGACATAGGAATAGAAGGGCTGTTGCTGCGGACGATACAGAGTCGTCCATTATCGAGGAGCATGATTCACACGGCACGGTATCAATAGCAAGACGAGAGCGAACGGCCGAATTGACACCCATGGATTTACCGCCCACAGATTCCACAGACGCTGCTTCCACACCAAGGCGAAGAAATCAAGAACCATGGCAGCTCCAAAAAGCAGCCCTCAAAGAGAAATTCCCCGAAGGCTGGCAGCCGCGCAAACGTCTCTCGCCAGACGCCCTGGCCGGAATCCGAGCCCTCAACGCCCAATTCCCAGACATTTACACGACGGAAGCCCTCGCGGACAAGTTCCAAGTCTCGAGCGAGGCCATACGCAGAATCCTAAAGAGCCACTGGCGGCCGTCCTCGCAGGAGGAAGAGGACCGGCAGCAGCGATGGTTCCGGCGCGGCAAGCAGGTGTGGGAGCAGAAGGCCGCGCTGGGGATCAAGCCGCCGCAGAGGTGGCGCATGGAGGGCATCGCGCGAGATCCGGGCTATCACGAGTGGAGCAAGAAGGTGTCGCAGCGGGAGAAGGAGTGGGAGGAGGAGGAGAATCGAAAGTATCGGGCGTATTTGGAGAAGAAGAAGAAAAAGACGGAATTCAAGAAGGGATGGTGATAGTTATATGTGTCCTACATCATGATGGGGCTATATATACGTGTACGAAATACAGGGAGTTGGTGGGAAATGAATTAGACGACGACAGCATGGATAGAGAGACTCGACTCTGCTCTGGGTATATATCACGGCATCACTTGAAGCATGGACTTTTTTTTTTTTTTTTTTTTTTTTTTTTGCATACAGGACATTTTCTACAGCGCTATACATATTCTATCTACATCTCCAATATTGACGATTAACGAGATTAGCTACTCCATAACAAGGAGAGTCCTCAGCGAAATCTAAGCTCTCATCACCGCAAAGTGAAACAGATAACCTTCTTTGCACAGGAGGCTCAAACGCGGGTCAAAGCGTTTCACCCCAAATCTCCGCTTACCAAATCTCAAAATCTCCCCGTTTCCCGCTCTTCAATTGTGATTGAGAGGATCGCCTGGCCAATGAAATTTCAGGGCGTGCAAGGCTGATGCCCCAGGGGTATGTCGCGAAACCGCCAGGGGGAAGCGCTAAAACTGTTTCATGAAAGTGGCATCGTCACTCTAGGTGGCATGTTCTTTTTTTTGCTTCTGAGCAGAGATAAAAGTGCTTTTGGTCCCTCTTGTTTCTTTTTTTTTTTTTTCCCTTTCTCTCTTCCAGACTTGATGATACTTTCTTTCTTCTCTTTGTTTGTCTTTTCGTCGAGTAGATTTTATTTTGGGTGTTGAACTGGGGCTGCTGCTTTTTTCATGTGATACCCTCCCACTGCGGCCACTCTAGAATCGTTATCGATACCTATCCTTTTATTCCCCCCTACTGGACATTTCACTCAATCTCAACTCACTCAATCTTTCAGCGGCAACATCACCATACAAAAAAGACCAAAAGGAGCCTTCACAATGCCTCCCTCAAATTATTCTCGCCCTCCCCAGCGCGACTCCTGGTTCGCCCCGCTCTCCTTCGACCTCATCCTCAAAGTCCTCAACATCACCATCTTCCACCCCTTCATCTGCTGGCTCATCCCGCTATGCCTGCGCGCCCAGACGACCAAGTGGGAGGCGCCGCCCATGGTTGCGGCCTTTGCCTGGGCCATCTTCATCTCCCTCTGCTGGATCGCCAGCGCTGTCAACCAGTTCATTGCGCACGGCCCGTCGCGTGAGGTGGACCTGAGCGAGGAGGTGATTGTCGTGACCGGCGGCGCGAGCGGCCTGGGCATGCTGATTGCGGAGGTTTACGGCATGAGAGGCGCGAGCGTGGCCGTGCTGGACATTAACCAGATGGAGCATACTGAGGCGAGGGGCGTCACGTACTATAAGTGCGATGTGAGCGACAAGGCGCAGGTTGCCAAGGCTGCGGTCGAAATTGAGAAGGATGTGAGTGTTTATGGGGGTTTCCCCTTTCCCTCCAAGATACGCTGTAGCTGACTGAGAATACCATTGACAGCTCGGAACACCTACTGTGCTTATCAACAACGCTGCCATTGTTGTGGGAAAGCCTCTACTCGATCTCTCCATCGACGAGATTGAGACAAGCATCTCAACGAACCTCCTCGGCCCCTTTTACTGCCTCAAGACCTTCCTCCCGGCCATCATCCGCGGCGGCCGCGGCGGCACCATCGTCAACGTCTCCTCTGTCATCGGCCACCTGGGCGCCGCGCAACTGTCCGACTACGCCGCCGCAAAGGCCGGCATCACGGCTCTTCACAAGTCCCTGACGGCCGAGCTGCGCGAATCTCACCCCGACATCCGCACCGTTCTCGTCACCCCGGGTCAGCTCAGCACGCCCCTCTTCTACGGTGTGCAGACGCCCAACAGCTTCTTCGCGCCTGTGGTGGAGCCGGTGGACGTGACCAAGGAGATTGTGGCGGCGATTGACGGCGGCAAGGGCGTTACTGCGGCGATGCCCTTTTACGCGCGGTGGGTGGATGTTTATAACGTGCTGCCGGTGGGAGTGCAGCTTATTGCGAGAAAGATTGCTGGTGTGGATAAGGGAATGGAGACGTTTATCGGCAGGAAGGGATCTGCTGAGAAGAAGTAAGGAGGGTGAATGAAGTAGAAGATGGAGGATAGAGAGAAAGGGCGCGGGCGTCTTTTTCTTTTCTTTTTTCTCTCATCATCTTAAGATCATGATGAGTTGATGGATGTTTAGAGCTATAATAATGATCTACCGCTGTATAGATACTCTCTCCCCAAAATTTTAATACCATTGATCAAAACGCAAAATCCAGATGTCCTTTTTTTATGAAGGGAACAGTCTACAGGTTATTGGTGTTGTATCTTGAATTGAATTGTATGAGATGATATTCGCTAGTTGCTGTTGAAATAGAATGTCACCAATCTACAGACCAGGTCGAAAGCATTGCATTTCATATCAAACGACTGCACACTGTAAATTGCCCAGTATCTAGCTTGAGCGATGCCAAGCGACTCAATAATGAACCACCTTCGTATTGATATCGCCCTCCCAAATTACGTAGCCAAGTATCGCCGAAATGATGATCGCATCAGCACGCTTCGGGATGATCCGAGCCACATGGTGCTTGCCGTTTAGAGCAACTTCATATCCGTGCCCTGCAAGCCAGCCACGTGAAAGCAAAACGTCAAAAAAAAAAAAAAAGTTACTTTCGCTACAGAGCTTACCGGTGGGCTGACATACAGCACAGATAATAGGCAGTAGCATAGCATAGCATTGCATTCCGTCGCGGGCTTATGCGCCAAATCCGTGTTGTGAAATGAGGCACTCGCTAGCACGGCTTTTAGCGCCGCAAAGCTTCCTCTTTCATGCCAGGGGCCAGCAGGGAATCTGCACCAGCGCAGCCACCCCCGGACTGAAGCGTCTTTGGTTGGATGGATAAGAAACAGGTCCAGGCCGCTGCGATTGGGCAATCCCCTGGCTGCGGGAATATCGCAGCAGAGTCGATGACGGCGGAATAAGAGGAGCGAAAAGAGCTAGTAGTAGTGCCAAGCGCGTGGGATTTTGCAACTTATACGAGGCAGCGTGTGATTTGCCCTGGGGGCCTGGCACTTTTGGAGGCGCCATTGGGCTGGCGGAGCTTTTCAGCGTCTCTCGGCTTTGCTTTGCTGTCTCTGCTGCTGCGATGCAAGATGTCATGCTGCAGCTGGGATGAGGTCCGATACACGTCACTGAGACATGGATTCACGCAGCCCTGATGCAGATTGCATTGTGTTTTTTTTTTCTTCTTTTTTCCTTTGCTTTTTGGGGCAAGAAATAAGGGCATCGGTGCTTGACTGACTCAATCGGGTCCTTTGCCCGCCTGGTTCTTCAACGCCGAACAAATTTGCGTTCTGGCTTGGCGAGCGTAGCGCAACACGAGCAGGACATGGACTAGCAACAGGGAAATAGATTCGCATCGGCCTAGCCTCGTGACCCCCGTGGATTCACCAAAGGCTCGCCTCCACATCCTTGACGTCGAAACGGCTAGTCGCGTTTTGGCAGCCAACAAGAGAGGCAACAATGGCCAAGAAGAGAGAAGAGAGGGCAAAAGCTACTGCAAAAGAATACGATCCCGCAACAACCTTGTTTTTTCTTAGAGCGTAATAAGGCCGTCAAAATTATGGGGGCCATGGGTGCTCCCCCAGCCTGTCGTGCCGACGATGCTTTAAGCAGCGAATCTCATCGTCAAGCGTCTCGCCTTTCCTTCCTCCCATCTCTCGTTTTTGCGGAGGATCTGCTCCTCTCCTAATAATTAATATATCCTCCATCTTCCATCATCCCCCGCAGCCGCTCTTTCTTGCATCACGGAGCACGTCCGTCGTTGCTGATCAATCGCTTTTATTTGCTTCGCTCTTTCGACTGGCGGGCAGCTGTAGGAGAAGTTACCGCCTGCAAACTTCGCTCGTTGATTACCGCCCTGGTCACTTTCCTCTCACTCGCTCCCCTTTTTCGTCGCCGTGGGATATTTCTTGTGACACCGCGCCCAACTCAGTCCTCTCTCGCTTTTTTTAACTCTCTTAATCGAACAAATCGCTGTGAGGGTTTTTTTTTTGGTGGTGTGCTGCAGAAATTTTTTACCGGCTTCGGCTCTGCAAACCTCTTTTCTGGCTTCTTGGACGTAGATTTGGATTTGCTCTTTGCATGAGCTTTGTTCGGCATTGACAGCTTCTTTTTTGGTGGTTAGATTTTTTGAACAGTGGTTCGGATACCATTCCGCTTCTTTCGAATCGTTAATTTGCTTGCTCATCTCCCACGATGCGTTGGTCTTCTGCTGCGATTGCGCTTGCTGGCGCCAAATCGGTCGTTGTGGCCCTGGATCCTGTCTCGGTCGTGGGCAACAAGTTCTTCAACAAGGATGGCTCGCAGTTCTTCATCAAGGGTATGGATGCATTGTCGACTCGACAGCACAGTGGATTTGTTGCATCATATTAACAAATCATGTCTCTAGGCGTTGCGTACCAGCTTGTCCCTCAGGATCCTCTCGTTGATACTGCTCAGTGCAAACGTGATGCCAGCCTCATGTCGGAGCTGGGAGCCAACACCATCCGCGTCTACCACGTCGATCCTACTGCTGATCATGACGGCTGCATGAAGGCGTTTGACGATGCTGGCATTTACGTCCTTGCTGATTTGGACACGTTTGATACCTACATCCTTCCTGTGCGAAAACCTTGCTTGCCCTTTGAATGAGTCGTGGTGCTCTTGCTAACTGTATCCATGTAGACAAACAACTACTGGGACAAGGACAAATATAAGAGCTATGCTGCGGTGATGGATGCCTTTCAGAAGTACGACAATATCTTGGGATTCTTCATTGGAAATGAGAACATTGCTACTAAAAATGACTCTCCCACTGCCCCCTATCTCAAGGCTGCCGCCCGCGACATGAAGGCCTACCGCGATGCTCAGGGCTATCGTGAGATCCCCGTCGGCTACTCGGCGGCCGATATCCTGGAGCTCCGCCCTGCGCTTCAGGACTACCTCACCTGTGGCGGCAACTCGTCCGAGATTGTCGACTTCTTTTCCCTCAACTCCTATTCGTGGTGCGACCCCAGTACCTATGTCGGGTCTACTTACAATAAGCTTGAGGAGTACGCCAAGGACTTCCCCGTCCCCATCTTCTTCTCCGAGACTGGATGCATCATCCCTGGTCCTCGCCTGTGGGATGATCAGGATGCAGTTTTTGGCCCGGAGATGGTTAATGACTGGAGCGGTTCCATCGTCTACGAATGGATTCAAGAGGAAAACTCGTACGGCATCATTACCTACGGCCCTCCCAACCAGCCTGCTGGCCCCAACGTTGAGGGTGGATTTTTGCGCAAGGGCACTCCTCAGCCTAAGCTGCCCGACTTTCCCAACTTGAAGTCCAAGTGGGCGACCATCAGCCCAACCGGCGTCCATAAATCCGCCTATGACCCAGACAGTGTCTCAACCCGGGCTTGCCCCAAGTCTACTGCTGGCAGCTGGTGGGAAGTTGATGGAGATGTTAAACTGCCTACCTTGGGCCAGGTACTGGCTGTGAGCCCGAGGCCCACTACGGACCTTGTGAGCACAGACACATCGGCACCTACTGGTACGGCTGTAGTTACCACTGAAACTATTACGGACAGTTCAGGGAGCGTCATGACCAGCATGATGACCATCACGGCTCCGCCATCAACTGCTACTGGCGGGTCTGGATCTTCCACCACTTCTGGCGCAAGCGCGGCTACGACAAGCTCCAAAAGCGGAGCTTCAGCGGACAAGCGGGCCACTGCATTTGGTGCGGGCCTTGTCAGTTTTGTTCTCGCCTTTGCGATCTTGTTGTAAGGTCATACGTATGATACTGCACAGGGACTTGTATTGCCAACATAATATCAGATACCCATCTAATATCTTGCTTTCTTCTTCTTCTCTTATTGATATTTTCACATGGCTGCAGCAACAAGATGATTTTTTTATTCGGTCAAGTCGAACCAATCCTATTGGCTGCTATGGCCGTCTGCGTTTGTGCCATCTTGTTTATAAAAAGGCACCGTTGGTCTACTCGGGGGAGAGGGGGAGACGGGCGGCGGGAGAAGGGGGAGAAAACGCAGGAATATTACAGTTGCTTCTTTTAATGCTCTTTTTATGACGATATATGATTGGAGAGGAGAGATGTTTTACATGACATGTGCCACGTAACGGGGCATAACGGTGTTTATATTTAATGCATGAAGATATGTTGTACATCAGCTATCAACGGCCTTGTTTTTAGTGCTTCTGTGATACCTTTAATGTTGACAAACCTTCTTATTCAATTGTCTCTTTGTCCTAGCTCATTGTATAGCCTGTGATCATTCCTTGGGTGGTGTAACATCTTGTATAGCTGTCTTCTTTCCCTCCATCACTTCAATCCGCAGGACTCATGTAATCCTGCCGCTGCTGTGGTACGTGGTGATGTTCGCCGTAGTATTTGTACCAGTAACATTATAAGGAGTTGATGAAGGTGACTCGGCCGACATTGTGGGACTTTCGTCGTCGGAGGGTATGAGCTGGTAGTTTTTGAGGGCTTGATCGCCGATCAAGACGAGGCTGACGATGAAGACGGCGAGGATGAGGGCGCAGAGGAGGCCCATCATGAGGTAGCGCAGGCGGTAGTCGTAGCGGTGCGGGTTTGAGCCCCAGGGGGTGCGGGTGTGTGCTTGGCATTGGAACTTGTCGATCATGGTGTGTGTTTTGTGTAGGACAAGATGTTTACAGGTGTGGTGGTTTGATACGTAGGTTTTCTGTAGGGATATTATAGGAATGACGAATATGAGAAGCTGCATGTAGTATCAATTGCTTCTAGGATGCTAAAGTATGTTGATTACTGCAACTACAGGCTATCATTGACTACCTATGATTTGGAAAGAAGGATGATGCGATGTTGTTGATGGAATAATAGAAAGAGCAATATGGAGTTGGATGGGTCAAGTGCCGTATAAAGAGAGGCTAAACGAAGAGGTTATAAGTCTTGAAGTAGAGATGTATATTGATGTGAATCAAGGTTTTCAAAGAGCATGATGGAATTACTACATTTTGCACATCGGATATTCAATAGACGGGTATTCAGCGAGGAAAAGCACAATATCTATGAAATACAGCTAAGGTACTAATACAAATATATAGAACAATATAGGCCCAAAGGCGGAGTGACATCTCGATCGCCTTATGTAAGACGCCAGTCTTGTCTGATCTAAGCAAGTGCCTCTGGACTGTGTCGCTACTGCTAAAATTTTCCCTCTACAATTAACTACCGTAGGCGCAGGAAAAAAAAAAAGAGGCAATTTACCCACCAAAGCCTTATCGTAGTGACCGAAAATGGTCCAATGAGTGCCCTGCTATTCCGCCCGCCTCTAAAAAAAAAAAAAACTGAACAGTGACCGTTGCACGCTATTTTGCTACTGGCCGAAGCTAGGATAAGGATTTTTTTTATCGATGCACGGCAGCCTTGCTCCGCTACTCAACCTTTTTGGCCATTTTTGAATTCTCGACTCTCAATTAAATTTCCGGTCGCCAATCTGTGCCCATTGTGTATCTCTGAGCAGCTGCTTTTTGGGGCAAGAAATAAGGGCATCGGTGCTTGACTGACTCAGCAAAATTTCTGCCGACCGCCCGCCATCATCCCGCATTTGGCTGATCGGTTGCGAACGCCATCTGAATCTTGTAGTTTGCGAAGGGCCACGATCGACCGATTATCGCAACCCCCCGATTTCCGTCCTGCTGCCGCCGAACTTTCTTAGTCGACTGGCCTTTTGCCCCCTGGCGACGAGAATTGCAGATGCTCCCCTGACGAGCCTTTGTCGAGGCAATTGGCAAGATGGCTGAGCCGGCGCAGCTGCAAGCAGCGCCCAGCGGCTCCCCGAGAGGTAAGAGGATGATGCATGGCCGAAATGAGGATTTGTCCTGCTTGTAGCAATGCGAAGCATGGCAGAGGAACTACAAGAAAGATGTGACTGACATTATGGGTTATTCCTTTTGGCTCGAGCAGAGATCAAGCAGGAACACGAGCACGAACCGACAGGCCTCGAGGGCCTCGACTTTAGCATTCTCGCCGAACTCGCGTCAAAGCGCCCATTCGAGGATGTAACGCAGGACAATCATGAGGAGCGTGAGCAAGAGGCCAAGAGGCCCAAGACAGAGAACCCTACCACAGAGGAAGAGTCCTCCCTTGAAGATGGACTGGCGCTGCTGGTGCAGAATGCGCTCTCCAATGTTGGCGACCTGGTCAGCAGATTCAACGTCGAGCCAGAAGAGGCGCATGGCAGCGATCCTATGGACGTGGATGACGCGCATGGGACCGATGCTCGTCCGGCTCCTGTATCATTCTTGTCAGAACCGGAGAAGTACGTGCGCATTGCGAATACGCATGCGCTAGGCAATCTGGTATGTCCGATGATGCCCGGTTTACCTTTGGCCTCCTCCAAATGGCATGTATACGCTTACTAGAGAGGCTAATCCTTGCTACAGGCGCTTTCATTACTACTGATACTGCTTCAGCAGCCCATCGATGACATGTCGAAGCTGGCTGGAGATGCGGACTCGGGTTATGGGCGCTCGTACGGCCGGTTAAAACGATCTTTCGATGCGACGTGGCAGCTCTTCTCAGACGGCCAGGTGCTGTCGGCCGATGAATTGGAGATACAAGAGGCAGAAGCCCGCACATTGTTGGAACTGGCCAACATTGCAAAGTTTGGGACTTGGTTGGTCGAGGGGGGGCTGGATTCGTTTACTGCGGCCGTTACGCATTTTAATGCCGTGTTTCGATGCCAGCTGTCAGAGCTCTCTCCTGGGCTCTCTCAGCTTTATCTCGGGATCAAGACTCACAGGACGATCGAATCGCTTCTAATACCGGACGCAGACAAATCATTAATAGGAGAGACGATACAGTCTAAGATGATGGAGGGCCTGGAGGAGCCGACAGCGACGGGTGGCGAGTCAAGTTCATCTTCTCAGCAAGAATTATTGGCCGCGGTCAAGTCTCGAAGAGACGTTCTTGTTGAGGATACAAAGGACAAAGAACCAGGTTCGTGATATAGCTTTATGTTTCTTTTCGGTGGCGCCCTGCTCTTTGAAGAGGATCTAACGTTCGGATAGGTACCCTGAAAGAGAAGTTTCCTACCGGCGATGTATTAAAGAGCTTTTCGGCGCATGTCAAGACAACACTCGCATCCATGACAGAGATTGGAGAGAAGCTAGGCATCTCGGCGCTGCTGAGCGACGTTGCGAATCAAGAAGCAATACCGAGTAGCTCGGGCGATGGGGAACTTGACCTAGACGACCTTTCTTCATTCTTCGAGAAGACAACCTCGGGTCTAGTGCAAAATGCTCTGGCTGGCTTAACGGAAGAGACCTCTACACAAGAGCCTCTCACGACTGAGAATACCGAGACGCCAGTGGAGGTTACCAACGGCGAGCCGGCGCCAGAAGCACCACCAGCCGCAGCAGCAGCAGTACCAGCAACTACTACTGCCCAGCCTAGCGTTCCCAAGCTGGATCTCATCTCAGATTATAAGGAGCTGGAGGCACTGGTAGCGGAGAGCACGTCAAATTATGTCAAAACGACACTCAACGGCCTCTCTGCCGTTCCCTACCAACCTACAGTACCCCAGAGCACAGGTAAGCCCTTGCTTCCCGTTGAAACCTTTCATGAGAGACCGTTACTCACAATTACATTAGCCGAAACCATGGCAGCACAATCGCCTTATCTGAGCCATCTTCATCAACACCAATCCCATCACCCGTATTATACGTCATATTCGGCTCAGCCACCTCCAGAGCAGCAGCCTCAACAACCTGCTGGGACCCCTGATAACCTACCGCCGAATCAGACGTTTCCCAGTGCCATTCTCTACGATAAAGCTCGCCAGGCAGCGCTATCCAAGTCGTCGGCGCATACAAGGAGAGAAGGACTCCACTCAACTCGACGACCTTGGACTCAGGAGGAAGAGAAGGCACTTATGGCCGGTCTCGACATGGTCAAGGGTCCTCATTGGAGCCAGATCCTGACCCTATTTGGTCAGAGTGGAACTATATCTGACATTCTGAAAGATCGAACGCAGGTGCAGCTGAAAGACAAAGCACGAAACTTGAAGCTGTTCTTCCTCAAGACCAACTCTGAAATGCCGTACTACTTGCAGGCTGTGACGGGAGAACTCAAGACGAGGGCTCCCACCCAGGCTGCTAGGAAGGAGGCCGAAGAGAGGGCACGGCTGAACTCTGAAGAAGAGCAGGCTAAGCTGCAGGGCATCATGGCGTTGGCTGGAGGGCTGCAACACCCACCTCAGCAGCAACAGCAACACCATCATCAACACCCGCAGCATCAGCATCAACAACACCAGCAGCGACAACTTCAACAACATCAAGCCAGACCACCAGCTACTGTAGCGGCTGCGGTAGGGCAGAGTGTAGTGACGCCTGCTCAAGCCGCCAGCGCGGCGCAATCAGCATCTTCCGCACAGCAACATGCCTCACACCTTCACCAAACGACACCCACGGCGACCATGACAGCCACACCGCAAGCCAGCGTGGCACCCACCATCAACCGTAACGGCATGATTCTACCCAATACAGCGCAAATCAAACCCGACACCCAGATGGCGGTGCAGCAGCAAGCTTCACACCCAGCGCCGATAGCTCCTCAACCTCCACGACCACAAACTCAGCTCCCTCCCCAGATTCCCAGACCTCAGGCCCAGCCGCAAATACAGCCTCAACATTTGCCGCAGACGCCGACACAGACGCCAATGCACACACCGATGCAGACGCCGATGCAGACGCCGACGCCGACGCAACAACCTTCACCGCATCAACCACAACAGCACCAACAGCATCAACATCCCCAGACACAAGCCCAACCCCAAGCACATACTCAACAACCTTTAGCTCAAGCCCAGCCGCATACACAGACGCTTGCACAGTCTCAGCCGCAACAGCAACCGCAACAGCAGTCACAACCGCAGCCACAACTACAGCCTCAACAACTCCAAACTCCGCAACAGCCTCAACAACCTCAACAACAATATCATCCGCAGCCACAGTCTTCTCCCACTGCTCAACCGGCTCGTTCGCCAGCGCTCCCACAGCAGCAAACGACACCAAGTCAGCCCGGGACGCCGGTTATCAACATGCAGCTCCAAAATGGGATGGCAGCGCATCCTTCGCCCACCCCACCAATTGCGTCCACACCAACACCGACTCAGCTCTCCCAGCCCATCCAGACCCCTCCTCAACCTTTGCCCGCACCAACCTATTCATCTCAGCCGCAGCAGCCATCCACGCCAGCGCAAACAGAGCTACACAAATTCGTGTCAGCGCCGGAAGCGCCAATGTCTCAGGCGGTAGCGGTCCAGAATGATGAGGCGGCTGCTGAGGCTGCTTTGATAGAGGGTTTGCAAGCTGCTGTCGCGCAAGCGTTGGCTTCATAAACTCGGGTCTATGTGAATAATTAGTCGTTTGTGTTTTTTGAGGGCTATAGCTGGCTGGTTTTATGGTGTTGAGTTTTGCATTTCTCTCAGCCATGGTGCTCTTTTGAGGATGGTCCGTTTAGAAGCGTTTTATAAAAAGCTAGTTGGTGTTTGATTCAAAATATTTTTTTTATCTCCTTTGATGTGTATATATATACATACATACGTCGTTTTATTTATCTTACGAGCCAGCCTGAGAGAAGCCAAGGTGTAAGAGTGGTGGGAGGATGTTTTCGAGGCTCGAAACTTGATTCGGCCTCTTCAGCGTCTTTGAGCGGATGGTGAAAAGGTATATATATGGGCACTTGTTTGCATGAGCATGAATGGAGAGAGAAGCGGCAATATGGATTCTTTGTTTTACTTTTTTCTTTTTCTTATTTTCTTGTGGCGGAAGAGAAGGGAGGTGAGAGGACTTATGATACCACAGATGGATAGCTATAGCTAGGTTACAAGCGACTTTTCCAAGCAAGTGGATGATACTTGCTATGGAAGAATTAGAGAATAAAAGATTATTGACTTTAGAGCGAATCTTTCTAAATGTGTGAGTGTCGTTGCTATTTAATATTAGTCTACTTTTGGATCTGTTGTTACTATTTAGGGATGTCTAAGGGTATGCTAGTTCGCCATATCATAGAATTCTCTCCCATGTATGATGAAAGAGATTTTGATTTGGGCCGCTCTCTGAGTACGAAATCGTAGGATAAGGAACAACTGAATATGGGGCTCAGGTTCGAAATCTTGCTAGGCATCGTATCCTGACAGCCTCAACTATTTACGTTTCGCTTTAGAGTGTCTAACTGCGAATAGCCAACGAAACCAGCCAAGACATAGTGTTTAACGTAGATATTTGGCCGATTTTTTTTTTATTAGAGACGGGATTCTTTGCATGCAACGAATATGTATTAAAAAATTACATTATCTGCCTTGTAGTCTAGAACACAACGCGAACAGATGTCGGCATTTCCAACAAATATCCTCCATCTTATGAGCCGATTACGAATGTTGGCATTTTCTTCTATGTTGACGGCGGAAACAAAAAACGCCAACTCTCGTATTCGTACACCTACATGTATATTTAAGGACCAAGTCCTAGATAGCTTCAAGAAGAAGGGGGGGGGGGGGGCTGCAAAGAGAGTGACGTTACAAGCAAGCGAGGTTTTATGGGAAAGTAAATGGATCCTTGCAGCACACTTCTTGTAAGCAAAAGTTCTAATTATGTAGTCCTCGGCTGAGAGAAACCAACAACAACCCGTCGCATAGCTGCCTGCTGGTATACTCGTCAATATATTGCTCTCGTGATAACATCGCATCCACCGTGTGTGTCTTAACTCGCAAGAGCAAAAAGAAAAGCCATAAATAGCCCAGACTTTCGGCTTGCCCGTTGTAGAAGGCACAAGAAAAGACGAGAATTAAGAAGATATACAAAGAAATTAATCCGATGATCAGAAGAGATTGTCAGAGAAGGCTCTCAGGCAGCCACCTCGCCTTGATTGGCTGGTTGCCGCCGCTGTCGGCGTCTGCGTCAGTCCCGCCGGCGAGTTGATATTGAGACGACACCACCTCTGAAGTACTGTACATACAGTATCTATGTACATGGCTGTAGATATGTAACAGACAAGCGTAATCGAGCAAAAGTGACGTACGAGGAGATGCTTGCCTAGAATAGGGAGCAGGGTTTGGGCCTGAGTGGCGAGGGATCTTGGAAGGTTTGCTGAAAAAGTGATAGCCTGAGGTGGAGGAGTCATAGCAGTGGGCATTACGAAATCGAGAACCCATGAGGCGGGTTGGTGGAGGCGTGGGTTGCCTCTTCTGTTGTGAGGCGTGACTTGATGGTGGTGAGGATTGTGAGGATAGAGGGGGGGAGCTAGGACAAGAAGGATGTTGATGGTACTTGTATGAGTACTTGTGTGTATGATCTGCATTATCTACCTATGTGAGCGCGAGGCGGATTCGACTACTAGTTAGCTAGTTTCCGTCTTTGGGCTTTCTTCAATTGTTACTTTGACAATAGGATTGTGTTTTGGCGAGACGATACTTGTCTCGTGTAGTTGCTACATCGAAACCATGCTTGAGGATGCAGACAAGAGACATTTAGAAAGCTGAGTGAGACCAGGGCGCAAGACAACCATATTTCCCCCACTTGCCTGCGTTGTCCTGCATGCTCGCTTATTCTTCCTGGCGGCACGATAAAGGTCTGATGCCGGTTCAGCAGCTCCAGAAGAAAGCCCCGTCTATGGTCCAATGCAAGCCGCAGAGTTCAAGGTTCCAAGGGCCGTGTGTGTGTGTGTGTGTGTGCAAGTTCAATGTTGGTTCGCATCAGCACCGCCACAAAGCGGGAGCCAGCGTGGAATAGGGCGATGGGACGATAGGAATGATGTTCAGGTCTATGATCTAGCGGGCCGGGGGGGGGGGNGGGGGGGGCGATGGGCTGTGGCGCAGGCAACATCAATATCGTCGTAGTGCAATAGCGCCAGGCTACAGCTAAAAGAGGCCACCAGCTACAGAAGCCACAACCACAACGACCCACGAAAATGCGGCTCAAAACGATGGTCATGGCCGGTGTGTCCATTTAGTAATTATACCTTTTACTAGCACATCCTTTCCAGCACGCGCAACGTGGTCAGTCCGTCAGGCCAGACGCGCGTGTATGCAGGTCAGAAGCATCCTGCACTGCGCCCAGCTACAGCGACACAGTGCGCGCATCGCCCACCACACCCCGCTCTGCAGCGGCAAATGGCCGCCGCGCACCTGTCGGAGCTGCAGCTCCCCTGCAGGCCTTGCCGGAACAGGGCACCTGCACAGTGCCAGCCCGCAGTGGCCGAGGAGGGGTCAACTGACACACTCCCTGTGTACGGGCCGCGTCGCCTGAGCCACGCTCGCCCTCTGGCAGCCCCTACTAGACTACAGTACTAGGTAGGTAGGCAGTTCCACACCACCACCATGCTGCTTCTCGTCCTTCCAGCTGCCTCCCATGGCCTGGGTCTGGCGTCAGGTTTTGGCATCCGTCCAGGAACGAGCCCCGCCAGGGAGCCAATGCTGGGGCGCTGCAGGACATCGATACCGGCGATCGAGCCTCCGGGAGCTGCAGCGTCCCTGCAGTGGTCGCTTGCTCCGCTGCGGCCGCCACTGCACGCATGCCGCGCTTATTCTGCTGCAGCCACATGGTGTCGGGCATGTGTTGGTCGAACATTACACCCATCCGTCTGCTGTCGATTTTCCTTCTTTTTTTTTTTTCATGCAAAAATACAAGTTTGATTTGGTATGAAGAAAAAGGATGCTTTGACAGAGTTAACGGCTGCTTTGTTTATGCTCTACGTCGTTTCCTTTGTCCCTCCTCTTCTGCCTTTCTTCTCTCTCTGTCTAAGGACAAGTTCTAATATTAGCAGGCTTCAGTAAATCCTAGTTTTCATCTCTCTCTCTCTCTCTCTCTCTCTCTCTCTCTCTCCCTCTCTCTCTTTTCAGTAGCGGATCCCTGGTGACCCGTCAGGCGACTCCGCCTCGTGCTCTACCTCTCTCTCTCTCTAATACTCTGTCTTCTTCTTATTAAGCCACCCCAGGACTTTGACAATAAGTGATCACAACTGAGAGCAACCGTGCTATCAAGTCCCTACCCTCATCAGACTAAACATCCCTATCCCTGGTTGACGGCTTCCTACGCAAGCCACCTCACTAACTCAAGCCACATCTCTTTGATGGTGGTCATCTCCCGTTGCGCAAAGCCCTGCATTTCAACTTTTTTGTGAATCGTGTGTGTCTTCCCGCCCCGTGCCATGCCTTTTTTGACATGCTCTTCCATGTGCTTCCAACAAGAAAAGTCCTATTTCTGGGGGATGCTTATATAGATCCGCACTATCGAACATTCACTCTCTTGGTTTTGTGGCTGGGGCTCATCACTCAACACTTCATATCGGATACAAGCGTGTGCGTGTCTGTCTGCATTTAGTCACCTGGACTGACCGAGTGGCTGGTTTGGCTTTCTAGCCTGCTGTCATACCGAAGTTGCTTGGGGCTATTTCAGAGACACTTTGCATATATACTCTACCTTACCCCATACTCATATGACAACCTTTTCTTGTCGTAAACATACTACTTTTTATCTATTTGAATCCCCTGACTTCCTGAATCCACATCTTTTTATCTTTCTTCATTAACATAACTGATCGTCGAACACCTTGTCTGTACTTGCTTCGACCAAACACTCTCAAGTACACAACCTACTCGACGCTCTTCTATCCATACGATACTACTTTATAGAAGAACGCTGGAACCAGCATTGGAGAACTACAAGAGCAAAGCTTCCAACAACAACGACACGATGACCAAGCGGTGGTTTGTCGAAACCACACCGGAGGGGCGACAGCAGTTTGTGTCCATCAAGAGATCGCGTTCTTACACTGGACGCCACGACCGAGTTCGCGAGATTGACTACGTCAAAGTCAGCCTTGACGAATGGAACTCCCTCGTGGAGAAGGAGCGCAAGCTCGAAGAGATCAATAAGTCGGTGGTGGATGAAAACAACCGCCTCAAGACCACATCCCAGGCTGAGGCTAAGCGCCTCGCCCTGGTTGTCGTTCCCAGTCTCGAGAAGCAGATCGCCTCCCTCTCCATCGAGAACGAGGCTCTCCGTCGCAGCATCGATAAGACGGGCGACAGCTCTTCCAAGCACCACCGCGAGGAAGAGAGGCTGCGCTACAAGGTTGCCAAGTTTGAGGCCGACAATCTGGCACTCCGAGAGGAGAATGCCGCTTTGCGGGAGAAGAACCGTAGCCTCTCTCGGCAGATTGACCAGAGCTTCAGCCGTCGTGTGTCTGAGCTTGTTGCAGAAGCTGAGACGTGGAAGTACCACTACCGTCACTGGCGTTCTCGCTACGAGGAGCTTTTGAAGCGCTACAACGACATCTATGACTTGATGGAGACTCGGACGAAGAAGATGAAGGGCTACGAAGAGAAAACTATTGCATATGAAGATATCCTGCGACGAAACGAGATGATCTAAGACTTTTACGTCTTCTGTATCTCTCATCTTCTACCTTTTCTAGTCTGTGAAACTTGAGGTCGTTTGTGAAATCACCTCGATCACAGTGCCAACCGCAGAGGTTGGTGTGGCTGTATTACTTTGGGATTTTTTTTTTTTTGTTCTCCGGTACGTGAAGGGACTTGGTTTAGAGTAGAAGGCTTACACTGACGTATCATGTTTTTTTTTTCTTTGCTCATAGACCAGATAGCGCTCCACACTTGGAGCCTTGCTTTTTTCTTTTCCTTTGTTCTGTGTTATTATGAATGATAGGCTTATTGGGAAATCTTGGGTTATGACATTCTCCTGTGTCACTTTTTTTGGCATTCATAATTGCCTTTTTTTTTCTCTCTTCTTTTCTTCTTTGATGGATTATTAATGAACATTTTTTCTTTACTATTGTCATTCGCTCGCCATTTCCTTATTTATTTGGTCATCAGACGCATTTCATTTCTTCAGCTTCATTCAGCGAAGCTCACCCTTGTTCCGCTCTCATTTGCAGACCGCCTGCGAGTTATTTAGAGTAGCACAGATACATGAATACACGGCATAAGAAGCCAGTTATCTGGGAAACAGCATTTATTTAGTACCATCTACCTCGTGATGTATCCGGCTGGTGCCGAGTCTCAAAAGTTGGCTCGTTTAGAAGCGTCATGTGAGCTTATTGGCTGTGAGCTTTTTGAAGCTATCGACGTCATCACGCGATACCGCGAGCCTTGCGGAAAAGGGCCACATTTTGCGCATAACTCGGATTAAGAGAGATAAGGGGAAAAAAAAAATAAGTTATTGAAAGAGAGCAGTCCTTAACGTACCAGCGGGGTGTAAAACGAGTCTTACCTGCGTGTAAGTATAATCCACACCTCGGGTAAGTGTCCCTCCTAGGTCGTACGTTGAAAAGTGAGGCTGTTGGCACAATGCAATGACGCGCGTCGATCACTTCTTGAATAAGTAATAACGGATAACTACATACATATATATTGTGTTTAAATAAATTAAAAGTTGATGCGTTGGCTCTCATTGGCTTATTCTGTGTCGTTGCGTTGGCTTGTGTTAGAAAAAGGGCGACGACAACAAAGAAAACAAGCTGGAGACAATGCAAATGGGGCTTTTTAGGGCGGCTACATGCATGAGAGTGGTTGATAACGAAAAAAAGGTGACGACAGTGAAAAGCCCTTTCCTTCTTTTCTTCCTCCTTCTTTTTCTGCTCTGTGTAAGAAGAAGATAAGGTGCAGTTCATTTAGGCATTTAGTCGTAATGACGGGTGTGGCTGGCTACTAGTGGCACAAAGATGCCGCCGCCTTTTTTCTTATGAGAGTTCCAGATAACAGTACCGCTGATGTGGAGCCGCGACTCGTCAACAGTATTCACACTTCTTGTTTATTCTTGCTGCCTTTTTTTTTTTTTTTTTTTTTTTTTAAATTCTTTATTATTTAATTTCTCTTCTTCTTTGGTGGCCCACATTTAGGCATCCAGCCAGCACCCGCCTTTGGACGGCACACGAGTTTTGACCACGAGATTAGCTACTAGCTTCGTGGCGCTAGGCATCTAGTGGCAGCGCCGGTGGACCTGCTAGAGAAGTTAGGCCAGGCACAGCGCAGCCAATAGGTCATTTTTCATTTTTGGTTGGGCACATACAGTAAAGTTAACAACCGAGCTTTTCAGACGTCATGTTGGATACATACAACTCTTTCATTGCTTGGGTCATATTTTCATAGCATTTGTGATTAAACATCAAACGCCATACCACATTTAACTTTTTTTCTTGTTTTAAATTCCAACTTGTGAAGAAGCTAAATGAACGCCCCTTGTACCCGCCTTTCCCAAAAGCCCAACGCTGACCAACTCCCCCCGTATTGCAAGTCTGTCTGATCCAAACAAAACGCCCAGCCCTGATACTCGTAGGATTCATAAGATCATCTCTCAACTGCCGGCAGCGATAAATGTCAGGCGGTTGGCCCAAAGCCCTCCGAAAGCCTCCGAAAGCGCCAAAGAGACTTCGGCTAAAGTAGCAATTCGTTGCCCATCGTCCATCTGGGTTTACCTGTAATGGTAAATTCTCGCAGGATGCTTACAAGGCTGGCTGGGCGAAACGTCTCCGAAGCCACGCAAGAATAGCAACCTTCGCAGCTCATACCCAAACCGCACCAACAGCTTCCCCTTGTCCATGTTTTGTCGCTCATCGGTTCCCAGCTCTTGCTACCAATTGAACCATGTCCATTCCACGACGAGCTTCGGAGGTGTCCAGGCCGCCAGCCGTCTTTGTGATAACGTTGGAGGCCAGCACTCCATGATCCGAGCCCAAGGATAGGCTTCCACAGGCCTGGCATCCTTGCTCTATCAGTGTCTGGGCAAACCAGGCGGTCTGGAAAACGGTCCATGATCGACCAGTGTCCTGGTAGGAGAGACAGAGGGAGGAGCTGCCCTCACTGTCTGTGTCGACGCAGGTGATGAGCTGTCCGTCTGAGAATCTCTGGTGCTGGTCCATCCCCTTCAGCTGTTCAATGGCTGAACTCAGGTTGGCATTGATGCCCGCGCAGACACCGCTATCTTGACAGCTGCTGCCCAAGGCACTGGCTAGTGTCGCAGCACCGGCGAGGGAGAGGAGGGTGTTGATGAAGTGCATGATTGATTCTTCAGGGATGTTGTCCAATGGCTTGAAGAGATTTTGGAAAAAAGAAAAGTGAAATGACAATTACTCATCTAGTTACGAAGATGAACAATGAGGGGGTCGATCAAGGATGGAGAATCGTGGCTGTCTGTCTCCTTATATAGAACGGTCTGCTAATAATGATTGAGGATGATATCATAATACCACTTGCCTTCAATTGGACTGCGCGGGAAAAGAGAAAAGGGGCCCCGCCGGCAGAAAGTATCTGAACAATAGGCAAAAATAGTAATAGGTAGGTAGTTATTCTGATTTTGTTTAGCTACAGACACTCGGCAGTTTCGTTCTCGTTGCTTGTTCGAACGTACTAAAGGTTTTTCCCGATTAAGTCAATGCTCGCTTATAAACAGCAGTAGCTTTGATCTAGTATTATTGCTCAATTAGGAAAACAGTCTGCTAGTTAGAAAGACCAAGAGTTGGTATATATCGACACTGGTGATTCTTCCTCTTTGCGCTTATAAAAATGGTGGGATTTCCCTTGCTATCAAACCACCTTATTATTACCATTATTATTTTTTAAGGTTATGAGCTATTATAACATCAAATAAGGCTTCTCCACACCGATACAACGGATTGGCACTAACCTACAATCCTAGCAGCCATAGTCCACTCTCAAGGAAACCATTGCAGGGAATTTGGCTATCGGTAGACGGCAAGTCCTCAGGGATTCTCAACGGTTCGCTGTCAAACTCAAAGAAGCACGGGGCCACTCGGTAATGGTAACGAGAAAACCTGGCGATTGATTGGCCAATGCGCTGTGTCCCCGAGCAACTATATTCTCCGTCCATTACCACAGCTTTACTAATGCCTTGATTCAGCTTCGTGTTGTACTAGCCCTACAGCAGATGGCTTTTCAAATCGGTCTACCTACTATATTCAGGTAGTAGTCATTTTACCGCCATCATTAATCACTATAAGGAACCCTGATCAAGGTCGAAAATATGAGGTTTTTATCTAGGGATGCATCTCTTTTAGACTTACTGCATCTATGATTCATACAAATGTAACATCAAGCCAGGTAGGTAGGTATATGCAGTTGGGCATGGAGCAGTGAGATCCATATAATGCGTAGTTCATCAGATAGAATCTACGACAAGATATAGCCCTTGGTGTTTAAGAAGGGCATAGAATAATGATGATATATGACAGCTGATATAAGCAACTTGAGATGATCAAATTTATAAGCCCTTGTTCAATTTATGCTTGTGCTGTTGGGCACTTGTGTGCACAAATGCGGGTCAATGTGCCTGATGCACGTGGCATCAATGTTACATACAGACCAACATGGTATATCTCAAAGAGACATGTTGACTAGATGGTAAGATAGCACTGCTGTAGGTACTATACTATTACGGCTCCCCTAAAAAATAAGGATGCTATTGATATACTAAGCATAGACAGTGTTTTATTTTTAGGTATTGTTCGATGTTAAGGAAATGGAGGCTGTTATACCAGCGAAAACGAAACGACTACCCTACATTCCTCTCAGTAAGGCATATATGTATCCGTACCTCGATTTCATAAACAAACATCTTTCTCCAAAGTCCCTGCCCCTTTCCTTTATATGACCCGTAACCTTGGAAGTCTTTGGTGGCATCTGCTTTGACGCTTCTTGCGTCATCTGGTTAGATAGACTGGCCTTGGCCATGCAAATTTTGCTCGTTGACTGCATAGGTAAACGAGACCGTCAAACATGAATAATGTTTGACCTGTCTATTATCCTCCACAGCCCAAATCCTGCCTTTGTTTCTTTTTCTTCCTGCTCGTGACGTACTGGCTGTGGCTGAGGTGGTCTTGATAGGCTCGCACGTCTCTGCGACCCAATCTCTGCAACACCCTGGCGCACATCTACGAAATCTGATTTGCCTTTTGATGTCTTGACTCCAACACAAGGCAAAGCACAGGTAAAACAAGGGCGGTGACATGACGGCAGCACACGGAATTCTTCCCTAAGCTTACCTGTACGACGCCCACATCGGCCTATTCTGGGCAGGTGGTCGGGCATTTTTTCTTTCGGTGGACGTCGGCTCCCAGCAGAGTCTCTCGTCATCAGCCACCACAGCTCTATGCTCCGAAGGCTCACACGCGACACGACTCGGGCCGTTCCTCGTTGGTACAAGTACAAGTAAGTGCGTGTATCAAACGGAGCAAAGGATGTGGGGGAGCTGTGCAGGACACGGCAGTATGGAAGCCAGACAATCCAGAGAAATCCGTTTGTCGTCCATTACCTAACAAATGTCTGACACGGACGGCCAGACGACCAAGTATCCAGTACAAGCCAACCAACGAAACGCTTCTCAGCCATCCGTTCGTTCGCAGGCTGTTCCTTGTGATTCCACAGCCATCTGTCTGCATCTTCACCATCTGGCATCACATTGCATTTCCGAAGGGTGTGACTCACACACTTGCTCGAGTGAATGCGAGATCGCCCGCCGTCGATTCGTGTCTCCCGTGCCAGCACACTGCACGCCGCGGCAGGCTGCAGCGCCGTCCCAAAGTGGCCGTGGACGAAGCTTCCTGTGGCTCGCAGGCCGCTGGGCTTCCTGCATGGCGCACAAGATGGAGGGCCGGAGGGGGACGCAGACTCGAGGCAGCCGCCGCTACGGCTTCGATGCCTTGATGAGCCCTGCTGGTGCGCGGCCAATGGGAATCGCGGGGCGGCGTGTGCGCAGAATCGCGTCGACCCGGGACCGACGCTTTCGTGGCTGGGCTTCTCGTTGAGCCTGCGCCGCCGCAAAGGAGCTTCTGTCTCGACCCCCTTTCTGGGCGAGCGAGTGGCCGACTGGCGCCTGGCGCTCCCATCCTTGGCGTTGTAGCAGATACATGAGCCCGCGACGCCGTAGAGAGGCTGCATGGATGAGACGGCATGGCAGCAGAAATCGCTGGGAAAGCCCATTCGACGAGTGTCGATTGCGCGTCTAGGACTCTGATGTGATTGCCCGTACCGTCTACCTGAGTGTACTTTGCTGACATGGCGCCACCCTCCATCTCGACTCGTCCAGAGCAGTCCTGAGCGTTCGTTCTGTGGCCGCCGGCGACAGAGTCTTTCTTATGCGCACGCCAGGCGTTACGGCTTCGCCCATTTGTGTGCTCTCTCCAGGCAGGAATTGGTGCCCGTAGCAGCGATTCCCCGGTTTCATCCATTTTGAAATCCCTATTTTATGACTACAGCCATCCCCCCCTCTTTTCTCCGATTCTCACCTCTGTTATCAATTTTGCGTTTGTGTGTGTGAGTGTGTGTGTGAACGGGCCTTCCATCTGACGGGCAACCAGACTCGGGCTTGAGATAATAATACCACGTTATTATTCCGCATTCTGCCGGGGGCTGCAAAGAGAGAGAGAGAGAGAAAAAATTCTTTCGTCCCTGCCTACTTGATCTTCCTACTTCCTACTCATCTCTTCCTCCTCATCTTCCTTCTTTCACTCTTGCGCATCACTGCTTTCAGCATCCAAACGCATTTACTCAGCGATCTGGCCCTTGCAAAGCCGACATACCGCACCAAGACGACTCCATCCATCGTGTGCGGATCTCGCAGACGCACACAGGCATTTGTGCATCCGGCGACGCATCTCTCTCAGCTGTTTTTTTTTTCTCCTGCGACGTGCATATTCCGCTGCTCCTCGGTGCATATAGCGCGCTTGGGTTGACGAATGAACCTTGCGTGAAAGGGCCTCGGTCGCCGTCGCCTTGCTTGTGGCTCGCCCACATCGTTTCGTTTCTGCTCCTGCACCCCTGCCACCCTCCCAGCGGCCGTTGGGCAGCGTCGCATCCCACTACGGTTGGGCAGTCTGTGGTTCCAGAAGTCGAATCAATTTTCGTCTTCGCCTTCTACGGAGAGTAAAAAAAAAAAAAAAAAAAAAAACTGCATCGCATCATTGCCAGCCATGTCTCTCCATCAGCGAGTATCCGCCAATAGCGGGCGGAGAGCCTCCATCTCGCACTCAGCGCCTTTTGGTTTGTCTACCCATAATTTCTTACATGTGCCCACTCGCTCAATCCCGTTTGCAGTCACCTCCGATTACGAACAGCGCCTGCTCGATTCCCTCAACACGGCTCATACGGAGCTCAACAAGACCAACTCGGAGAGGGATCGCTATCTAAGTCTCCTCGAACAGGCCAACAAGAAGCTCGCCGAAGTCACAGTCACCAATACCGACCTCAAATCTCAGAATCAGAACTTGAAAGACACCATCGCCTCACTCCAGGAGAGGCTCCAGCGCGGTAAGGAAGAAAGCGAGAGGCTCGCCTTTGAGAATGATGCTCTTGCACGAGACTATACCGAGCTCAAGGCCAAGTACAGCAGCCTGTCTCATCAGTACAATGCGCTGAACAGTGCTCCTCCTCCATTCTCCAACAACGCCACCAACGGCTTGTCAGGGTCGATGCCGGAACGCCCCAAGCTCTCTCGCTCCTCTAGCAAGAAGGAACGTAAAGAGGATCGCGAGGAGCGCAGCCGCGTCCGAGACAAGGAAAAGTCTCGAGATCGCGAGAAAGAGGACAAGCGCGAGCGGGACAAGGAAAAAGAAAAGGAAAAGGAGAAGGAAAAGGAAAAGAAAGAACACAGAGCTGAAAAGGAGCGACTCTCCCGTCGCTTTGAAGAGCGGCGTGTGGTTCCGCCTGCACCCGCCCCGGCGGCTCCAGCGCCTCCACCTCCACCCATCACAAATCGACGGAACAGCTTCATCGAGGGCTGGGGCCCCGCCGGCCGGACGTCGTCAGCCTCGGGATCTTCCACTCGGAGTTACACCAACGGACCCCATGTACCCCACGGACCCAACGGGCACATTGGACACAATGGACACGCGCAAGTGCCTGCTGTCACACCTGTCAACAAGACGGCTTATGCCAACATTTCCCGGACTGCTGCAAACCCAATGACTCCTCGTATCTACAGCGTTGCTGGAAGCACAGCCGCCGTGTTCGATGACGACGGGAGCTACGAGGATGGCAACTATCATGCCTATCCGATCAGCCGATAAAAAAAAGGATTATTCTCTCGGGGCCACTTGCTCTTGCCAGACTAATGTGGATTACACGGAGAATGGCTTGCTATCTAGACAATGGTATGCAAGCAGCGGTTGTTGTGAGGGCTAGTTGCTCTTTCGTTCAGTGGATTGTTTTGTTTTGTTTTGCTTTGTTATACCTGTATTATGGTGTCTCCAATTGGATTTTTTCTTTGATCCCTTCGGCCTTACTTCTTGGCTTTTCTTCGACCCCGGAAATGGCCACACACGCAATATTTCCTTCACGGCCCTGGTTCCACTTCTCCGATACCGCCACCGGGATATTCAGCGGGGATGTCAACCGGCTCTCTGCCGCTCTCAGCCCATAAACAATGGAACTTGGACCAATCTTTTCTCCGCTTTGTTTTTTTAACCCACCCGGCTATTCCTTGGCGCCTATGCAGATTGGTTATTAGCTGCATGGCTGTGGCCAGAGACCGGTATTTTTTGTTGACTGCAACCCATTGAGTCACATCAATCCTGACCCGCTTGGGATGCTGTCAACATAAAATACTTTGACTACAAAGACTGTTACGCTGTCTGCCGAGTCGCCAATATCGGTTACATGCCCGACTGTGTGGGCTGCGCCCTTTTCCCTTCTGCTTACACCACCCTTTCTGTCTTCTTTACTTCTTTCGGCTTCCCTCTTCATTTTCATTTTCCCCTCTTAAAAATTTCTCTTTCTATCAACGGCCAATTCTCCTCAGCGGCCCATCGTATCCTTATCGATTGTTTTATTGCCCTGTGATCAAACTCGTTGTAAGTTGTGGTTTTCCTCGCGTTTGGCGCCGGTGTCTCGTTCTAGCATACCTGGTCCGCCATCACGCCGCGGCTGCTTGTCAGTATGAAGCTTTTCCCTTCTCTCTCAGATGACCTTGCTCGTTGGGCAGAGCTACAGCCTGTCTTCTTCACTGGCTCAGCTGCTACTCACGGTCGTCATGTCAATGTTTCTCCCAAAGGGCTAGATGCGCACTTCTCTGTCCTCAGCCCCAACCAATGCGCCTACATTGACCGCACTGGATCTGGATGTGAAACAATTTCTCATGCCTACGAAAATGGACGCCTCTGTCTCATGTTTATGAGCTTTGGCCCTTCCCCGCGAATCCTACGACTCTTCTGTCGTGTTTCGGTTGTGGAGTGGGACCAGCCAGCCTTTCCTGCCTTGATACGCAAAATTGCCAAGGGCAAGCGAGAGGCTTTTGATGGTGCTCGCGCCGTCATCCTCTGCAATATTTGGCAAGCTCAGACTAGCTGTGGATATGGCGTACCGCGTGTGAAGAAGGGGCTTTATAACCCTGATGGAGATGATGAAAATGGCACTGGCATCGTCAGAGCTATTGATGAAGTCCTTCGCGAGGGGGTTGAGGACGGCGAAAAGCTCGATGAGCTGTCTGTTTTTGAACAGCGGCCCACGCTGGACCACTGGGCTTCCAAGCAAACCAATGACAACAAGATGCTGGGCTACCAGATTATCAACAATTGCAGCAGTATTGATGGGCTCCCTGGGTTGAAAGCGGCAAGGCGTGAAGCCGGGCAGATGCTTTGGGTGGGCGACCTGAAGGCTAGGCTGCAAAGGATCGCCTCCGAAGGCGAGGCCGTCGTAGCAGGATTTTTATTAGCGGTGCTGTTGTATTTTGTTTTTGTTGGATTAGATTTACGTGGGATATTTACGGCTGTGTTTTAACGCTATGTTATGTTATGAGATAGATGGAGGGATGGGTTGTTTCTATTTGCGTTTTTTTTCTTCTTTCTTGTGTATTCTTTTTCTTTGTCTTCTTCACCCCCGTTCCCTACCTTCCCCTTCTTACTCTGGGTATTCATGATGACGCTTTGCCGATTTCTTTTTGTTCTGCTAATGTTATGTCATGTCACAATTGTTTTTTTTTTTTTTTACCTTACTAAAATTTCCTTTTAGGTAGTTATAGATTTATGCAAAAAATGGTCCCTTGCGGGTAATGAATGATTATCAATTGCAACGAATTCTTGGATTTACTCCTTCCCACTTGGATACTCCTTTCGAATCGGTGTTGTAGTTGTGGGATTTCTCTTCGACTGGTATTTTTTTTTTAAATGCTCAGATCTGCGTATGTTTGGAGTGGGCGTTGGACTCATTCACAGAGGCACCCATCTTTTACAAACTCATCAATTATTAAACGAGTGACATGTAGAGCATTAATACTAAGCACCAGCCTAAAATCAAACATCCATGCTAAGGGGCTAGAGTCGGTAGACTACCTCAAGAGAGACGCTTGTCATTCACTGCTGCATATTTCCAAACCAACGGCATAGATGGCTTTAGCTAATCATCTCCGTCCACCACGCCGGCGATTTCATCTCCCCCAAGAATGCACACGCATTTTACTTTACAGTCTATCCCCCCACTCTCATGCTTACTTTGGCCAAAGATATATATGTGTATGTATTCATATATCGCCTGAGTCAAAATCAAAATCATCCCGCGAAGAAGGACTTTAGCGACGTTTCCAAAATATTTGTCGCAGGGCGGTAGGTTGTGCCTCATTTTGACGGCGTAATGGCCTAAGTTGCGGAAACGTGGTGTGGGCCATTCTAAGGGGGGTTTCTTTGAGCTTCGAGTGACGGATTCTTTTTAGAGTTAAGGCTCATATGGATCGCTGCTTTTGGTGTATTCACTTGGACGCTGGTTATTTTCCTTTCGTATGACGAAGACAATTCAGCAGAGCCAGTTTGAGACACCCTACGGGGTGAAGGATATTCACTGCGCTGACGGGTTTGCTGAGATCAAAATCAGGAATGATAATGGAAGGCGTCGGAAGATTTATAAGTTGCGAATCGCTCAGCCACCGCTCGTTGCCGCAATAGGAGTGCCATTCGTAGAAGTAGGCTGATTGCTGTTAGTATTAGCAGCTCCTTTACCACCCCTCCCACGCCTGCCACGTCCACTGCTTGAGCTCTTCTCAGGAGCAGCGCTATTGCTTGTAGCATTGGATGGGGCAGCAGCAGCAGCAGCATTGCCGCTACCAGAAGCAGCCGGAGCAGGCTTCTTATCCTTACGTTCGAGAACTTGAACAGTTCCTTGTGCAACGGAAATGGGGCTTGCAGAGATAGCCTTAGCAAGGCCGGAGTGGTCGGCAAAATCCACATACGCGAAGCCCTTACGCTTGTCTACCTCGATAAAAGTAACGGTACCAAATACTTCCAAGGCTTGCTTCAACACGGGTTCGGTGATGCCCTGGGAAGAGTTGGCGTGCTTAACAAAGCCACGAGTGGCGTTGGAAGATGATGCCGCGGCAGATTTCTTTTGAGACCCCGAAGATTTGGCAGAGCTGCCCTTTTGGCCATTTGCCGCATTGGTCCCTGACTTGGAGCTGTTTTGTTGAGTCGCAGAGGCGGCCTCAGCAGTAGACTTGGGTGAATCTGCGTCATTGTTGGCAGCAGGCTTCTTCTTAAGGATAACAGGTGGAGTTGTGGTTGCATTTTGCCCAGATTTTTCCGATGCCTTAGTTTTTTCAGCATTTTTACCGCTGCGAGACTTACGCGCTGGCTGTTGGCTCTTGGAAGAGCTATTTGTCGATTGCTGAGCTTTAGCAGACGCCTGAGTACTGGTTGATTCTACTGGAGCCGATGCAGAGGTCTGCTGGTTCTCCTTTCCTGCCCCGGATGATTCCTTATTCTCTTCGGTGGCGGCCGTCTTAGAGCTGGACTCAGCTTTAGCAGCATCTTGTCGGGCTCGCCGATAGGCACTACCTGGACTGAGACCAAGATCTCGCTGCAGCATGCGGGCGGCGATGGACACGCCAGCACGGCGACTCTTGGGGGTTGGTGCTTCTGTAGCAGTCGCCTGGCTTGCGGCCGGTTTGGCGGCTTCGGCGGATTGTTCGGCAGCAGCAGCCTTCTTGGTGAGAATTTTAACAGGTTCCTTAGGAGCGGCTTTCTCAGACTTGGAACTCTTGCTCTCTTTGCCCTTCTTTTTTGAGCCCTCTTCATCCTTGGACGCAGACTTTCCCTTAGTTGCTGCGGCTTCTCTAGAGTGTTTGGCGCTCTTAGCAGCAGCAGCTTCTTTAAGCTTATTTGCCTTCTTTTCCTTTAGATACTCAATCAATGGGGTGGTGGTGACTTTAGTTTCGGCCGCATCCTCGACCTCCTCGTTTTCAGTAACCTCCTTTGGCTGCACCGGATTAGCGAGACCTTCAAGAAAGGCCATAAACTCTGGGTCTTGATCGATAGTTCCCTGGCGAGCATCAACACGCTTCTTATTTCCTGGGACCTTTTTGTAGATGGACATTTCCAAGGAAGGGGGGCCGATAAGAGAAGGACTAGTGAAGGTGGATTTGGCGTCTTCCCAGGTCGCATTTCGAACGATATCGCTAAGGGGCATGATATAGTCCTTACGCATCACATGAAGGTACGCCCTAGAGGGTCGTGATGGCTTTGAGATCCTTGTGCCACCAATGTTAGTGTCTCAAAGAGAATTTGAGAATTTGAGAGAGAGGGGGATGATATCTAGCTATGATATCCCGAGGACATACTCATTGCAAACCTTGCCTGGGGCGTAAGAAAACCAATCAACCTTGCCATTGCCCACTCCCCATTCAGAGCCCAAGATGGAGACGAATTCGGTCTCAGTCATGCCCGGAGGTAGGCGGCGGATAATGACCTTTTCACCTTCATGAGGAGTCTTGGTCTTGGGAGCCTTTGTCGATTCCGCATCATGGGTGGTGCCCCGACCCTCACTTTGTTTCTCGGCCGTGCCCTTGCCCTTGTTAGGACGAGACGCGCCGCCCTCAGCAGTGGCTTTGTTCTGTGCAAGGCGACATATCAGTTAACCATGCCGGACGAGCATCTCACATCGCCTCTCACCTTGGCAGACTCATTTGCCGAGGCGGAAGCCGCCCCGTTTGTCCTGCGAGACAGGACCTGCGGTGCTTGAGTCGACATTGTGCATATCGTACAGATTTAAGGGATGCAACGTCAGGGTTCTAAAGACGCAGGTGCGAGCATGAAGGCGTCTCGGCCAGCCACGGGTTTTGAGGCCTGGGACAGAGATAGGCAGATAGGGTCAAATGAGTCGCGGCCTTCCGTCATATGAGAAAGCGTGGGTCCACTAAATAAATGCAGCGCATTGAATGCTGGAGCATAAAAAGGAATTTCGTACCAGAAGCAGACGGAGTTAGTGCCGCCTCATTCGAGTCTTTCTGTGGCGAAGATGCGGTTGACCTAATATGGAGCGGTCACGTGCAGCCGAGTAGAGGGAGTCGGTGATGGAATGAGGAATTGCTGCTGCCGCCTTTTCTGTTGGCAGGTCGTTGCATACGTAAGACATGTTGGAAATAAGAGCGTGAATAGACTCATTTAGACTGCTATTTTGTGTAGAGTAAATAATAACGAATAGGTTTTAACATACTCTTGTTATTGATAACGGGCATCTATATCAGACGGCTTTACTTGGGTACTAAGATTAACGATAAGCGCAGCGGCAGTCATCACAGCATACCTAGCAGGCGCTACAGCGAGCGCACAGGCCCCTCCGAGAAAGATCCGGCGCCTGCCTCCCGCTGAAGCGCAGCCCCTGGCGCCTGAAACCACAAGCGTTGAGAGGCCAACCCCACCAAGCGAAGCCCTCAATCGCCGTCATCTCAGGCCCGCTGATAAAGCATCATCCCTTCCACGCACTGGCACCGCGTTGGGCTGAATCAACCCAGCCGTTGCGCCGTTGCCATTTTTCGATCCCAAAATGGCGGCAAACGTACCTCGACCCGGCCCTGCCAACCTGGGGCCCAATGCCGGCCTGGACGAGTGGCTGGAGGAGGCCAAGCAGTGCCACTATCTGCCTGAGCGAGCCATGAAGGAGCTGTGCGAAAAGGTCAAGGAAATCTTGATGGAGGGTACGCAGCCCATCACCTGCAACTGACCTTTGGCGACCCCCTCGCTGGAAGTAGGCGAGATGGAAGAACATGGAGGCGCTGACATGATGAGTCCCGCAGAGTCCAACATCCAGCCCGTCTGCACACCCGTCACCGTATGCGGCGACATCCACGGCCAGTTTTACGACTTGCTCGAGCTTTTCCGCGTTGCTGGTGGCATGCCGGGCGAGACTGACGTGCAGGCGCCGAAGTCCATGACCGCGGTCATCACATCGGAGGACATCGAGCCCCCAACCGAAATCACAAACCCGAAGCTGAGGAAGAAGCTAAAGTCCCCCGGAGGCGGGGCCGGCTCGGGTGACGCTGATGAAGACGAGGATGGAGAGGAAGAGCAGCAGGGAGGCAACGACGTGCCCGCGGTCAATACAGTTACGTCTTCGCAGAGCGCCGAGACTCGCTTCGTATTTCTTGGAGACTACGTGGACAGAGGATACTTTAGCTTGGAGGCGTTCACATTGCTCATGTGCTTGAAAGCAAAGTACGATACCATCAACGCCTTTTGTTCTGCTCTTTCTCAGCCCAGGGTTCCCCTTAGTGCTGATACTAACACCGGTATAGATACCCAGACCGCATTGTCCTCGTCAGAGGTAACCACGAATCGCGCCAAATCACACAAGTGTACGGCTTCTACGAAGAGTGCCAGCAAAAATACGGCAACGCATCCGTCTGGAAGGCATGCTGTCACGTTTTTGACTTCCTTGTTCTCGCCGCCATTGTCGACGGAGAGCTTCTCTGCGTCCATGGCGGCTTGAGCCCCGAGATTCGAACTATAGATCAGATTCGAGTCGTCGCACGTGCCCAGGAGATTCCTCATGAAGGTGCTTTCTGCGATCTTGTATGGTCAGATCCTGACGACATAGATACGTGGGCAGTGAGCCCAAGAGGAGCGGGGTGGTTGTTTGGAGATAAAGTTGCTACAGAGTTTAACCACGTCAACGGCTTGAAGTTGATTGCGAGAGCGCATCAACTTGTAAACGAGGGGTACAAAGTGAGTTTGACCCTTGCCTACTTTTTTTTCTCTTCTTCTTTAAGCCCTTTATGAGGCTGCTAATGCTCTGGAACCTAGTATCATTTCGACGAGAATTCTGTCGTAACAGTATGGTCAGCTCCCAACTACTGCTACCGATGCGGCAATGTCGCATCAATAATGACGGTGGACAATGATTTGGCTCCCAAGTTTAGCATATTCTCTGCTGTGCCAGATGACCAGAGACATGTGCCCGCAAGTAGGAGATCGCCGGGCGACTACTTTTTGTGATTGGGTAGACTATGAAGATAAGCGAATCGTGAAGAGAGTACAGAGTATACCTTAGATTGGGTTGAGCTGGGTTGGTTTTTTTGCATGTAAACTAGCACACGGGTTGAGATATCCATGAATTTGAAGAATCGACAATGCATTAGGATTATAGGTAGGATGGGCCGGGGATCTGGCTAGCGGAAACGAATAGCAGCGATAAAGTCTATTAGAAATAAAATAAAAAAAAAATTGATAAAGAAATTTTATATTGCCTGTTATTGTTTTGGTGATTTAAACTGGTCCGACTATTTAGAAGCTGGTGGTGCTGAAGCTACGCTCATAATACTGCGAGCTAGCACAATGAAAAGTGTAGATGAGCAGGTAAAAACTCAGCTTTCTGAATATTTTCTTCTTCCGTTCCCTTCCACCACACCGATCACACCTACAGACTGACATTCCTAATGCAAATTTGCAAAGAAGAAAAGTCTTGATATATGCCAACTTAAAACTATAGTTCGAAACACGCACCATATTTCAGTTTTCAAATCAATGGCGGCTCGGCAGTTGGACGACAAAAAGTCTCACAGAAAGCCCAAGTCACGCTCTCGGCCTGTCAACCCTATCGCTGCGGCAATACAAAGCTGGATCCCTGCAGCACTTCCTCCGTTAGAGTCTGGCGACCAGGATTTACGAAATGAGAGTCTTATAAACTCTGCGCCTAAACGGTTTACGATTTACGAGCCTCTCGCCTTACTCCCGACTGGCAGCTTCACAAGCGAAGCGTGGACCTCTATCTTACGGACCTGCGATGAAGCTGCCTGTAATTCACTATGGCAATCCATCTTGCAGGAGATTTCGAAGGCTGGGCAAGGAGTTGTGACGCATCTAGCTGTTAATGAGGGTATACCGCTGCACAAGGATGGAGAAGACAATGAGAATGTGCGAAGAAGCCCAAGCGGGCTGAGGATGCTCTTTGGAGATTTTGGATCTTGGGAAGGCGTGGGCGAGAATCCTACAAAGAGCGATTTTGAAAACGCCTTTTGGGTTAGGACGAAGCAAAACGGCATATTCCAGACGTGGGCGCCGAGATGGACCATGTTTTCTCGTGGCAACGTCAAGGAAAAGGCAAGGGTGCTGGGATTCAAGCGTCCTATGGCCAAGGGAAGGGAAAACCAAAAAGAGGACAACAGCTGGGCGGTTGATCTGTATGCCGGCATTGGATACTTTGTGTTTTCTTATGCGGCTCTGGGAATGAGGGTTTTGTGCTGGGAGATTAATCCCTGGAGCGTCGAGGGTCTTCGACGAGGTGCTTTGGCTAACAAGTGGAGTGTCAAAGTTATTGAGGGGGATGATTTGTTACTACCAGTGGAACAGCTCCTGGCTGGAGGTGAAAGGATTATTGTCTTTCTAGAGAGCAATGAAAAGGCACAGGGACGGATTGGAGAGATACAGGAGACGGGGCTTGCTAGGAACATTGAGCACGTCAATTGCGGGTTCTTACCCACGAGTGAGCCGGTCTGGAAAAGCGCCTGGGAAGTGACAAAGCTGGCTCCGGAAGCATGGCTACATTTGCACGAGAATGTCGGTGTTGGTGACATCGAATCCCGGCGAGGATCAATTCAAGGGGCCTTTGAGACGTGGGCTGTTTCGGGGGCAAGTTCTAGGACTCCAAAGGTCGAGCACGTTGAGCAGGTCAAGACGTTTGCGCCGGGGGTTTGGCATTGCGTCTTTGACGTTCGTATTACAGGCGGTAGTATATCTAATAATGGTACATGAACAGTATGATTACATCAACTTCGTATCCTGGCATCGTCATCTCTCATATAAATTTCAAATTTCCTCAGTCCCTTCCCAGCATCGTTGGAAGAATCACACAATCTCGATAATGTGTGTCCACTTCAGACCATCTCTTCTCTCATTTCTTTTTTAATTGACCCGCAGAAATTTCTTGGGGATATTCTCCTCTATGATGGCCATTTGGTCCATCTTCTCCAGCTTCTCCTCCTCCTCTTCCATCTGCTCATGTTTCCGGAAGTGCTCAATGTCTTCCGGATGATTCAAATCTTCCAGCTTGGAGTTCTCGTCGTGATACTTCTCCCAGTGGTGAATCTCATATTCGTATTCGTCGTCGCCGTGGTGGCCGGGACCTGTGCCCATGTCCGGAAGCGTCTTGCCTTGTGAGATGTAGTCTGTCCATTCGTCGCGGCTGACGACACCGTCACGATTCAGGTCCATGAGGTCGAGGAGCTGGCGCAAGATGTCATCGCGGCGCTCCCAGGAGACGTGCCTGTTGGATTCGTCCATGAGGCCGTAGGTGCGGAGGAGCTCTTCGCCTTTCCAGTAGCCGTCGCTGTCGTAGTCGTGGAGAGAGAAAAAGGAGGCCGCGTCCCAGCCGTCAGCGTGATGCTCCTCTGTGGGCAAGTCTCTCTGTTAGGAATATGACACGAGATATAACCATTCAAATGATCCGGATGTGTCTGAAAAGCTTACCAGCCATGTGTTTTGTCATCCAGTTGGCGTTTGCATCGACAATTGGCTTCTGGGAGTGGGAGCCATGGGCAATGGCCAGGCCCGCAATGGCAGAGCAGAGGAGGAACGATCTCATGGTGTCGCGCAAGAGGGAGAATGAATTAACTGAGAAGACTGTGAAAGAGGGAGATGCTGAGATACAATGCGACAAGACGCGATGCAATGCAAAGAGCGGCGCAACGAATATGCTGTTCTTCCTTGAATGTCAATGGGAGGACGTTGAGTGGAGGAGTGGCCACCACAGTTATGGAGTACTACTGCCGTACTCTACAGAGCCACAGTGATAGCGGCGTCACTAACGGCGGTGACTGTAGGCCCTGGCTTTAGCGGCGGGGGTGGTCGCAAACAGGGGAGCGCCCACTAAAGCTTGTACATGGTTGCCGGATTAGGCTTATCTAGAATGGATGCGAAACCATGTTAACATTGTCATTAAGTGCTTTGCAACGTCGTATTAGGTACCACTTGATTAGCTTCTACAAGAATGAGAGCAATACGGTAGAGCTGGCACATAGTAATAAACAATCGGTGTAAAGCAATCCTTGAAGCGTTAACGTGGCAGTCCTCTTATGTTCCGTACCTGGCCAATGCCAACAGGCCGACTATATCAGCTGAACCCCGTGATCTCGCGTTTCCCGCCGTGCCCCGCCTCGCGTCTCTCTTCTAAGGCAGATCCAAACTAACATCGAGTAAGAGAGAGCTTGTTCCAAAGCGAGCCCTCGAGTATTGCGTTTCTGCACCCCATAATAACCAACATCGGCGCAATAATAAAAGATGAGCAAGCAAGTCGAGCTCGCTCTCGTCTCGTTGATGCCAACGTATGGCTCCGATCTCCCCACAACCCTAGTCGAGTCTGCCAGCTCCCTGCTGGCGCAGTCTCGACATCTAGCCAGCACATTGAAAAGCGACGAGGAGATTGCCCGTCTCTATGCCTGTGCCCACATTGCCTGCAACCGGTAACTAGCATCTGTTGGACCCCTTGTGAGATTCTTGGCGGCTAATCAGCTGCAATCGCGATAGACTCAAGATTACTCTAGACCTCCCGACAATTGAGCCACGGCCGCCGATCCCGCCCCGAGTATACAAGCGATTATATGCACATCTTGACAATATCCTTCCCAACCCATCAGCAAGCGGGCGTAGAACGCGAAATGCAAGCTCTAGACAGCGAGATGCCGGGGAATCGCCAGCATCTTCACAATCACGGCCTCTTCCTTCACGGCCTGAACCTAGCAAGGACAGCAGTCTTGCCCAATTCAGGAAAAAATCCGGCTTAGATACGAAAACAGCACTAAAATCAGACCGACAAGCACATTCAAGCGTTAGAGAGTCAGATATATACCCCTGGGTTCAGCCCGTTATCCGACACCTATGCGCTGAGCCTGGACACAAGAAACTTGCCCCCTCAATGCTGGCAGGCATGGAATCGATTTTACTACCCGGAGGGCGGAAAACAAAGGATGAGTGGGCATTGGAGCACGCAACTGCGTTATGCGCAGCTGTTATCTTCTTTGTTGCAATGCGGGTTAGGGATGTGGACCAAGATGAAGCTATCCAGCCTGAAAACTATGTCCCTACCCGCGCCGAGATTCTGGGGCAGCTGGATCGAGCACGTCAAGGCGTCACAGTCAAAGGGTTAGGGCCGGATACCCTTTGGGAAGGCTGGGTCGATATTACCGACGATGACTTTGATGCTGCGGTATCAAGAGTCCGCGAAAACGGTTGGCTTGAGGCCGATTGGTATGACGGCATTGCAGACGTCATCAGTATGAGCCTCCAACAGAATGACAACGTGACTGAGTATGAGGAGGGGACGTTGCAAGTCCAACAGCAGAGAGCAGATACCATGTTCCAAGAGAAGTATGATTACTTGAGTGAAAGCCGTAGAGCCGAGTACGAGACGTGGAAGACCACCATTTTAGGGCGGATTTCAGCGCTGTCTGCGTCTATAGAGGCCGGTGGAGGAGATGATACCCAATGAGCAGTTCAAAACGGCAACTGATTATCAACATTAAGATGGCAAGATGATTATATACAGAATTTCCTACCTCGATATAATGTACATGCACTCCGTAACCAACTGCATTCTGCGCAGGTCCACTAGGCCAGTTTGCCTGGGACAAAGGGGTGTCCTGCACTCAGTCCTCCGTCGACAGCCCAAGCCTGTCCATTTATATAGCTGGACTCATCACTGCCCAGGAATAGCACTACACGGGCAACCTCATCAGCATGGCCACCCCGCCTTGTCGGGTTAAGCTGGCCAATCTTTTTCTCATTGCCGCGGGCGCGCGCAGCTTCGTACACGGGCGCGGTCATGCCCGTCTCAATGATGCCGGGGCAGATGGCATTTATGCGGACACCAGTGCCCGTAAGCTGGTAGGACATTGTCTGGGCGAGGGAGACAACCGCAGCTTTGGAGGATGAGTAAGGGGTGCTGCCGGCGTTGGAGCGCAGGCCGGCAACAGAGGCGGTACCAATGATGCTTCCGCTGGGCTTGGGTTTCTGTGGAGATGTCTTCTTCATTGCTGGGGCGGCATATTTGGTAGCGAGGAAAACACTATTCGTTATCGTTAGTTTCTGGATAACCGTTGATGTCGAAAATTTGATTTTGAGTGAAAGAAACGTACCTTAGAGTGTTGACCTTGTGAACGTTCATGAAATCCTCAGCGCTGATATCAGTAAAGATTACGTTGGGGCCTGTAATTCCGGCATTGGCAAAGAAGACATCCAAGCGACCGTAGCGTTCCATTGCGTCGTCTACAACAGCCTTTACTTTGGCCTCATCCGCGGCATCAAACTGACGCGTCTGAATCTCGACATTGGGATACAGCTGGTTAATTTCCTTCTTGTGAGCCTCAAGGTTTGATGCGTCAAAATCGCACAGGTAGATTGCTCGGGCGCCGCTCTCGGCAAACTGATGAGCTGTGGCGCGGCCAATGCCAAGGGCAGAGTTGGCGCCTACAATGGAGATGTTAGAACAGCGCTTAGAATTGAGCTTGTCATACCTCCACTTGACGGGGTATTTTGGACTTCTCTGCAAGGGGATCTTGGAGTGGGACGTTACGTGCCGGTGATGATGACGACCTTGTCTTGAGCTCGAGGCTTGCTGGATCCGGCCGCAACCTTGGCAATGGGAGGGAGCTGAGAGGACATGGTGTGTGAGAAGAGGTGGTACAAAAGACGGTGGGTGGCTGTGGCTGCGTGTGATTTTATCCGATGCAGTTGACCGTGTCGGAGCAGATTGAGGGGACAGTGAGATGAAATACGAAGTATATCTTAAAAATATTCGACGGACGAAGGCTGGACTGCGGCTCTAAAAAGAAGTAAGATGTGAGAAAAGTTTACACGGTAATAGGCAACGATGCTGCATAGAAGCTCGCTATAAGCTGATATCCATATCCGGGGAACAGCGAGACTCCGCCTAGGTGCCGAGGCACAGCCATTGGCGCGCCGAGGACTAAGGCTGGCTGGGCGAGATTCGGTGTGGAGCTTGGATTCCCCCCGCATGTTTAAACGGTCTGCAAGGATCAGATCTTGCGATGGTAGTGGGGAGCGAGGCCCCGAAATACGTGCCTTTGCTTTTGTCTAAAGTTGGAGTTGGGATAAGGAATTAGGGGCGAGACCTGTTGTTCTCTTTAGGTAGAGTACTATGTAGAGCATCAGCCTCAGGCACCTACAAGAAGTACCTCTGTAACAGTTGTAGGCCCACCGTCTCGGACCTGCGCAAATCGAGAACTATGTCATTCATTCATTCATTCTCGTTCCACACCTCCATCTAGGGACGAATGCACTGAGCTGGATTTATGTCCCAGATACGAGATGGCCGGGTCTGAGAAGCATAAGCCATTGATCCATCGGCTGGGCGCCCAATTGGCTCCTTGAGGGGCCAATGGTACATAACAATCTGCAACGCCGTCTCTCTCATTGGATTCTCACAGCTACTCACTTACAAAGTACAGCCTCTTCATGCAAGGGCGACTCATGTCCCCATCGCTCCAATCATGTTTTGCGAGCTCAGCTGACCAGGCTCTTCTAGGATGAGCATCCAGACACCGATCCCGTATTGAGCCTTCGCTGGGGTTTACAGCATATACTCCAAGCTAGCGCTGTGCTCGTCTTGCTGCAGCTACGCCCTTTAGAAGCCCAATATCTCTTCTCAGGCTCTTTTCACATCTTTTGCCACACCGCTGGAGGATTGTGATTGTGCACCCCGGTGGCGGTTCCATGCATAGGCCTGTGACTCGGTCGCGTAAGCCAAGCTCTGTATACGGACGCCTTGCATCGTTCCTTGGGACCACGGCATGAGAGTGCCAGCTCTTCCAGGGTATATCTCCGCCCATATTCAGCCAGCCCTTTTGATAAAGAAGCCGTATTTGATTCGGGTTCCAACAGAGTGAGCTAGGAAAAACTAGCCGAAGACGTCACATGTGTTCTTCTTCTCCTTCTCTTCCTCTTCCGCTTTGGTCATCATAGTGCAAGGAAGCTTCCTTAGCTGAAACCCCAAAAGGTCTCCCTCTATTGCTAACGAGTGGTGAATGCTAGTTGAACGAATACGAAGTTTGCCATGACTAGCTGAGAGCTTTTTTGTCAACTTGTGTATACCAGCACGCAAATTTTGGGATCCCCACGACACTATCTCGGCCGTTTGGGCGGCTACACCCCTACACAATAAACTTGCGTCTCCCCCCAATTTGTCCTCGGTGGTGTTGGATAAAGCAGAGTTTTTAGGGACGAGAATGGATTATGGTGGCCATCCTGTACACAGTTTGGTTCCACCGTTCCTCGCTACCTCTTCTATTTTTCGGTGATCGGTGATACCTTACCTCTTCCCCTCCCTCTATCACTACCCTTAACACGGCCTTGGCAGCATTTTATTTGCATTATCTCTAGGCCAAGTAGCTTCTATCTTGCTGCCAAGGTGTAGCCGCATATGAAGCATTACTTGTCATTAATTTTTATGAACAACTGTAACGAAATTGGAGCGAGCACACCCTGTTGGTCCTTGTTTGCTAGGCTTCGCCTATGCCCGAGACTATTGACCAATGCCTGCCTGCTTATCGCAAACAATGATTATACAAGAACTTGGGACATTACGAATCGCATGGCTAACCTTGTCCTACGTCCTACCGCCAATGGATATCTTTTTCTTTTCTTCTATCTCTCGATCAAGAGGAAGAGGTCTAGATGTTGCTCAATTTTTCTTAATTTTGACGCCATTGTGACTTTCATTCAAAAGTTCTGGGGGGAGGGGGGGTTAGGAAACCCAACATTGCATCAAACAAGACCGTATTCTTTCGTTTGATGATTCAATTCTTGATTTATAGTGAATGAGAGAATGCTATTGGCTGGGTTGAGAAAACCCCTCTGCCTGGCGTCGCCTGATTTGAGAAGTAGCGCCAGGGCAAACCCAAGCTCGACTAAATTTATGTTGTACAGGCTTGCTACCAGGCCATTGGGCACCACTGTTACGTGGCATTTTCAGCCCTAGAACAGACCAAAGCGCTTATTTTCAAAAATGGAAGATGCTCAGATTTATCATGGAACAAAACAGTGTAACGTGTTTGCCCTGGGATTACCACGCTGAAATCACAAAACAATTCATTTGATGAAGAGTCAAAAGAATGGGAGGCTGCTGGCTACAGGGCTGTTTGTGTCCTCGGATCTCTGTTTCTCCCATGTAGGCTCCGATCTTCCACGAGGAAGCCATGAGACAGCAGGGGCCCAGAAAGCCACTAGGAAGCAATCATCCGTTGCAGCGGTCGTTTTCCCTACGGGATGGTTCCACGATACACAAGTTCTTGGAAGCGAGCTGATGCTGAAGAGTCTACGGCTCGACCAGGCTGTGGCTCCCTGGCCACACTCCTCTCCACCAACGAAATCCAAGAGAGTATCTGTATGGCTTCCACTCCGGCATTAGCGTCGTTACCGTACCCGACGGCCTCCGAAGCCCATGAACGCTATTGAGCTCTTACAATGCAATCATATCCAAGCGGCTTCGCCTCCAGTCCGAAGCTCATACGAGGCCATCTCATCGGGAACGGTACGCCGCAGACCTGTGTGAGACCCACCTGCATATGGCCCGTCTGCTGCTCGTCCATTTCGGGGTTGAACTTCTCTCTATCCCTTGCCAAAAGTCCATGGGCCATCCTCGCACTTGTATTTCCCTCTTGTACCGATTATTCAACATGTCCGGGGTATATAGTAGGCGTGCGAGCCTCTCGAGGCCATGTAACACCTTGACCCTCTGCAATTCATGCTGCTGAGCTTCTCTCACATTCACTGCAAGCTTACAGAATGACTTAATATTTTGTTCGTCTTTTCCCTATACAATATACGGCACTTGTCTTTTATACGACATTGTTTCAAGACTTTCTCTTTATCACCTGTTTTTTGTTACTTGGTATTTAACTGATGACTTAACGACAAGATCCACTACTGCGAGACTCATATAGATAAAACTCAAAAGGTTCAAAGACGAGATACCATGGACAAAGCTAAATGCACTGACGACTCTCATGCTACTCGAGATAGTCCTACTTGTTCCGCTGAATGCCAAGCGCAGCTTTTGACGTCTCTGGCATCTAGTGACGAGGCGCTTAAGACAGCGTGTCTGACGCTCTCAGATAGACACAGATGTGGTCGAGATGACTTTTATATTCCTTATTATTGTGGCTCACAATTATGCACAATTAATGGCAAAAGAGATGCTGATCAACAATGTGCGTCAAATACATAAAGGGGAATGCACACTTACCGATTTAACTCTTGTGTTAGCAATCATAAGTCGGCTCATCAGCTCCTGTGAAAGGTAGTATACAATTATATGCCATATATGGTAACGACACGCTCACTAACGGGGATTATAGTAGTGGGTTGATCAACTTGGCACTACTTGATCAAGATCGCGATATCTTAGGCGCTCTCCTGGATGAACATGAACCCATTCATCGACAACAGAGGTTTTCAACTACACCAGCCGTGGCTTTCCCAGCTGCAACTGCGTCAGGATTCCCCGAAGAAGGGTTCCATACTATCACAATTAAGACAAGCTTTTCTTCTATTCCCTCCATAGTACACGATTTAACCGCGTCAGGCCTCTCTGCTACTCATCTGGCTATCTCAGTAGAGAGCTCAAAGTACCAACATCATCAGAGGTCCACAGTCGCAAACCAAGTGTCCTCCACCACGAAAGTCACCATTGGTGTATCCGTCATGGTCGGAGTTCTCGTCATTATTGGCTTCATAGGGTGGCACCTGAGGATGAAGATACGCTTTCGCAACAAAAAACGAATAAGTCGTCCCATTAAGCCCATCAGCCCTCCCGCTACGCCGCTCATATCGCCATCGAGCTCACATGCCGCACCACCAAAGGCCCCATTGACGCCGCCTGCACGACTACAAGAGCGCCGTTTCTTGCTTCCAAGGGCATTGAGTCTTCGTCGTAACAATCAGCGTCGTCGATCTGATGGTCCATCTTCACAGGATAAGGTCGGGATGCCATTGGCGCCGCTTTCGCCTCTGTCAACCTCCAACGCGAGACGAAGCCCTGAAGAAGGCGAGCACCAGGGTATAACGTCAACGACATCGATTTCAATGACAAAGTCTCCGGCCAGGCCGCCTAGGGACGACAATCCATCAGAAACTAGCATTTCCAGCGTCTTCAGTCATGTTGGCACTGTTAGAGCTGCATCGAATGTATCCATTGGCTCGGCGCAAAATAAGTACAGCAGTGCCACGGTTACCGAACTCCCAAGGCCGCCACTGCGTGTATATGAGGCACCGCCGGCGGTTGGTCGCTTGACAAGCCCTGGGCCGCCTCCCACTCGGGCGCTACCGAGTCTTCCTTTGGATGGTCGGACAAGTCCCTTGAAGTCGCCTCTATCACCTACTAGTCCGACGCGAAGAGGTTCGCCGAGCATCGCATCTATATCGGGATCGTCTGTTAGTGTAAGTGAAGGTAACGGAGATTCTCAAAGGGTGTGGGAAGGAAATAGTCACAGTGACTTGAGGGGATCGGTAGAGGTGGCTTTGCAGTCACCGAGGAGGGTGAGGCATGTGAGGAGCCCGTTATTGAATGAAGTTCGTTTAGACAAGGTGTTGTGAATTTTACTTGGATGAAGGGGCGGATTGGAAAAGAAGAAAGGAGGATACGATGATATATCAAAGCCGTGGGGTAGTCCAACACGAGCGGCCACAGGCTTTTCCTCGTGGCGAGCAGGATGTCTAACCACGAGATTGCAAAGATCATCCATGAGAACATAAGCATGGAGTTTATACGTTGGGTAGGAGGATTAAGAGAAGGAATACTTGAAGAGGTAAGTCGACTTATACAATGAGCTTGAAGATAGACAGACATAATCCTTTCGATTGATAACTTAACTATGTTGCTCTATGTCATAAGTTCTTTTTGTCTTTTTCATGTTTGTTAAATCTAAATGCCCTTGTCCTTCAATGAGTTGACAGTATCAACCATGCTCTTCTCGATAGGGATCCAGTCAATCTTGAGCAGCTTGTTGGTCTCATCGCAGTTCCACTTGTACGCCTTGGTCTCATCAACGTGCTCTCCGCCCTTGACTTCCGGGCCGGGCAGCCTCTCCGCAAACTCGGGGAAATTGTCACGGATGATCTTTGCAATCTCGTGGTTAGACGTCCTGCTCGCCACGGGGAACAGCCTGTGGCCGCTCGCCTCGGGCAGCTCCAGGGCCTTGATGTGCGCCTCGGCGGTGTCGCGCACGTCAATGTACAGGTCGACGGCGCCGGTCTCTGGGATCTCCGTCTTCCACTTGCCGCGCAGCAGATCGGCAATGCGCTCGTTGGAGGCGTTGATGGCGTCGACCGACGCGAGGCTGTGGGCTACGGGCCCGAGGACCAAGGGCGGGTTGACCGTGACGAGGTCGAAGTTTGGCTTCTCGTTCTTGACAAAGGCCCAGGCCAGGCGCTCGGACTCAACCTTTGAGACGTGGTAGCCCGTGGCGATGGACCGGTTGGCGTCCTTGACCGTGTCCGGGTTCCACGAGGACTCTGAGAAGGTGGTGTTTGGGTCTGTGAAGTGCTCCTCCGAGAGGATGGCGGCGAAGGAGGATGTGATGACGACGCGCTTGACCGACGGCGCGGACCGCTTGACGGCCTCGAGGATGCCCCGCGTGCCGTTGAGCGCGGGGGTGATGATCTCCTTTTGGGCGTCTGTGAAGGTGAAGAATAAGGGGCTGGCTGTGTGGATCACGTATTCGAGGTCGCCGTCGCGGCCGGAGGCGATCTTGGCGACGAGGTCGTCAAAGGCGCTGAGGACGGCAATGTCTGGCACGACGGCGACGGAGAGGCGGCCCTTTTCGACGAGGTCTGCGTGGGCTTGTCGGATCAGGTCGGCCTTGCTCTTTGTGCGGACGGTGGTGATGACGGTGTAGTTTTTGGCGAGGAGTTGTTCGAGGATGTGGGCTGTTTGAGGAAGTTAGCTTTTCTTTTCTGTTCTTTTTCCTTTCTTCTCTGTTCTTTTTCTGCTTTGTTTGGGAGAGATTTTCATTTCATATATCTTGTTGAGTAAAGTATATGAGACTGGATGTAGTGAAAAAAGTTGTATTAAGGGATAGGACATACCGGCGATGAAGCCAGAACCACCTGTTTAGTTTCCCCTCATTAGCAAAGTTGTGTTTACAATCACACAGCAAACACCCGCGCAGAAATAAGGATATACGAGCAACAAGCGTACCTGTAAGAAGAACCTTTGTCATTTTGAAGTTTGATCCCTCGTCAAACAGTTCTTCCTTCCTTTTCAAAATTTCACTTCGGCGCAGCGAAGAGTTTCCAGAAGCTAAATTGTTGATATAAAGATGATTTGGTTCAAAAGGCAATGCTTAAGCACATATAATAAAGCGTGGGGGGAACAAAATCCGTATAAAACAAAAGAAGTAAAACAAAATCCCGTCAACCTCTTTCGGAATTGCAAACCCCCTGATTTCAAATCATGCCATTTTTTTTTTTCCAATTCTTCATAACATTTTGCGTCAAGCCTCGTCATGTAGCATCATCGCGGGGAAAGGGTCTACCAACAAGGTCACAGAGCAAACCTATTTCCGAATTGTGCTGTAACAACAAAAAAATCACAAGCGCCCAACAACACACCTCCATGAGAATCTACAGCCCCAAAGCGTATAAGAGGGCATGCAGAGACTAGGATTCAACAGCGTCTCCGACTCGTGCGGCCTAAAAGCGGGCCCGGGAGCCACTTTTGATGCGACGGTGCTCCGTAGGATGGAGGGAGAAGTTCACATAGTAATCCCGTAGACTAGATAAAAAGTTATATCCGGCGTCTGTCCGGACTTCGGGGCTGTGGGATTAGTATGCAGTGCGTAGTATAAAAAGTATGAAGAAGTAGGTACTACTACTCGTAACGCTTTGGACGCATCTTGAAGGAATAGTGATCTCTCCTTTGGCCAGGATTGGGAATTTCTTTATCCCCGGGAACAATACTCCGTACCGTATATACACGTAAATGATATTTGCCTTATGCAGGTACAAGCGCCTGGGAATTTCCAAATCTCACCAGAACTCTCATCCAGGTGTATGGTTTTATTATGCTTCATGCTTCATGGATGGAACAGAGTGAAACGAGAAACAGTCATATTCCGAGGTATATAAAAAATCCAGCGGTGATCAAATGTACAAGATAAAATTTTGTAATACAGTACAGTAGCATTTCGTCATCAAGAAATACCCTCCTCCGCCCTCCGAGAGCCAGCTTCTGGTTCAAATGCATTCATTTCAGACCACGCCTCGCTGCTCCCGGCCTCTCTCTCTACCCGTACGTTTCCCGGTTAGACGTAGCTCCCTCTCTCTCCAAACACATACCATGGTAGGAAATAAACGGGTACAAAGTCATCCACGCCACTGGGACCGGTTTTGCTTTGACCTGCCTTTTCAAATAGTCCGAATGTGGAAAATTATTCCCAATGAGAAAAAAAAAAAAAAAACGCTTCGGCTTGCTTGATAGCCAAGATCCCTTTGTCCACTGCGAAATGAAGAGCTCCATGTACATAACAGAAGGAGGTGTGGGTTTCCCACTTTCCCAGCTCGATATCTATCACTTCATCGCATACCGTATTTTGCTCCGCTATACCAAATCATTCCAACACAACTCAGCCACGACCTTCTCTTTGGCATCGCCAATGCCACCATATTTCTTATGTAGCAGATGATTTAGCAGAAGCTGGAGGAGCTGGTGTAATGGGTGGGTGAGGTTGAGGAACGCCCAGGCCGGGGGGCTGAGGAATGTCGTCAGGGATTGGTAGAGTTAGTGGTCCTTTGGGTACAACTGTCCGGTCAAGCAGCTTCTCTCCCCGAATCACCTTCTCTACCTCATCTTTATCCAGCGTTTCGTACTGAACCAGTGCCTGCGCCAGAAGATCAAGCTCCTTCCGCTTTTCCGTCAATAGTTTTCTCACATCTTCGTAGGATTTCCTTAGCGACTTCTGGACTTCGCCTTCAATCAAAGCCTTGGTCTCAGAGCTGAGATTCTCATATCGTCTGCCGTATTCAACGGGCCCCAGAGCATTGGACATGCCAAAGTTGGTGACCATCATGAAACTCAAATCAGTAGCCCTCTCGAGATCCTATGGCAGTAATTAGCACACATTTTCATATCAAGTCGGTAGGGAAAGGCTTCGCTTACATTGGAAACACCGGAAGTGACTTTATCGTCGCCGTATCGCATCTCTTCTGCCATCTTGCCTCCGAGGAGCACGCGGATGTTGGACATGTATTCGGCCGCAGTGTAAGAGTACTTGTCCATGGCAGGAACATGAGCAGTATGGCCCAGAGAAGGTCCCTTGGGAAGAATCGTAACCTTGTAGAGTCTGTTGGAGCTTTCCTTTTCGAACAGTTGGACAAGAGCGTGGCCAGCCTCGTGGTATGCAGTCATTTCCTTCTCCTTCTCTGTCACCACCATTGACTTTCTCTCTGCGCCCATGGTGATGCGGTCGAATGCCCAGTCAATGTCATTCTTAGAAACCTCACGAGCCTTGGCCCTGCTAGCGCGCAGCGCCGCGACGTTTAGCATGTTCTCGAGATCAGCGCCAGATTGTCCAGGAGCGCGTGCAGCAATGGATTCAAGGTCCACATCAGGTGACAGCCTGATCTTCTTGGCATGGTGCTTCAAAATGGCAATGCGGCCGCGAACGTCCGGCAAATCCACGTTGATATGTCGATCGAACCGTCCAGGCCGGGTAAGAGCCTTGTCAAGAAGTTTGGGCAAGTTGGTAGCTGCCATGATGATGATCTTAGTGTCCGTGTCGAATCCATCAAGTTCTGTAAGCAGTTGATTCAAGGTCTGCTTGGAGTGAGCTTGATCCCTTGGGTTACGCTTTCCGCCAATCGCATCCAGTTCGTCAATGAAGATGATAGCAGGGGACTTGGCCTTGGCCGCTGCGAACAGTTCTCGAACGCGTTTGGCTCCAACACCGACAAAGATTTCATCAAATTCACTTCCAGACATGTAGAAGAAAGGAACACCAGCTTCTCCGGCAACAGCCCGAGCGAGAAGCGTCTTTCCAGTACCGGGGGGACCAACTAGCAGAACTCCTTTGGGCAGCTTAGCACCAAGGTCGGAGAAACTCTCGGGGTTGCGCAGGAATTCGACCACCTCTTGTAGCTCTTCTTTGGCCTCGTCGCATCCATGAACATCGTCAAACCGAGTTGTCTGTTTTTCAGCCTTGACCTCAGAGTCGGCCTTGGCGCCTGGACCACGTCTGAAGGTGCTCAGCGTCTCAATCAGGATTGTCACAGCTGCAAAACACAAGTAGGTGAAAACAATGAAGGTAGCGAAAAACTTGACCCAGCGAAAGACAAGCGACCGAGTGGATTCTTGGACGACAACGTGGATTGGTTCTCCCTTGACGCCCATCGAGCCACTGAGAGCGGCATTAGCGATGGCCTGTTCGTTTCCTGCCCATTGGCCACGGGCAAATCCAGGTGTCGCTGTAGCTGTAGCCACGGTGCTTGTGCCACTGTTGAGAGCAGCCAGTGCCCTCTTGTAAGCGTCCTCAGTACCTGCATTTGTCGCGAAACGGCCAGTTTGATATCTTTCCACCAAGATGCCAGGCATGTTGGCTCTCAAAAGAAGCTGATAGAAGGCGTTTTGAAGATTTGCGTTTCCGGGGTTCCTGTTTGCTGATTCTTCGACAGAGGCTAATTGACTGCGAGAAATTCCATTTGCTGTTCCAAAGCCTCTGTGCTGCATACCGAGTGTTCCGGAGAGAACCCGGGTCGTGGACATTGCGCGTAGCGGGGTTGAGACGGCGGGGGTAGATCGCATGAACAGATTGACCAGAGGAGGCGAGACAGTGTTGATGGGCTGGAAGAAAGGTCGTCGGAGGATTGGATTCGCTGCGAGCAAACCAACCCGACCCAATCCAGAGACGGAAGCGCGAATGTCGGTTGGCGCCATCGCACTGGGGGTGATAGCCTTAGAAACGTACAGTGGTGCTTGTTGGAGGAAATCGGGCAACTGGATCCGCGTCGACTAAATACATCATCAAAAGTTAGATCGATGAATGCGTGTGAATGATTTGCAAGGAGCATGGAGTATTCCCACCTTCTCTGTCGCCTCGGCAGACGACTCTGTTCGCGCAGTCTCGGTTGTAGCAGTCGCATCGATTTGCTGGCGGGGCACGGGGGAAGGTCGCCAGGGTCTCGCAAGAGTGTTTGTTATCGAAGGCAAAGTGTCCGCTGCGGCTGCTGCCATTGACTGTTTGATGACCGGTCAGCACCTGGCTTCGGTTTTCGGAATTCAAAGGGCGCTCAGTTCGGCATGGATGATGGGAGGCGGGTTGGTACTTACAGGCAGCAAACCACCGTGGAACGCCATCGTCACGAATGACGTCGCCTATGTCAAGGCGAGAATTGAATGTTGAATGTCAAGCCCAGCGATAATCGGGAGGGAAGAAGATAAGAAGCAATGAGACGAGTGGCAGCCAATGCTGTCCTGTCGTATGACGTGGTGTAGCAGCCTGTCCGGCCGGGGCCTGGCGCTATCGAGAGGCCCGCCTGCTCCAGCAATGCCGAGAGAAGACTGAGGTTGGAATCGTTTGCCTTTCCAATCGCTGAGAAAGGGAATGGTAGTTGATCGTGGATGAGGGGATTTCCGAATGCAAAATGCTACCCCCAAGTCCTCATCATGCCGACTGGACTCGCGTTTGGGAATGGGAGAGAACTTGCCACTCAATCGGCTCCAGCATATCGGCGACGATCGGTCGACCAGCTTTTCCGAGCCTTCACCGCGCCTTAGTCAGCTTCCATCAAGGGACCTTGTGACGTGTCACATGATAGAAGCACGTAGAAAAGGCCGGCTTGTCATTCCGTTTTAGGAAATCCTTAGCTCCAGCACTGTTACTATGGTTCCAGGCGGCGCAGGACTGTATTTTTATCATTGAAGTATTGAAGTACGTGTTGTTTAAGGATAAGCATTGTTGAAAGTTTAAAATAAATAAATACAGTAAAATTTCATTTCGTTCATATAAAGCTATAACTCATACATAGAATTCCCCACCAATAGCATTACCAATACGTATACCTAAATTTTCATATAACGCGGCTACCACAACCTGGTAGAAAGCTTGTAATTGTACAAAGTGCCGTTTGACAGGCCTGAAAAAAGCCTGCCTACTCCTACTAAACTTCTAATATCTCCTAGATTTGCCCTTTCTTTTTTTTTTTTTTTTTTTTTTTTTTTTTTTTTCTGTTTACTTTTTTTTTTATTTAAACACGCTTGAGACCATGTCTAGTCCCAGCAGTGCATTGACCGTTCAAATAAAGAGAGATCCGAATCCAAACCACGGCTCAGATTTGATCAGCGCAGGAGTACTATAGTCCTCTACTGTATGGTTTAGGATCTGCTCTGCTGCGATTGGCATTTTCTGCTGAGAATGATGTGACTGTTGAGAGTATATCATTCCTCTCTCACGTTGCTCCATTGAAGATGCGTTGAAATTGTTTAATAGAGGATAGTTATGACCAATTTCACCATATGGCGGCATGACGAAGTGGAATAGTGAAGTTGTCTGTAGAGCAGTAGCTCCTCTATTTGACGTGTTGGCGAGACTCAGAGATGGGCCTGTCATATTGATTGTAGGTTGGTGCGCTTGCTCAGTCAAGCAGTGATATTGGGTAGTCAATAGTTCGTCGTTGTCAAATAGCTTGTCTATGCCATAGCTATATTCTTGCTCATCCAGCGGATCCACAGATGGTGAGAATTCAGCTGCGCTCTCCTGAAATACCGAAACTTGTGGAATCATATTGTCCTGGAGAGACTGAGGAGTATCTGGCTGAGCAGTTGTAGATGGCGACCGGCTTGACTCTGAATCAGAGGCGCTTTCTCCTCTTGGAATACGGAAGAAATTACGCTGCTGAAGCTGGTGTTCTTGTTTTATTAAGACCTTTCGGCGACAGAAGCTAAATAGAGTTAGTTATGCTTCTGCTTTTTGAGTCAGATGAGAGATCTTACCCATTGGGACATTCTATATGTCCACACCTACGAGGGCGTTTTCTGGTATGTACATGGCGATGTCTGGAAAGGCTTGAAGACTATTCGTATTGTGAGCTTTTGTTTCCATCAATCGGCTTGTAATTGCATGCAACATACATCTGAGAACCTTTTTATGCAGCCAAGGAATTGGCACTCGTGCGGCTTCTCACCGGTATGCGTTCGAGTGTGGACAACGAGAGCACTGCGCTGAATAAACCGCTTTTCACAGCCAGGCGCCGTGCATGGGTGTGGTCGGTCGTCTGTGTGGATTTTATAATGCCTCGTCAGATCTGATCTTCGCTTGAAAGCCTGCAAGTACATTAGTACCCATGTAAGAACAATCAGGCTCGCGCAGCGAATTGTTTCTCTTACCTTGGTACACGACTCCCATTTGCAGCGAAATGGTCGAAAGTCAGGCTCGCACATTAATCTCTGGGAGCTCATTGTGAGTTGCGACTGTATCAGAGAAATGGGGGGTTTGTCTGAGTATGCCCAGTGGTACTGTTTTAGCCGATTGAGGTTGTGTTGGATGGAAGATGCCAGATTTGGTTGGGTTTTATACTCAGTGAGATGAATGAATGTAATGGATGTGACAAAAGAAGGTAAATATGGTTGGTAAACCGGAATACCAGGGAGAGATATATGTACGCCCGACTATATGTACTCTTATCCTCTGCAGATCCTAGGACGGAGTCTGCTAGCTCAGCTGAAGCTGGGAAATAAATGAATGTCTGGGGTGTAAGAGGCCAGTAGATTCAACACCAATCCAATTGCGGATCCTAGACTGTGCCAGCCAGACTTAATGGACCCAATAGGCGACCAGAAACGAGTTGGAAGAACCTTGCAGATAGTAATCCACTGCCACCGCAGAATTGGGAGGGAAGATCCGGAACTAGCACTACGTAATAATGAATGTAGCCGCAGAGGCGTTGCGTAACGTAGGTAAGAAGGGAGTGAAAGAGTTGGTCTTAATAATAGGCTTAGTGGTGTGTGCTAGCAGGGAGATGAATTTGATAGGCCAGTCGAATGCAAGTCACTCCAGAGTGTTGGACACAAGCCTGCTGTAATGATAGGCTGAGATTGGTCACGCTAGGCTTGGGCAAAGCGATGAGTGCGAGCTTTGTGGTATTGATATAAAAGGAGGAGGGAAGTGTGAAGAGAATATATATCAAAAAGAAGGGGGGGAAATAATTAGAAGGAATGGGGGTTGTTTCTTCTTTTTCTTCCAGAGCCGTTCTGACGTCTCATCAATGAAAGGCAAGGCCTGTGGGATAATCCATGATGGTTGCAAAGCGGAGGGGTAAGAAAAGAAGTGATGCCGTATATATAGGTGATGTATGAGGTGCATACCATTGGTTGTGAGAGGTAAATAAACATAGAATTGTAATATAATCGCCGACGTGATGCACTGAACGAAGCAGGGGTTCGGCAAGCGCGATATAGCTATCGATGGAGAATTGATAGCCGCCTCCAAAACGCTAAGCTACATGTAAGTAAAATAGCTACCTAGTATTCTTGGTCACAGCCGTGCGGGAATACATTGGACGCTTTTGACGAAATCGTGTATAGTGTATAGCAGGGGCATCAGTAGGAGGGCAGATCAAAAACTAAACCCCCCCTCCTCTCTCTTTCTTCTCCTTCAGAGCCATCCTAATTAGGCATATGGGAACCTTGAAGGCACACTATCTAGTCATTTCAGGTTAGCTATTGTATGGTTGCCATTGTAGTAATTTGGGCTCGGCATATAGACCCAAAACTCTCGCTCGATTGAGTTTAGTATAGACATCAAGATAAGCTCTCTGTTGCAGGTAAGCCGTGGAGGGTCTCGTGAGTGTTTCATCATGAGGCACGGGGAATACGCAAGGTAAAACAAAGGAGGGGAGCAAAACTCAACATGGAGCTCGCCCGCTTCTCTCCAGATAGCTACAATGCGCCCAAGCTAAATCCCGAACATGGCCTCGGAAGTGGAGGACAACCATAAGGACTTCTCCGGGAACTTGATTGATGCCAGGACAAGGAAAATGGCGTGGCTTTGATGCCACTAGTAGAGTATTGGCTAGCGGGCATTCAGGGGTGGAGGCCGGAGGAGTGAGTGGTATTGGACACACATCTATTGAACGAGGTGAATTATACTCGTACAGAGTAGATCGTTTTGTGATATGCCTTGGAAGCTAAGATTACACGCATGGAACATATCATCGCGTACAACATACTCTGCATGTACTTAATGAAGCAGCCCGCACTCCAAGGCGTGTTTTATTTCGATTGGAGGATCGCCATAACGTGGAGTGGCCGGTAGCAAAGGAGAGAGTGTGAGTAAAACGAGGCACAAGTATATTAAAAGAAAAGAAATAGAACCAAGTAGTAGTAGTAGAAGTGGAGACTCCTTGGAAGCATGTGCTATTGAGTGGATGGCATGCTGTGCTTACTTGTATGGGGAAGAGCTATTGCAGAGTGCTACTACAAGTCATTATCACAAAAAGTGATGAGCGCGGACGCTATAGCCTCTGAACCTTGCTATAGCTGTGCATTTACACAGCATTTAGCACGAGGGAGCCTGCCAACGAGATGGATCCCGCCTGTGCGTCGCCATTTTGCGGAGAGCCTTGGCCCGATGTTCATTTTGACAGACCAAATCACCATAATGTACCTAGGCGGGTGAAACAACGGCCATGGGGTTGCCGGATGGACGTGCGCCGGATCTGCCGCTAAACTCTAGTCAGGGCTCACCAAGATGCCTTTCTCCACCCAGACCAGCCCGACTGGGATGCCTGCGTGGAAGAGTGTGTGTGATGCAGCTCATATTGTTTCCCCAGCCAAGGAGGATTTCTTGCAGCCAGCGCACCTATTTGATTAGCAGGCACTCTGTATGCGGCCTGTACGTAAGGACGTGGTTCTGGGCTCAGCTCAATGAGTATTTTTATCACTTATACCTTGTCTATAGCATCAGCAAATATTGGTTGCTGCTTTGGTGGGTATTACGCGAGGCTGAATCTATATATATGTAATATGTAATATGTAGATACGGTTATGGAGCATACTTATCTAGGTAGTTGGATCCCATGAGGAGTAAACCAGGCCTATTGGCAGCGGCCAAAATGCACGGGTTAATTGGTACATGTACTACATATATGAGTGATAATATCCTTGCTATACCAAATGCCCTCCGCTGTCGCCTCGCTTATATCCACCAAGCACTCTATGCCGAATCATAGTATTGTCATTAGCTTCACGTTGATCTACTGCACTAAGAACCTATATCACACGCTGTACCCTGCTCGGCCTGTTTTTGAGCCAATACCTATTATCCAAGCCCAGTGGATACTCCCACATACCGAAGTGTTACTTGTAACTTATTGATACATCTACTTCATACCTCGGTGCTCCCGGCAGCAAAGCGTGAGGAGACAGAGGTGGAGACGGCGACGTGCAGATACTGAGGGGGCCGAAGAACCAGATGCTCCACCGCGGCTGCTGCGCAAGGCGGCCGGCCGTTGGGTCGAGTTGACAGTGATTGTGTATTCTCGTATATCCTCGCTCTGCTCCTTCAGACGCATCCCTCGCACGCATGGTTCGTATGTGTTCCTGGAGATGGGATTAGTACTCCGTAGTGCCCATCCGCATACAGTAGATGGAGATGGATATGCATTTTACTGACTCCCACTTGAACAAGATGAAGTTGGTGGCACAAGTTCAGCTGGCTGCCGGCTGATGTGCTCTTGATAATTCGATCATCCCAAACTCCAGCTACACCACACCCTCTGTTGTTTTCTGTTTACCTGTTTGTTTGATCCTTTGCTTGTTTGTTTCATAGGGCGAAAACAATGGCAGTGGAAATTATACAGCTTGCACTAAAGCCAAAAATGATGTGCTATTGCAGGCAAAAGGAGGATTTCCACGTGGTCGCTTGGGGAGGTATTTACCACGTGTGAGATACAACCATTCATCCTAGCCATGTTATTAACAACTACTTGTGCTACAGTAGGTACCTACCCAAGCAAGGAGGTACCTCAAGAGGTTTCTAGGGTTGCATTCAAGTACCAGTACCTACGTCAGGCCTGCCGTGCGGGAAATGGCTTCTCCGACCCATGCATCATCTCTTATTAGGTAGTGGATAACGACATGCATCTTCCTGCATATCATTTACTTACTACCACTGCCAACCTAGCGAATACACTCACAGAGCCAAGAAACACAGGCAAGCAAGCGTGGACGTCACTCGCGTTGACGGCTAGGAAGTATGCTAATGCAAATAGATCAGACGACGCTTGGGCGGTAGCATCGCCAGGAACTCCGCCCAGCTATGGAGGAGAAGGATCTCCATCCTTCCCTGAACCCCCAGCTATTTCGGTGATAGGGATTCACGGGGGCAATGCCTAGTCAAACGCTTTGCCATGCTGGCGCCAGGGTATGTACCCGGATTTTTGTTGAACCAAGTTATCAATCAACCTTGCTTTGCCTGCAGCGTCAGCGGCCCGGACAGAGACCCGCTAATCAAGGCCAAGTGCTTGTAGAGCACGCCTGACGCTCACTATTCCCTGAGGCTGGATCTCCGAAGGCCCCATCTACTGTACATACATACATCAACCCGCATGTGTGTCTTACCACCCATCCGACGCCGGTTTTTTTGCCAGTCACGGCGTTGTAGTAGCACAGCTAAGAACCCGCTGGGAAGCGCTCCTATTGATTCAAGCTCGAGAGGGGGTTGGGTCAGTCCTCGGCAGGTAAAATTAGTGGAGAGAGGGTCAAGATCCATGCCTATAATTGTTCTAATATTGCATTAGTAGATCATGGAACCGACCAGGGTTCATTGCCTGGGCTCCATCGTCTCCAATCAAGTGACTCAATGGGCAGTCTCTTAGCCAAATCTTGCCATTGGCTACAGAGTGCTAATCAGAAAGGATAAATCCAAGAGTATACCGAGTGAAACGTCGAAAACGGTCCCGCAGCATTATTCCTACAAAGCGGACTAGACGAAAACGCCTCAGAGTTTGTGCGATATTGCTCGCACATTATGCTGCTCTTAAAGCGTACCTATCGGTACAACATAGCTCTACTGGGCGCGAGTGTTGATTCGCCAAAACGTTGTTCTACATGGTCAACTCAACTGAGCACTTTAATTACCCGCTACTCATCTGGAAGCATATCAGGGCTTAGCCTAGACAGCGATCTCGCTCCTAGGAAGGCCGAGTATCAAGATTGATGTTTCACCTAGTTCCTACGTATGCAAAGCACCAGCGCGAAACAAAATGACAAATATAGACAGTACGTCTCGTTCAGGTTTACGAATTACTAGTCCAAGAATGACCTGCGCTGGCAATTGATATATTAACCCGACCGCTGTTATCCACGTGGTGGGATCTAAACGCGGCCTGGAGCCGATCAAAAGAATCACTAGCGAGCGTTTCAGGAACAGTAAATCCCTTGCGGATGCCGGCTAAGTGGTGGTCAGCATCACCACTGCCGTCCTGCCTAATGCATCGAACGCGGGCTTACATGCTCTTTAGCGCAATCGATGCCACAAGCAAAAAGCAGCAGTGGAATACCTCAAAGAGCACCTCTAGGATGGCTAGTCGGCTGGAGCGCCATTCGACATTCCTTTTTAAGAAGTATTGGCTTGCTTAGACTGGACTCCCATGAGGCAGTGATCGTGCTCCCAGAATCTTTCTTGCATTTCCGCCTGGCCTTTCACTTCCTCCGCATTTTTATCTGTATGCCGGAACGCCGCATTCGGTTATTTTCCACCTAACTCCCGCATCTTAGGCCGCCGGTGTGTTCATGGCTGCGGAAAGACGCCGACGATGATCACCAGTTGATTGTCTCTAATCGATGCCAGTCTTGGCCGCTGTCACGTTTAGCCGCAGCTCTGGTATTCCACTTTTTGTCGATCTGAAACGCGCAAATCATGTTGCATAATTACCCACTTAACTTGGGTTCTATTCGAAATACGACGTGAATACGCACATGATGCCGAGAACACGAGGAGTCTTATCACCATGACTGCAACAAAGAAGTTCAATTGCCGAGGCACCTGAAACAGGACAGACACTTTTGGACCCAAATGCTTCAACGTGGTTTTAGAGATGAAACTCTTCTCTTAACAATTGTTAAAAACGGGACGAGCCAACTAATCATTGTCTAGGACTTATACAGGGTCACGGATTGGAATTTTGAGGTTGCTATTTACGCTGTGACTCAGGTCATGCAAGCAAGCTCCCTTTTCCCCACTTGTTCAGTGAAAGTGATGTTTGGATGTATGCGTACTAATAGAGGTAGCACTGTTTACAAGTAACCGAAATCAACTCTGTCAAACTACACATTATAGTACACAAAATCTTGTACTGTCATACTGAGGAGCAAAATGCAGCGTTATGATTTACAGTCCTAACATCGAAATATTTATGGCTAAACAAGAGATCTTGTGCTCGCAGTGGATCTGGTGGTTACTTCAGCAGCAATCAGCAAGAAAGTGCTGCATTGAGCGAGAGTGCACTTAGTATTCCAGCACAACATCGAGTCTATCAAATATCATACAGACTCTAAAGCGATAGAAATGCAGCGTGGTTATTTAAGAAGTATAGTCTACGAAAAAAAAAAAAAAAAATGGTGGGTGAGATATGACTAGGAGACAGTCAACCCCATAATACACTTCTATACCCCTATCAAAGACCATCAGCAATACAAGACATTTAACCCCACGTTCTAGATGTTCAAACTGAGAGATGAATAAAGAACGCTTCTATCATTCATAGCTACCTCCGCTACGCAGGGAGTTATGCGCTTCTCTCTTCTCGCTGTTCATCTGCTTATTGGCCCGGCTTCTGTTCCCAATATTGAACAAGGAATAGTAGCGGTATGTTGAGTAAATTTTCAGCTGTCTGTGTGAGCTGAAATACAGTGGCGGATAACCGTGTTCAGTGGGTTGTCATATTTGCTTTGCAGCATTTGTATGCATGTGAGCACCATTAGACTACGCCTGTCGGTTCCAATTGGAGAACCGCAATGGAGTTCCAAGAACCCGGTATGCGTCATTTGATTGACGTTAAGAAGCACTTTCGTGACCTCCCTTTCTTCTAGTGCTTCTTGTCTCCAAGTCATTATTGCAGCGGTCTCCACTCGGTGAAGCTCGTCTGCAAGGGTTACGAGCTGAAGTTTTAGTGGAAATTGGCTGTATTGGATATCGTCAAATCTGGCACCCATGGCTGGGGAGCCGGAACACCAAAGCCCCGATCCATCGCGCTATTACCACTCAGGCTGTGTTACAAGGGGTGGCAGCTCAGACACGGTCAGTCCAGCCTGCTAAGTCAAAACTGCGAGCTGAAACAGATTACCAACAAGGATACTCTTGCCACATCGGACAGTCGCTCTGTGCTATGGACTGTATACTTCAAACCATGGGCGGCAATTACCACTTTGCGGACACATGGCGATTCCGGATCTTCATTCCATGAAACTACGTGGCATCGTTACTACGCCCGTTTTGGGCCGGCAACATAACGAAGCGTCGCACATGCTTTGACAGGTATCATCAAAGCGCCTCCTAGATGGGCTCCATACTCCTTGGGTGTGTGTGCAGCTGCTAGAAGCGTACTCGTGTGACCACCACGTACACGTACGAAGATGCAACGCCGTTTCGGTAAGACCGCTAACGCAGCCTGCTCTCCGTTCGCATAACGGCATGCCTCCGTTGAGGTTGCTCTTTCCAAGCCAACTTCTGATTCACTGAACTCCACCAAAAGAGCCATATATGCACTACGTAGACTACTCTTTCTCGTTTATTGGTCAGTATCGGAGAAAACCAACGGATAGTAGCGTATACGCAGAAAAGTTTGAATGCGGAAATTAGTGAAGAGGAGATGGGAAAAAAAGAAAAGCTCAGCGAGATGTTACGATTCCACGCAGCCGTGGCAAGTTGGAGTGGCTTGCAGACCCATGTCGTCGGAGAATTCCGGTGTCCCCGCCTCGGTTAGTTTAGATCCCGGGATCTATCCGCCCCTAGAAGCTTTTTCTTTTGAGTTTATTCTGCTGACGCTACGTATGTGTATACGCCATACAGTTTACTCGCGGTTGTTGTCAGCGGGAAGAGTGAGCCGCGTCTACGATTGTACATGGAAGTTCATGATACCGGAGGATGACCGGCCGGTATTCTGAGATGGCGGGGTCACTTGTTGCACCGAAACACCGTCTTCGACCCGCATACTTGTATCTGTTTGCTTGAGGCTGCATTCTTGTCTGTCAACTCGACAGGGGACCCCCGTTAGTCAAACAAAGAAGATACGAGCACAGAGCTCTCGAGCAACCTGCGGCTAGGCGACGTGGCCAGCATCTTACCTGTCGACTGACTCTTGGCAGTAGGACTTCTGGTGAAGCCGCAGAAGTCAATAGAAGAGCAACGAAGACAAAAAGTGCATGAACTGAGCTGCAGCAAAACAGTACTAACGTACCAATTGCAGCATTGACGGTATGTCTTACCTATGTTAGGTAGTAGAGAACCTAGAGAGGGCTGCGGATATGCTCACTCCTCTTTTTTTTTTTTTTTTTTTTTTTTTTTCTGTCTTTNGGGGGCTAGCTTCTTCTCGAGACCGGTGAGGAGCTGAAATCTTTGTTAAACTAAATCCAGCTAGTGAGAAAGAGCCTGTCCAACCTCGCCTGTTTAAGTGTCCGGATTGAATAGACTGCATTGTCTCGCCCTTCTCGTCTAGGATTTACAGGAGGGCACCACTGTGGATGCTTCAGCCAGCCCTCTTTCATACTCTAGTAAGCCGCTTTATTGTACGTTGCGGCGGTGGTGAGGGTGTGTATAGGAGTGTATACTCAGAATCTGCCTTCTCACGTTGGACAGTAGTAGTCAGACTGAGTGTATGTTCTTCCCTCCGCAGGCCTAAAGGTTCATTAAGGCTTGGGAGCTAGCACGTCCCTATTTTTATACATCTTCTCCAAAACTGGATGCTATATAGATAGTCATTCTTACATAGCAGCTACTACTCAGCCGAGGGCCCCAACTATTGCAAGCTGGGCTTCTGCTGTATTCTATGACATTGCGGTTCTCAGGGCAGTGTTTGATAGATCTGCTACGTAGAGCTTATAGTTTTCACACGTTGCTTGTACTATAATTAAATATTTATGAGAATGAACAGTAGAACTCTAATTCTCAGTCAATTATAGGTTTAGACTACCGTGAACGGTATAGGAGTTGAAACGTAAAACAAAACTGTTCTTATTTCATATCGATGCCTCTTTTTGGGCGTCAAAATACATCTCTACTGCCACACATCTATATCATGCAACCATGCCATCTCTCGAAAATATTCGAGCATAGCTCATTAGAGGGGGGAGGGGGAATCAAACCCACTGTGTTCTAACGCAATGCAAGGTAAACAGGGAGGCCGTTGCAGGCTCTCCCAGCAAAAAATTGTTGAAAATGCCACAGAATAGTCATCAAAGTAAAGCCAACACTCGTCTTAACTCCTCTCCCTTTTCCCACCAGTTTTTAGCCGGACACTGCCGTGCTCGTTGTCAGGCTGAAATTCTGTAATTGTTCTGAAATGGGCTGCGCAACAGCAACTGTTTCTTCAATAGTTGGAGTTCCGTTCTTTGACTGCTCCGTAGCGGATTCAGCACTCGTAAGGCCTTTACGAATGGCTAGAACGCTGTCCACAATAACGGCATCGATGCCTTCTTTAACTTGGCGCTGTGATGCTGTTAGTCCAACGATCAAAAAGGAGAAACAGTTGGGGTTCTTCTAAACATACCTGAACCATTATCGGGTCATTATTAAGCGTACCATAGCTGACGCACACCAGTCCATTCTCCTTCACAACTCTCACCAATCGAGGGCTGTTGATCAGGGGCTCGGCTGCGGAAACAATGCCAAGAAGGTTCCAGCGGCTAGCGAATCGGATAGCCTCCTGTAAAGATGATGCTCGGACGTCTCCAACAGGAGAAACACCCGCATCCGTGAGGAACAGGATCGGGATAGAGGGCTGCTTGAAGCTGAGACACAAGCAGATATCAGGGTTGAAAGAGCTGAAGATGATGTGCCTTTCTCCGGCCAGATCGTAGACTTTGGACAGCACAGTATCACAGAAAGAGTTCAGCTCCACTGCATATGTATCCATCTCATGCTCTTCACTTTCGTGGAGCATAGGATACTTCATCTCAATATTGAAGCCAACATGCTCGGGCAGCTTTCGGAACAAGTCTTCCAGCGTCGCAAATGGCGCCTGAATAAAGTTTCCTCGTGAATTGGCCTTGTATCCCTTCTCCTTGAAATCTCGGGTATGCTTCATGCGCTCCTCCATCTCCTGTTGCAGGCCACTACCAGCATAGCCCATAGACTGTGACCGCTGAGGAGTAAGGCTACTGCTACGTGTTCGGCCGACAGTGGATTTTCCGCTGTGGCTTGGGCCGTTTTGGCGATTGTTTGATCTTCTTGACTCGGGGTTGATGTGCAAAAATTGCTCCAAGGTGAGTGTATGAACAGGAGCATCGATACCAGTTTCACTGACTAAAAAGTCGTGATAAATGACAGGAACGTGGTCTTTGGTAAGCTGGACATCAAACTCGACATACTGAGCTCCGAGATTAGCTGCCGCAATGAACGAAGGCAATGTGTTCTCGCCAAGCTGTAGAGATTTATTAGAAGTAATATTCTTTCCGAGGCCTCGATGACCAATAACCATAGTGGACGAGAGCTTCTTCCAGTAGGTCTGCCTTGAAGTGATCTCCATGTTGGGATGGTAAAAGGGCGTAATGACCAAAAAGTTGAAGTTGACAGTTCCAATAATCTCGAAGCTGCTGTTCATGATTGGCACGCACAGGTCACCCTGCAAATTCATCCGGCCAGTACCAATTGTCGGTTTGACCGAAGACATGAGGGCCACAGCACGACCAATCTTGTTCTTGTTGTTTCCCGAGTAGGTCGGAACAATATCGAAGAGAAGCTTGACCTTGGCTGGATCAGCCGTTGTGAACACAATCGGTTCGGTCGCAATATGCTCGTGCACCGGGAGATCGACAATGGTTGCCTCTCCTTGAGCTCCATCAGCGGTTACCACGACAGAGAGGGCCGTGTCAAGCTGTGTGTTGTGAGCCTCCGCAAGTGGGACACTGTCGAGAGTTACCGCATCCAGCTTCTTTCGGATATCCATAGATCCGAGGCTAACAAACACCATGCTCTTGTTTGTGAGATAACGGTGACCAAAAGTCTTTACAAGTTCAGCTGGTCGCGGCGCAGGGGTGGACCCGTTCGAACGACGGCCATCAATGGATGAGGAGCTCTCTGCAGGGTTGAGCGGTGGAGATGCGGTCACGGTCCGGGGAGTATCAGCCTCAGCGTCACTTGTATGAGCCGCCAGGAGCCTTGCTATCTGCAGATGTCCACGCAAGGCCGCATGTTCCTTAGCCGTCCAACCAGATGCGTCTGGCTTAGAGACATCTGCGCCAGCATCAATGAGCAAATTGACAACTGAAAGCGAACCATCGACCGCTGCAACATGCAAAGGCGTCCAGGCATAAGACTTCTCCGCAATTTCCACATCTGCCTTTTGCAGCTTACTCTCCAAGATGACGCGAGCACACTCATCATGGCCAAATCTGGCTGCAACATGGAGAGCGGTCTCGCCTGTCTTGTCAGTCCAATTGACATTAACACCCGCATCTACAAGCATCTTAACAATGACAGTGTAGTTGGACTTGGTAGCAAGCGCGAGAACGGCACCAGATTTGGCAACAGTCATCCGTATTTCGGGTTTCGCTTCACTACTACCCTCCCATACTTCGCCTTGGAGCAGGGCTTGGGTGGTCAAAGGATGGCCACCGATAACGCTGAGGTGAAGCGGCGCATATCCATCACTGTCTTGCCACTCGGGAGCATCAATTCCATCTTTGACATCGAATTGATTCCACTGTTGCATCCTAGCCATGATGATTTGGCAAACGACGACGAACCCAAATTGGGCAGCATAATGAAGCGGTAAGCGGCCAAGTGTATCGGGGGTTTTCAGAGCGACTCGCTGGTTTTCGGACATATTATCAAACAGAAACTCGAGCAACTGCACTGCTTCATCATCCTTGCTAAGAAGAGCAGATTCGTATTTGTTAATCTCTTTGACCTGAACGGCAGAAGAAACGGCAGGCTGAAGATGTCTGTTGTTGAAGTGCGTGCCGACTGGTACTGGATACGTATTCGAATCCTCGTTTGTGGGCGCAGACTTGGTGCGGCCAATGTGAATGACAAGGCGGTGGATGCAGTTTCGACCATTGATATCCTCAGGCTCATCGAGATCTTTAATGTTTTGCAAAAGATAGGTGATACATGCCCTGGATCTGCTCGATATTGATCGTTGCAAAAGATTGAGCAATAAAGGCTGCGATGAAGTCTCCGATGCCACAACATGTGCGTCCGCCAATCCCTGCTGCAAAGCCGCAACGTCGTTATTTCGAACGGCTTGTTCTAGTGCATCAAGCTGAGCCTGGGCCATGTGGAGGAATATCTTGGCTGATGATCTGCTGAATGAACGAGTAGACCGTTCTGACTTTGAATCATCCATGCTTTGCGCATCTCCCAGCACCGAAAGCCACCGGTTGATCTCGCCAAGCAGTCTGACGACGTTTCCGTCTCGTGCAAAGGGTCTCGGATCAACTTTTGTCGAGATGTACCGATGTTGGGAAGCGATTCCCGGAACCTTCTTATCCGCCTTTTTCGTGATCTTGACAAAACCTTTTCGGTTTATTTCGCCAAACCACTGCAAGTTTCTTAGCTGACTTCTTAGTTCCAAGAGTGCCCCCATAACTTCCTCAATCTCGTCCTGATCCAGAGTCGCGACGACGTCGGGCACGCGTCCATAGCGATTCTGCAAGAGGTCAACACGTCGGCAAGCCTCGGCGTATTTCTTGTTATAGAATGCGTCGACATCTTCAAGGTTGCGGTCGAGGGCAAAGGAAAGCTCTGTTGTGTTTTGAGTTAGGGAAGAGGCTCAGCCTCAGTAAAGGGTATAAGCTTTCAAGACAGCCCACCTGCTGGATCTACGGTTTCGCCATTGCGGGCTTTCTCGGCGGCGGCCTTGACGATTTTCTTAAGGCCCTTGTAGTTGATGTAGGCGCCGGCCCATTCGGGTACTTGATTTCGCGGGAGACTTTGGAAGAGGACTGGTCTCAGTGAATGCCGCCTTTTGGCGGTTTTGGGGGATTTGAGGTCAATGAGCCCCAAACAACTCACTTTCGTCCAAACTTCATCTTTCCTCCCAATCTTCCCGTCTACTCCTTATTTCCGTTTTAGGTATGTTTCTTGTTCTTCTCTCGCCTTACTGCCGAATGGTCAGAACTGCGCGTGGGGGTTTCGGCCAGAACATCTTTTTTTTTTTTTCTTGGTGATGGAGGGGCAATCGTATCAATTGACACACAAACGGTGAAAGCTGTATTGTGGAGGCATCGAATAGCAATTCCTCACTTACAAAGCAACACCGCGATTCTGTCGGCTTCAGTTGAGTATCAGATGAGACTTGTGAAAAAAAAAGTGTCAGAGCGCGAAAAGTCTTAAATGGGCGGGCAACTGGATTGGTAGGAAGAGAACAGATGCGCTGGGAGGTTCCATAGCAGACCGCGTGATGATCACCAGCCTCCACGTTCCTCAAGACGCTCTAACAAATGCGGGTAACCGCCGAACAATCCATGGCCAGGCGGCGCTGAGTCTAGACGTTCCACAGGCGCAAGGGTAGAGAATGATGATGGCTGAAGCGAGAGCCGGGGATATATGTAGACATACTCAGACTTGCGCTGGCGCTATCGGATATGATAAGCAACAGCAGCAACGGAACGGATCGCCGGTATTCTCGTTGTCCAACAGTAGTTTTGTGGCGTTGAGTCACGAGAACGGCGCGTTTCGTATACTGCGCTTTCAATTCGGCTGTCCGAGATCTAAGCTGTTGGAGCGGCAAAGGTGGCCAAACCGCCCATCGAATATGCGGCAGCACAACAGGGGAGAAAGGCAGTAACGGCGAATGCGAGATTTGGAGGCCACGCCGCCTTTTTCAATTTGACCAGCCTGCGGTGGAGATTGCCATTTCAGAAGGAAAAAAGCTGAAGGCCAGTGCAGCAGAAAATAAGTTGGTTCGATGCCACTCTCCACACCGTCATCGCCCACTTTTGGCAGATTTAAACCTCGTCAGAAAGCCAAACAGCTTCCAATCCACGTCTGCGGAAGGACCCTGAATCGACCTTTGCGCCACTCAGGCGAGCCCACGGTCGCCCCGGTGGAGCAGCTGTCGTACAAACTGGCGTCAAGGCCCCTGAGCGATTCCTTGCAGTAACATGGAGCACATGGAGCACATGGGATGCCTGAGTGGACACGCTTTGCGCCTCGTGACTTGTCATTCGGCATTTTCAGAGCCACGGCGGCATGCCGGTCTTGCCGCCGCTGAGGCACCTACCAGCCAGTCTACGCTGCCGCTGTCTCACTGTGGGCTCGCGGCTGAGACCGCTGGAAGACCGCTGGCTCTAGTGCTGCCAGGCACCGCTGCTCGCTGGGATTTGCTTTTGAAGTTTTGAGCACGGTACCATCAGCACTGTAACCGTTCAAAGGTTCCATTGCTATGTAGCTTTTCCCTGCGCTAATCGCCGCCGCTGCTTTCTGGAGAATCAATCAATCTCATTAGTTCCCAGATCAGCCATTTTGAGCATAAGATCCTCCACAGATGTGTCCAGAACCGAGGCTTGTAGTAAGCTTTAGCATAGTTCCCTGCATGCGTATTAATTTGGCTGCAGCTGTAATATTTGTACAGTAGGTTCCCAGCCCTAGTGTTAGAGCATCTATATGCAGCGTCCCATACATGCCAATTCCTTCTCCTAACCACTTTTATATATATACATACATTTGGAGAATGATTGGTCATTAGCATGAATTGGTCATGACTAGTTCCTCTTCATCATCCCGTCCTCATCATCTTCACATCATGTATAGCTGTTCTCTGAAACACCCCTCTTTCGCCAGGGAGACAGGTCGACCAAGCCAGTAGCATTTGCTTAGGTCGAGGCTCTGTAATTCGAGGCTCAACCGCCTTCTCATAGTCAAAGATTTCCGGTTCTTTCAAATGTGCCGCGTCTTCACCCCGTGCTGGAGACTCTCGCTTTACAGGTGAGTCTTCTTCGAAAAGAGATATAGTCTCTGGGGAAGCATGGTTGTCTCTGAATTCGTTCAAGGCACCGCTCCTCATGAATTCTGCCAGCTCGCCAAATTCCCGGTTCAGCTGAGCGCTTCTTTCCAAGGCTGCCTGAGTAATTTGGAGCGCCATTGAAGCTCGAAACCCAGTTGAGAAATCGGAGTAGAGAAGCTTGCTTTCGATAGAAATAGTTGTCTTTCTCACAAACTCGTATTCTTTCCAAAGACTCTCCAGTTGCAACACTCTGCTTTTGGACCTGCTGATATCTCGACTGTATGCCGATGGCTCTTGCGATGAACGTGCCTCCTGGGCCAAGGTGTTGAGGAATTTTGCAAAAGAAGGCCCGGAAACCTTTAAGCTGACTAAAAGCGACTTTGAAGGCGGCCGATCTGTGGCTCCAAGACCACATATATCTAACAAGACTCGTATTCGGCTAGCAATATACGATGTGCCCTCGCCATTGCCTGCTCTAAGTAGCCTCTGAAGTATTGTTTCGGAACGTGCCAAGTTGCCAGTTAGTCGGGTTACAGCTCTCCAGTCCAGAGCATTGATGCATTCATCCAAGAAACATTTGACTGTATCCAAGCTAATGTTCACTCCGGATTGTATACATGATAGAAAGAATGCGGCGGCTTGGTCGAATAGCTTGAAGTGAAGCAGACCACCAATGATCTCTTCCACCAGAGGCTGAGAGAGCGGGAGATGTTCCCAGATCCAATCTCCGGTGAGAGTTCGGCGTCTGGAGTCTGAAGCCCAAGGTAAGAGAGCCGGGCTCATTTTGATATCTGATACGTGTCTTCTGCGAACTTTTGCACCTGTCCGGTTGTCGAGCCCAGTGATACATGAAAGCGCCCTCAGGAACTTTCCGTGGTTATTGGTGCATTTGTAATGATTTAAGATGGCGACAAAGGTAGATGGTGTGGGTTGTAGGAGTCGGTATTGGAAAAATGAGGCTACTAGCGCCTCAGCAAATGCGTGATGACCAGACTTGTTGAACGCAACAATCAGTGTGTTGTAAGTGTGAATATCTGGTGGGTGTGGTGAAACTAGCAGGTTATAGCAAATTCTGCCAACTTTCTCTTTCATATTGAGATTCGAGGAGGCCACCAAGGATCTCAGCCGTTTGTTTAATTGGATGGTATTGTCCTGTGCCCGAGCTGAGTCTATAGATCGGAATGTAAAACCTAAGCCTAGGGTTCCTTTTTCTAGTAGGCTCCTGGCTTTTTGCAGCGAGGGGCCGGATTGGTCTTCAGGGAGAAAATCGGTACGATCCAGAAGTTTTTGAACTAGATGTTCTGTACCCAGGGATTCGCGGAGTAGCTGAGCTTGATTCCGGGGTTCCCGGTAGTATTTTCCTTTTTCGCATTCTTCGCGCATAATTGCACGCTCGAGCCTATCGTAATCGATCTTCCTAGGGGAATTGCGGCAACCATAATGCTCATGCTTTAGAGCTTCAACGAGATCAGACGGCCCAATAGTTGCTGGTTGGTGAATCTCTTTCATGTACGGGCGATTGCTGTATATATCCTTCAAACTTCGCCAGAGTATGTCCATTTGTCGAAGGCTAAGCTCTGGGGTCTCCGAATCGCTGGAGCTAGTCGGTTTTCGGGAGTCTTGAAGGTCAGCTATTTCTTTCCGGACCTCTTCAATCTGACGGTCCAGCTCCTTCCTGCGGTCATCCTTCCTGACAGCATCTACCAGAGCCGCCGTAGCAAATACGGAGCTATAGCATGCGGTGAACAGCTCGGTGAAGGTCGGCTTGCGGCGAGCAGAGGTCGCTCGCCTGCCCAGGGTGTCGATGGCATTGCTGCAGGCTTTGCACCCGCTGCGAGGAGCCGTTCCGGCTCTGGAAAGGATGGTCTGCATCACCCAGACATCTGCAGACAGGCGTACAAGATTGCGAGAGGAGCAGAGCGCTTTGCAGCCGTCAATTGAAGTCGAAGCTCGAAGTGTAAATCGCCAGGTCGAAAATCGAACGATGCTCCCACTTTGCTCTGCGAGGTTTCTTAGGCGTCACGTGATTATATCTACAGCTCTCAACCCCCACCATGATAGCTCTCTTTAACATCAGCTACACGGCGGTAGCAAATTCCTACCTCTTGAGAAAACAAAAGAGAATCACAACGATTCTTGGAATTTTCTTAATTTATCTTTTCCATATTTGTGCATAGAGCCTCGAATCGTCCCGAGATGTTCGCCCTCACACTCACTGCAGAGCTTTCGGGGTTTGTGCCATGACATTTTGCCCCGCGATCTCACAAAGCGTATCCGCTCACACGAAAAACAGCGTCACCAACTTGCGCCCCGACGACTCCCAGGACAACCCGTTCTGGTACATGTTCAAGGTGCAGTGCACTTCTTGCAGAGAGACTCATGACAACTATGTGGGAGTAAACCGCTTTGTAATCTTGCCTCTTTCTCTATTTGAGTGGACTTTAGGTAGCTCACAGTTCTCAACCAGGAACTCAACGAAATGAGTGGCAGCCGAGGTGAAGCAAACTTTGTTTGGAGATGCAAAAACTGCAAGGTAAATTTCCACAATGTTCTTAAATGAATCGCTTGATATATCCTTACACATTCGATTTTCTCACAGCGAGAATCCTCTGCGTCGATCAAGGCCGCCCCCACAGCCTACGAACAAGGAGAGCCACCAAAGGCGCAGAAACTGTTTGAGTTTGACTGCAGAGGCTTGGAATTTGTAGAGTTTAAGCCAGAGGTATGTCACAGCTTCCAACTAGGTAGTATGAGACTTCTGTTGGCTAACACGCTCCTCTTTGAAGGGTGATTGGCTGGCCGATGGGATTGACTCCGGCACCAAATTTACCGGAATTGACTTGACAGAGGGAGAATGGTTTGACTATGACGAGAAGGCGGGCGAGGAGGTCAGCATAAAGGAGCTGACATGGGAGATTAAGAGGGCGTAATATGTAAAATCAATTGAAGGAAATATAAAAGCTTTATCGATTGCAATATCAACTTGAAGCTGTCTATGGCACATAGCTAGAGCCATTAAAGACACCCCACCAAAGTCATCCAGGTACCCCTACCCCACCTTACTCACCCATTACGGTTCTGACTTTGAAGCTTCAAAGCCATCTCTCCAACTTCGTTTGTGGCACCGCGAGGGTAAAATAAAAAATCATGGCATCCATAGCCGCACATTCCCCGGCAATCAATTATCTTACAGATGCCGCACATATGCTTCGAAATGCAGCTCCAGAAACATCAGCGCATCTCCTAAGCCAGCGGGCAGCGCTTCTCTACGCTCACGACATGGCGCCTTCAGACCTGCAGAGACAGCATGTCTGCGCTGCTTGTGGCCACATCATGATCCCAGGACAGGGAACAGAGCTCAAGCTAGAAACATTGAGGACAAAAAGGACAACGAGAAGAAAAGTGCAATCTTCAGCCTCGGGCAAGACGGCAAAACCTGGTTCTCCGAGAGAGCGGTCTAAAGATCTCTCCTGCGGCTTCTGCGCCAGGATCACCAGAATTCCTCTTTCGGCCCCTGAAGCAGTTACGCGCCGTAAAGCTACCAAGTCAAAGATTCAAGATTCTACAGCAAATACAGAGATCCAAAAGCCGGCCACAGCGAATGCCAGCAGCAAGAAGCGCGCGAAGAACCGCAAGGCCGGGCTGCAGGCTCTGCTATCGGGCCAACAGCAGCGCCAATCAAATCCGCTATCGCTGGCCAGCTTTATGAAGAAATAAACGGACCAGCTCCCTTCAAGTCTCTTCTTTCGCATACACATATCCAGCGATCAACACAAGGGCAACCCGCCATCTCAAACTATTGGGGGAACTATCGCCTAAACGCCAGAGAAAATTGAAGCAAACTGCACTACCGGCCGCTAGACGCTGCGACTGAGCGATGCGTCGGGAACGTTCTAGCGCCTGCGGTTGTCTGGCCTGGCCTGTATGACATAAACGCGCGACCGCTATCAAAATTGCCCCTCCAAAAATTTTAGATCCCCGCCGTCTAGTCAACAGAACTGCATTTGCGACAAACATTTTTCGATTTTTTTCTTTTTTTTCTTTTGGTTTGTCATATTTTCGCAACACTTTGATACCAAAAATGGCCGCCGAAAGCGAGAAGCAGAATTTCTTTGAGCCCATTGGCAACAAGGCCCAGGGCCTATCAGCAACCACAAATGGCGACTCAACAGAGGAGGAGTTTAAGCCCGTGGACGAAATCGAGTCGCTGTGCATGAACTGCCACGAAAATGTCAGTCGCCTTGCCCTTTTTATTTGTCTTTTTTTTTTTTCAGCAGCGCTTTGCTTTGATACCGAGGCTAACTCATTCTATAGGGCATGACCAGACTTCTCCTTACCGTCATCCCCTACTTCCGCGAGGTTGTCATCATGTCCTTCGCCTGCGAACACTGCGGCTTCCAGAACAATGAGATCCAGCCCGCCGGCACCATCCAGCCCAAGGGCACACACTATGAACTGCGCTTGACGGCGCTCGACGACTTCTCCCGCCAGGTCGTCAAGGCCGACACCGCGACCGTCAAGTTCATCGAGATCGACCTCGAGATCCCCGCCGGCCGCGGCCAGCTGACAAATGTCGAGGGCCTGCTATCGGGCGTCGTTGACGACCTCGAAATGGGCCAAGAGGCGCGCAAGGAGCAGGCCCCCGAAATCTTCGAAAAGGTTGCCGAGATCATCAAGAAAGCCAAGGCCATGCTGGCCGGCGAATCGTTCCCCTTCCGAGTCTACGTCGACGACCCCGCTGGCAACTCCTTCATCGCGCCCGACCTCAAGGACGGTGTCGGCAAGTGGGAGAAACACGAGTTCGCCCGGACGGCCGAGCAGAACCAGGCCCTCGGCCTTGGAGATACCGATGACAGCGCCGACGCTACGTTGAACAACCCAGGCTACCAGCCAGGCACGACCGCCGACGGCGACATCATCCCCAACGAGGTGTACAGCTTCCCAGCCACTTGCCCCGGCTGCATGCACTCCTGCACGACGCACATGAAGATGGTCGACATCCCCCACTTCAAGCAAGTCGTCCTCATGTCCACCGTCTGCGACGCCTGCGGCTACCGCTCCAACGACGTCAAGACCGGTGGCGAGATCCCCGAGCACGGCGAGAAGATCACGCTCGAGGTCGACGGCGTCGTCGACCTCGCCCGTGACATCCTCAAGAGCGAGACCTGCGGCCTCGAGTGCCCCGAGCTCGAGCTGCACGTAAACCCAGGCACCCTGGGCGGCCGCTTCACCACCGTCGAGGGCCTGCTCACCCAAGTCCGCAACGACCTGCACAGCCAGATCTTCGAGGCCGGCGAGGGTGGCGACTCCCTCCGCTCGGACGAGAAGTCCCAGTGGGACAAGTTCTTCGCCAACCTGGACGATGCCATTGCGGGAACCAAGCCCTTCACCGTCATCTTGACTGATCCCTTTGCCAGCAGCTACGTCCAGTCGCTGGTTGACCCGCCTACGCCTGACCCCAAGATTAAGAGGGAGACGTACACCAGAACAGATGAGGAGGAGGAGGAGCTGGGTCTGAAGGACATGAAGGTGGAAGGATACGAAGAGCCTGAAAAGGAAGAGGAGAAGGCTGAGGCTAATTAAATAAAGAGCATGAATGAAAACAAAAAAAAAATATATATACATATTTAAAGGGGCAAAAGAGGATTGGAAAGAGAGAACATTTATGATGATGAAAATAAAAATGTTTACGGGATACAAGACACGGGCTACATGGTTTTAGAAAAATAAAAACTTTTCTTTTTCTTTTTGTTTTCTTAATTACAATAGTCATCCTACGTAACAAACAAGCTCGTTTTTTAAAAAGAAACACCAATCGTTCTTGACAGACATATCAAATTACTACCTAGTAGCATACCCTTAACACTTATGATTCTAGTAAACAGGTAGCTTATAGAGAGCCCTCTCTCCCGCATTTAGGCTCATAGCTCCCATCCCCCAAACTCGTATATATTACCGCCATACCGCTCTCAGAGCTGCAGAAAAGAAAAAAGAAGAAGAAAACAGGGTATTCAGAGCAAAACAAAAGGAAATGATTCCGCAATAAACATGATTCTTTAACAAATAAAGGAAAAGCATATAAGAAAGAGAGACACGTTCTGTCGAAACGAGGGGGGGGGAGGGAAATAAAGAAAGAAAATTGAAATCCCATTATTGGACCTAACACACCCCGTTCCCCCAAAAACGCCACTTTGCATGCATGAGTGCTCGCATTATCCCTTGCCGCTGCGTCTCTCTGTGCGTGTATCTAGCTTGCAGCATGTATATATTCGTTCCCCCTGATAAAGCGTAAACAATGAAATTAAAAAGCAAAAAGGAAAAGGAAAAAGGAAAAAGGAACAAAAACCGAGAGAGCAGACATAACCGTAAACGTAAATCGCAGTTTAGAAAACCGTTTAGAAAAAAACAACAGACAAAACTCAAAGAGAGCAAAGAATCAGTCTCCTCTCATCTAATTCTTCCGCTTCGTCTATTTTAAAGTTCACAGTTCCATTAGGTAAAGACGTGGGATTAATAAATCATCCCTCATTTTTGCAGCAGATCGTTCCGCTTGTGGCGGTATTATATCGCATTGTATCGCACTTGTCTCCGTAAGTCTTGGGTCAGCTCGAGTCCCGGTCATGTCAAGATGGTGCATCCAGGGCCAAACTGCGGCATTTTAAAAAAAGATGAGAATCAAGAAGACGGCATTTAGAAAAAGGAGGGCTTCGTAAGAACGCGGTATTCTACGTAGTCTTCCCCATCAATATTAATGATGGTTCCCTGCGAGACAAGCTTGCCAATAAACGGCCCATTCGTCTTGCGCTCATATTTGACACCGTCATACATCTTGGCATCCTCAGCGCCAGCCTTCAGACGAAGGCTCTCTTGCCGAGCCCAGACTTTGTTCAAGCGCTGCATATCTTCAGACTCGTGGAATGGCGGTCTGCCGTTTGTCGCAGGGGACGGTGCAGAGGCGACAACTGCGGCGGCGGCGGCGGCAGCAGCGTCGGCAACGAGTGCGGCCGCCCGTTCTCGGTGCAAGGCATGTCGGTCAGCTCGGCCCTGAGCAGCCTCGACGCGTGCAATCTCTCGGCGGGCGAGCGCATTAGTACGCTCCATTCCGTCGGAACTATGGACACGGTTCATTGCGCGAGAGTCTGGGCGCGAAGGCTCCTGCTCGGCGGCGTAGGCTCTCGATGTCTGGCGCATGTCGTTCTCGTTGAAGGACTGTCGAGGAGTAGTCCGGGATTCTCCGCGGCGCGACTGCCGAAGTTCATGTTGCTGAGCTCCACCAACGTCTGACCGGCCATTCGTCAGATCCGAGTCGTCAGCAACTGTAGGGTGGTATGGGGCGATGGCCTGGTGAACATGTCTGTAGCCCGAGCCGGCGCGAGCCTGGGCTTCATGAACGGCTCTAATTTCGTTGTTGACTCGTTCTTCAGGCACTTCGCCCTGATCTAGTTGATACTGACGAACCCGGCAGTATTCTTTAATCTCAGATCTTTGAAGCGGCTTCAAATGCGGCTCAAATTCAACCTCTTCATACTGTATCCACAATGCACCCGCACCCGTGGGAAAGTTGCCGTCAACAAATCGGCCATCACGAGTTTCACGGACTACTTTTACTCTAAACATGTCATTCTGGCCCAAGATGCCGTAGACAGCGTGCCGGTCTCTGGGGTCCTCTTCACTCGAGCCCTTCCAGAATCCCAAGAGGATGCGCGTGGGTCTAGTGCCTGGAAGCGGGCCATGCAGTTTCGGGACATGGGGTGGCCGGGGTTGCAGCGCTGGCTGCGATGGCAGCAAGGGCGAACGCTCCGGCGGGCTATTACTGCCACCGGGATTGATGGAAGCAAATCCACCACTCACGCGTCTCCTCTTTGAATCTAGCCGTCCGGGACTGGATGCTGAGTCGGGCAACTCAAGGCCATGAGCTATGGCAGGCTGAGTGGCTGGATTATCATATGCAGGGTTCTCCTTGACTCGGCGAATCGCCTCTTTGACAGCTGCCGTCTCAGCAGCCTTGCGTTCCTCCTCAGATTCATCTTGGGAGTCGGTGCGCAGCCTCACATACTCCTTAACTTGGAAGTGGTCAAGGCCGACTAGATGCTTAGAAAAGACAACTCTTTCGAAGGTAACCCAGCTGCCACCGGGCCCAGGGGGCATGGGATAATCGTTGCTGACTGGCTCGTTGGTGACGGTATAAGGCTGGATTCGAGTTCGCAGTCGGTCGCGCACGTCTATAAATCCAATGACGGCGTGGCGGCCTTCGGGATCTGGAATTGGAGAGTCTCGCCAGTGGCCCAGCAAAACACCTCGGACGGTTCCCAGACTCTGCCGAGATGTCTTGGACTTGAGACTTTGGCCAGGCACAGCGCCATTGGGAAGCTCCATCTTGCTCTCACTAAGATCGGTGAAGACTGAGTTTCGCTTACGCTTAGGATAGTGGGGGACTACTGGCTCATGCTGAATGTCTGTCATAGTCTCGTCCTCGTCAGAGATGGCGCGAAGATGCGAGGACTTTTCATCATCGTTAGTTTGGTCCTTGACGACAATAAAGGCTTTCGGTCCGCTGGAACGCACCCCTGATGGCGAACGAACGTTGCTGTCCGGCTCACTAAGCTCGCTTTCTGCTTCGTTGTCGTCAGGCGAATGCTTGATATGGCCGTTGGAACGTCTAGAGGGAATGTCAGTGGGAGTTGAAGGAGCGGTTGAGAGCTCGTCGGTCAGATCCGCAGAATCGGGTGACATCTGGTCCATCTTGGCCCGAGAGAGAGAGAGAATAGAATATAAGAAGAGAGTGGGCTAATGAAAATGATACAAGGGAACGATGCAAAGTTGAAAGAGGTCAAGATGTAGGTCTTTGATGAAGAGGAGGAAACTCCGTCTTGATGCTTAAAGCGACAGGCTAACTGGGAAAGAGCAGCGGACAAATTGATGACCCTCGGGCATGAATGAAGCAGATGGAAGGCCTAGGCAGCAGGATGGAATCTTGCATCGGCACTAGCGTTGATATTCTGTCTTGCCAAGCTCTAGAGAAAAAAAAAAAGAGGAAAAAAAAAAAGGGTATCAAAAACGGCATGTAGAGTCTCGCCACCGCAAATTTGCATCGAGACTAATCAATCTTCAAACACAGCGGCAACTTGCCGATTTGAGAAGCCAACCACAGAAATGCCGGAATCAAATCTGGCAGATCGGGAGCATGACGCAGGAAATGAAGGGAGCGACTGGGATGCGAGGATCACCGTCAGGCCACTGCTGCACAGAGCTCGTGGTGTAAAAGCCCATTCCTATGGAAACACGTTGCACACCGGTCTTCCAATGGGTGTGTCTTGTCCAAGCCACTAGGCCCAGCCAAAGTTTGTGAGCGACAAATCCAGGTAGCTTGATCGGCACGGTCAGGGCGCAGCGGCGTGGGCCAATCAGTTCCCTGGCGTTTCGGCTCACCTTTGGAGAGGCTGCAGGGCTAAAAGCAACAGCGGCCGGAGGGAGAGCGATCTGACGGATGACAAAACACATTCCCAGCTGGGAAATATGGCAAGTAACCAAGAGCAACTCCGTAGAAAGCGGCGTATGTGCGAATTGCGCACGCAAACAGTGTGGTTTCTGCTCAATTGAACGGCCGATAGCGCGGCTGGACGCCTGAGTGCGAAATTGTGCAGGGAAAAAGAAGAAGAAGTGAGGGATGGGCGACGAGCGACGAAACAGCTGCGGTGAAGAACTGGCAGTTTGCTGCTCGCAGTGGTACCTACCAAAAGCGAGACATGGCGGGAGCACCGAGTACCACCGCGGTAACAAGCAGAAAGAGGCCATCGGGCGGCCACTGGCAGGCCCCGCTGCGAACTCAAGCAGAATCCCAACTGCGCTCGGGTGTTCGCAGCCAGATTTTGGCAATCCAGCTCCTCTGCTTTGAGTGCTTGTTGCGAGGCAGAAGCAAAGAGGCAGAGGGGCCGTCCGTCGAGCAAATGGGCCCAAGCCGCTGCAGTGGCGCCCGCCTTGATGGACTGACTGCATCAAAGCGCAGCGAGACGGGGCTTTGCTTCTTGCTTTTGCTTGCCAACCGTGTAGTGCAGTGTGATGTAGTGTGGTGTAGTGAGATGCAGTGTAGACAAAAGAAGCAATAACATGTGCGGACAGACAGACAGTGGAATCCAATGTAAATAGCAAACCAGACGATGAGAAGAAAGACAAGAAAGACAAGAAAAAGAGCTTCATATACTCACTTTGGCGCGTTATCCATGGCGAGTCCGTTGATTGTTGGCTCTCGCGGAGGCGTGGTGGATGCTGAGATTGCATTCTCAATAACCGGAGACTGGGATTGCGAGTTGGGGTTGGAGTGAGAACGATGAGACTGAGAGATGGAGTGAGGGTGTGAAAGAGACCGCGGAGAATGAGAGCGGGAATGAATCGGCGGCAGCCGAGGAGGAGGAGACATAGACTGCGGATGGCGATGCGCCACAGAGTCCTCAACTGGCGGCAAAACGGTTTCCTTCTCGATAATGGGATTCAGCAGGGCGGCTGTGCTGAGCATCGGGTGGTGAGGCAGCTCTCGCTTCTCTGAGAGCTGTCGAGGAGACTGCTGCGAGGGAAGACCAGCCATGGTCGATTCCGTCGACGCGAGCGGCGGCGTCCGCGTAAGAGGATACTGCTCTACTGCTAGCCCGTCCATGATAGATATGCGCTGTCCACCTTGTTGAAGGCGAGATCAAGAACGTGGGATGAAGGGACTAGCGAAACGAAATAGAAGATGATTATATAAAAGAAAAAAGAGGGTTTCTCGTCGAGCAGTCATACAAGGGTAAAGGCTGACACCTAGTCCGATAGTTGGAAACGCCGATGGCAGGGAGTGATAAATATTACACCCCAAAGCAGATTTTCCCGACGGGCAAGAGCGTTTGGCACGGCGTGCGTCAAAGAGACTGGAGGATGCTATGCTGGAGCCTCTCGACAAAGGAGATACACGTGATAGACGACGACGACGTCGAGTCGATGGCAAGATGTGCTACAGATGTGAAGAAGAGGGAGAAGGGAAGGAGGGAGGAAAAGATCTCGAAATGGTATTATGAGGAACCAGAGCACTAAGCGTGGCAGTGGCCAGCAGTGGCAGCAATGGGGATCCTCTTTTTTTTTTGGCGGCCGTGGGCTGAAGAGAGATTGTCGGGACCCGGAAAGCAACAAGACTCTGATCGGCTGCGAGTCTGAGTCTAATCGGCCAAGCGACCAGGGGGGGGGCGTGTGTGATGCGCGAGAGATTGAACATGGAATCAGAGCCTGGGCGGGAGGGAAACGACAAAAATAAAGTAGAAACAAGGGCATGAATAATCAGCGTTTGCGCCCCAGAAAAAGATACCTGCGCCATACCTGCACTATTGGAAACGAGGACGAAGCGCGGACAGTAGTACATGGTGTTGGCAACAGGAGTGTCTTTTTTTCTTTCTTTTCTTGTCTTTTTTTATATAGGATTATGAAATCCTCCCGGAGAAATTACCAAATTCTGGAAATGCCTCGATGAGGATTCTAGAGCTGTTCAGAGAGGAAATGATAAATGGACCAACTACTTCTTACATGTATAGTACGTGTGAAATATCCCCCCCGCCGTGTTCAACAGTGGAAACCTTAATCAAAACAGCACACAAGCCAGGTCTCAGCAAGGGCAAAATATAGAGCAGCAATAAAAGGGAGGAGATTGGCTGGGTTGACAGAAGGGAACGTTGACGTGATACTGTACAACAGCACAGAGAACGAACACATTGGAGGGCAAAATCGACCGATGAGGTGAGTGAGAGGCCAAAGAGGGAGGGGGGGTGCGGTTGCAAAAAATAGGTTAAAAGCTGTCTGTCCAGACGGGGCCCCTAGAGAAATGGAACCAGAGAGGGGGTGTGCGAAAAGCGAGCGAGTTGCGTGTCGTAACTGGTAATGAATAAAGTCCAGACACGGTCTTGGTTCGTTTCTCAAGGGATGTACAAGCAATATGTAATCTATCGCTTGACTCGCGGAATCGAGTCTCTGAGACACACAAAAAAAAAAAAAAAAAAAAGCGGCCTAGGCTTTTTCAGAGATGATTCTTATACTTGTTGCCGTATTTGTACAACGCAGAGAGATAGTACCGCCACCGGCCGCAAACTAGACAGAGGCGGCCGTTTGTTCATTGATTCATTCCTTGATCCGCCCAGCTATGCAATGCAATGAATGATGCATGCAGTTTAGCATGGGAATCATCATATCATGTGCGCAGTACAGCAAATACCTACAGTAAGTACATGCACGCGCAGGGTGCATACGATGGCATCCTACAAGAGACCTGTACAGAGGCAGTGTTTGTAACAGGCACCAATGGCCGCCAAGAGCGCACTTGTGCTCGTATGTGTCGAAACTCGAGCTATTACTCATACGAATCGCCGGTTGAAGACATATTGCCGCATACTCACTGGCCAGCACTGCTCTTAGTCGTGCTACTACCTACAACCTACCTACTTAGGTGCTATGGCAGGGCATGGCATGGTAGCATAAGTACAGTAGGTACTTTGGTATGGGGCTGATTGGCAGCTGCACGACTGTTGGGAACTTGAACAGGCATGGCATCCATCCATTGGCCTGCGCCTCTCAGAAACAGAAAAGAGGCGCTTGTGCAGCACTTGTGTGCTGCTGAATACAACACGTATATATTTGGCACTCCTTACATAAGGCGAGGCGGCGGGCGTTGGCGCGCAGACGAATCCGCGCTGGGCTAAGAGATAACGGTGGCTCAGCGTGCAGTACGGAGCGCCTTGCTGCGACAGCTCTCGAAAAGCAGTTGCTGTGGATTCATCCATCACATGGGTTCCCAGGTGCGTTTCGGGCTGGAACTGTCAGTTATGCTAGCCTCTGGGCTATTTCGCGCTGTTCACAACCAACCGTAGGTGGTAGTTGCGAGGAGGTTGCTGCAAGGTTGCCAGTAGCGTTGCGAGTTGCGACGTGCGCAGCAGATTAATACTACTATAGGTATACATAGTACAAGTACACAGCCGGAGGAATTATTTCACAGCCCAATTCTTCCGCGCGAGGCCCGGATCGCTCTGCGGATGCTGCGGCTGCCACAAGGTGCCGCAACAATTCACAAGCAGGTACATTCTATCCAAGTACACTGCAAATAATGTATGTACCTACTTGGTGCGCGCTGGGTCAACGCACATTATCGCCCTTTTTGAGAGTCTCTGCAGGAGGCCTGCATGGCGCAATTACAATTGGCCGTTTCGCTACTGCCGACTTGGATTCCCTTTTTCTATACTGCCGAGCTCCGTTCCCAGGCCAGGCGCAACGGCGGGCGCACAGCAAGAGAAAATCGTCTGATTTGGACAAGCAAAAATAGGCGTCTATTCCGGGAAGCAAAACAGATTCCGAGACCATTCCGCGCTCAAGAAACACACCGTACTACCCTTACGGCTATACGATAATACCTACTAATAAGCGGGCGATGGGGTTACCCGAAAGGGCTTTTCAGAGAGAACGGGCAAATATTCGGGGGGCCTATGCCTATGCACAGACAAGATAGGGGGGTACAGGTAGGTACTTTGTTAGGAAGTTGTAGGATCATCGAATCCAGTCAAATCAGACAAGTTGCCATGTACAAGTAATACCTGGAACCCACAAAGACTGGCGGTTTGCATAACTCGGCGGTTTCACAATGCTAGCAGCGACGAATTGGAGGAGAGGAAAAAAAGAAAAGAAACAAACTACGGAGTAGTCATAAATGATAACAACATAGCACGAGCAGCAGTACTGAATTTCTTTTTTCCTTTTTTTTTTTTTTTTTTTTTTTTTTTTCCCTTTTTTCTCTTTCAGCTGCTTGCCTTTCTCCCTCCCTTGTGTTGGAATGAGGCCCTTGGCTCGGGAACGTGATCTCCACTAGGAAACTACTAACTAGTAATTGCGCCAGAGCTGGAGCCAGGGGAGGGGTGAGGGGGTGCGTGATTCTCAAAGTCTTGTGTCTGGTATCCGTAAAGCGAGAAGGGTCCTTAAAAAAAAGTTGACTTGCGGGCATAACTGATGATGAAGAGAAACACCAAAGTTGGCCCTTTCCGAGGTACAAATTACGCTTTAAGCTTTACTATCGCTTATTATATTCTCAACATTCGAAACGCTAATTGACTCAAGCCTCTTGCTCTTTTTTTTTTTTTTGTTTTTTTTTTGCTTCTTTCTAACTTTTTTTGTTCCTGATTAATCTCGCTTTTTTTTCTCCTAGAAAGAAGAATAAGAAGTAGGAGAAACAGGAAACAAAGCCGGCAGTCAGCTAACCCTACGCCCCCAGTTCAACACTACTAAACCAATACGACAGATTGATTGCCCATTTGTGAGACGCAATTACATACTAGGTACTAACCCTCCAAGTCCGAACCAACAACCGACCGACCCTGTTTCTGTTTCTCCGCGAAATCCCTTTTAGCTAAACCTCCTCCGTGCTAAGAGAAAAAAAAAAAGAAAAAAGAAAAGCCCATTTCTTTGTCTCTCATTGGCTGCATCGGCTAATTCCCTTGGCCGCCGTGTACGTTTAAGAGGTGCCCCCTAAATGGAGTACCTTTTCTTTTAACCTTTTTTTCTGTCTCTCTCCTGGCAAACGATAAACGATGCTAACGCAGACCAATAGCCGAATACGTACAAGAAGAAGAAAAAAAGAACATGTGAACCCCAAGTGTGCATAACTTTTTTTTGTCTTTTGGTCTCTCTTGTACTTTCTAACCCCCCCCCCCCCCCCCCTCCCCTCTTTTCGCAAAGCAACCCGCATGCAGCTCTAGTTGTGCTGTTAGTTGGTCTCACTTTTGTGTCTTCCTTTTTAATCTTCTCTTCCCGTCTTTAGGATTGAGGATTCGATCCTACTTGGCCTTTCGCCCACTTTATCGTCATCATCCATCATACATACATAATAACTTGAACCAACAAAATGCATACATGCGGTGGATAACTACAGCATCTAGATATGCCAACACAGGCCCAAGTCTACCGTACAGTACGAGCATGAACACAGCCTCTTGATCGCTTTGGTCGATTCCAAATCGCCCCGTCCAATCCCGTGGCCGCTAGCACATGCTGCTGCGCTGACGCGATAGGCCAACACCCCAACTATCGAACCGGCCCTGTTCGTTTTTATCTCTTCCAACGTTGTCTTGTCTCTCTCGCTGTTTCGGCTGAAGGAGCCATCCAACCAATGTATTCTGGGCCCAGCTAGCATGTATCAAGCCTAACCCCGTCCCAAGCCCAGCTGGCGACTAGCTCTTCCGTTCGGGCTAACAGTAATAACTCGCTCATCCACAATTGTGATTTGTGATCGGCGTGATGACTGGCATTCTAAGCAGTTTGGTGTTAGCCTCTGCTTCCCCCTACTCCCTATGTAGCCTCGAGACGATTGAATAAAAATTAGCTATTGATTATAAGAATTGCATCTGAGCACCGATTTACAGTAATGCTGCTACTGCTACACTACTCCCTAATCCTGTTAGTACGCGTACCCTACCGACGTCAGCCAGGGTTCTTCCCATGCATCAGCCCGTCCATGCTTATTTTTACTCGATTTCCCCCCCAGAAAAACAACTGCCCTGACGGTGCTGAGACAACAAACGCACCCAAACAAGGAAAACCAGAGCCCACAATGCCCTGGCTGTCTTTCAACCTCATCCCACTTCAACCCCGGGGCCTGCAGTAGCAGCAAAGCAACATGGCATTATCTTGCACATGCACGGGGCCTTGTCGTTCCCAGGCAATGGAATGACAGCGGGCAAGGCTCTGCCACACCAGCAGTTTATTTCCGATGACCAGGGTATGTACAGATGGAAAAAACACAAATGCGTGAGAAAGCCCATAATGAACCATATAAAAAGGAGAGCCCCCGTAAGATTTCCGAGTTCCAGGTAGCCTTTTTAACCTTTTGGCCCGGTCGCTGCTAGTGGGAGACCAGAGTTGTCCATTGAGGCAGAGAACCACGTTCGAACTCGACTTCCTTGCCAAGCTCGGCGTGGTCTAGGTATTCAGCGGCCACCCTAGGGATTGGTAACAGGGGGGTTTTTTTTTTCTTAGCTGGACGGGAACCTGGGACGCCGGATAGATAGTTTCCGGTTGTGAAATGCTACTCTTACCTCACCTTCTCCAAAAGGACGCATATGTCCACCTATTGCCTCCAGGGTATTCTCGGATTACTCTTGGGAGCGTTTATTTCATTTAGATATGTCATCGAACTCGATACGATGCCAGGGTTCCCTTTGTATGCCTTTCGAAGTAGCCAATTACAGTAATAGCACAGCATCGCACACGCTGGTTCATTCTCGAAATAAAGGTTATATATCAGCTAGCTCCTTAAATAGAACCAAGTACTAGAAGGGTTTAAAGAAGCTATGGAGAGACCGGTTGGCTTTAGCATAGCTGACAGTGGGCTTAAGATGGGCATCCTTGCTGGGATAGAGTCATGGCAGGCGGGACTCTTCATACTTGTAAGACATCAGTCAGCGTCTATTTTCATTCATATCGAAATGGGCGATCTGTATGTCGCAATATGTACATCTCCTGACCTTGCTTCTTATTTGAGTCTTAATCAATTGCCTCGTCCTGCTGCATTGAGTCGAGGGATGACTGGTGTGATAATGAGAACATCTTACTCTTTCTTACAGCATATACGTTCTTTCGTTCTGCCAGTTACGGTAAAAGATCTCGAAAATCGCCATCTACTTACATTTGCAGCTGCACTCCCTTGAAAATAGTATTAATTAGCCCAAGATGAAAAGTACGGGGGTTTCCGAAAGCTGACGGGGGGGCGAGGTTTAAACAGAGTAATTAACCTGGGCAAATAAAATTCCCAAAGCATACTAGCACTGCGAATACGTGAGCAATTCCAGACGTTACTATCCAGCGCTAACCATGCTGCTAGCACTGTTGCTATGAACGTTCCAAGGACCCTAAACCAAGTCGTTTTTTTCGTATGCTCTTAGAGGTAATAAGTACAAGTAGATAGTTTGATTAAAAATCAAGACACTGTTCCCTTTTGCAACCTTTCAGGCATACACAAAAGAGAACGAGGCCCAAACGGGATAAAAGAGGGTAGACAGAAGCTGGAAACGAGCCAGCCGAGGACCCGTAGTATCTAGTTTTAGTCAATCAAGATTCATTCGCCCGTTTATGAATAGCAAACAAAATAAAAGACTACATCTAGAGAGGGGCGTAAAGAGCAAGTGTTTGTTTCCAGCAGCACCTAATGATTCCATTTGGTTGATTGTTAACTTACGACTCTGCTGGCCCTGTCTCACTCTCTTCTCCCGATGAATCCGCAGTTGATCCTGGTCAAAGTCCTCGGGAATTCCCATCGGCTATCTCGCTCTATTAGGGGTAAGGAAATACTACTCTACAGCCCATACCCCCCTGGCTTTCTCTGCGGCATAGTTGCGGCAAGTGGACAGCATAGTGACGGAATCTTGACACTCACCATCAAATCATCAATCTGCAACTGACTTGTAGTAATAGTACAGTCAGAGTATACTACATATGTAGTATACTGGTACAGTACGTGCTGGTTTCACGTAACGGGCGCTTCCCTCTTAGCTCCTACCCCACTTTTCTCAAACTGTCAACTATTTGCGAGAGAGCGAAGAGACAAAACTAGAGAGATAGCGAGCGAAGCGAGGCTCAAGCCAATAACGCATTGAGGATCTAAAATAGTACCGGGTGGCGGCCAACACTTAATTTAATAGACCAAGAGAAAAGTGTGCTGTTAGTACCAGGCAACCTTGGCAATCTAGGTATGTAGATGTACGTATACGCGAAGTGTGTCACCCCATCTTCACAACCGATATTAAAATCATGTCGCGTTGGGAACTTTTTTTTTTGTTACCATAACTCTCTCATGCAGCCAATTGTTAGCCGGACAGCTGGTGTTGCCTGAATGGCTGATCAACACGACCTCCCGCAGCTAGCCACTCAGACAAGTACGGTTTATGCATGTACGCGCTGCCTTCATCCGCAAGAAAGAGCGAAAAAAAATTAATAAATAACAAACCCCAAAAGGAGGAGTGCGTCGCATTCGAGGGTTGGGCTTTGAGTGGTTTAAACGCAAGACGGCCCGGAATTTTTTTTTTCTTCTTGCACAGGATCTACAACCCCTCAGGACAACACACAGACACAGTACGAAATATGATGAATTCTGCCTTGATCAATGCTTCGGGAAAAGGAGGGGATGATACTTTTTCCTTGCGGACTACCTAGTAGTTAGTTGACGACATAAACTTTTCTTCAACTCTCTCTTTTCTTGTGTGTGTGTGCCTTTTTTCCCGCTTTCGTGAGCTTATCTAGCCTGAAGCCTAAAAGCTACAAGCAGAGAAAGGGCAAATATGCTAATTAAGCCTGTAATCCTAAATCTTTTATGCAGAAACTATTGCCTGTTTACGGCAAAAGCAGCCGATAATGAATTTGGGCTGGATGGCGAAGAATCACACGAAACAACTTGCTGGACTGCACAGAAGCATATTTCCGCATTATACTTTTGTAAATCCGTCCAGAAGGCTCATGCAAGCTGCAATCGGGAATATGCCACATTCGGCACAACTTCGTACTTTTGTACCTTTTTTTTTTTTTTTTTTTAACGATCAAGAAGTCGTTCTGAGACCCGCCATAGCCTCTTCCCTCCTCTCATTTTTTTTCTTTTCTGTTTTTTGCATGTGCGTGTCGTCCAACCCCTCCTATTTCTCGGTGCGTTATGCATAACATGCGAAATAGTAGGACAATGTACAGCCGTAGCAAATCCTGCATGTTTTATTTTATTTTTTTCGTCATCTCTTTTGCTGAGAGAGTCATCTTACATAGGTATTACTAATAAACCAGGCAAAGACACAGTACTTGCACTTTCTTCTTTTGTCTACCGTAATAAACCAGCTGATAAAAGCCCCTCTTTCGGCTCTCCAGGCTAATCCCCAAACTATGATTTCTCATATACCGCTTAAACGGATCTACTGTACACAAATAAAGGCACCCAACGCCTCTTATATAAACGGAGTCCCTTTTTTGCAAGCAAATTCCCAAAGTAGAAAGCGCTGCGCTTGCAGTCCGTCAAGTTTTAATTCAGTGCGTGCAGGGCCGCCAATCTGACGAGGTGGATACTCTCTAAAACCCACTTCTCTCCGTGTTTCGTTCCTCTCACTCTCTCTTGGTCTAACTAGTACCTTGTACGCAGCACTTCACAAGGAGGGGGTGGGTGTAATTTTCTCTCTTGGTTATTGGCTTCGTTACTTTGGATATACTACAAGTACAAACAATACTACTCCTTGGCGCTATCTACTAGATTATTGGCACGAAAGACGGAGCGTTTAACTAATTCCTGTTGGCATTCTTCTACTTTTTCCATCCTGTTCTTGTTCCAGAGCTTCCGTGTGCAAAAGTAAGGCCCTGCTTCCAATTCTGGATAGTTACAGGGGACCCAAGGTTGATCTTCGAGCGTTTTCTGCGTCATGTGTCATGCGAGAGCGATAGCGAGTATTACACGAGAGAATAGTCAACTCTTGTCGCAAGCATGCCATTCTACACCCACGACTCACACATGGCTATTTGCATCCATTGCTTTATAACCTAGTGCTTCTCGGCGATAAAGGTGGGTGGATATCACGTCAGAAGACAAGGGAACTTTGCCATCTATACTATACATGTACATACAGTAAGTAGGTAGTAGACCCGAGAAGAAGCTACCCTTGCACTACCCAGTTGTCGTGTTGGATACTAGCGCGAAAGAAAATCTACTGCCCGCCAGCGAAAGCCGCCTTGAATAGTGAATATTGAATAATGCCCCGTTTTGGAAAGTGCTGGATCCAGTTTTCAAATCTCCCTTTTATACTAACTAGTAGTATCTGGAGCAAAGCCAACAGCACGTTCGGACTTGGTATCCGTAATAAGCATTGCGCCTATTCACATGAATTGCCGTATGCGGACAGCCAGAACGGCGAGACGCCCAGAAAATTTGCGAATGACTCGTTTGGAACCACACCAAAGGCGCAATATACTACTCGTAGTATTGTCTTTTACTGTGCGCGGTAAACACGCAAACCAAATCCATGCACCAAATTGAGGATCCTAGAAGCTTCACTTAGTGCTAGAGCCCCGCTTCAATGTTTCCTACCTGTTTGTTTCTCTTGTCTCAATTACAGAAACCCAAAACGTGGATCGTCCTAAATGGCCAATCGTCAACTCTCCCCACTCCAGCAACGACCCAGAAAAATACGCCATGAACTACCTATCATGTTTGCTGTCATGCTCTCGTGAGAAATGCATGTACAAAAAGTGTTGCGTTCGAACCAGCATCATGTACGCCGAATACCGAGAAGGAATAAAGGTTTATGCTATCATTAATAACTTATAATTCAACCAAGGGGTAAGTAAGGAAGAAAATCCTGTCGGTCTTTGGCACAAACTGCCAATTTAACCGACGACCTCACCCACCCCCAGACACGGAGCCCAAAGAGTTGGGTGGTCTCAAAACACCAGTTAACCTCGTATGCAAAGCGTAAATAGTATATCTAGGCAGTAGTTCCCCCTTCCCTGAAACCCGTCTCTCATAGATTGAATTGAAAACCTTGGCACTCGCGAAACTCCTGTTGTAGAATCCTTCCATGAACCAACCCCCTTTAACAAAATCGACTAGTAGTAGTAAATTGTTTAATCATCGTCCTCCTCTTCCACGCCCTCTCCCTCTGCCTCGACCGCGGGCCCCTCCGCGACCGCCCTTCTTTCCTCCCCTCCCAGCGCCTCTATTGTCAAATCGTTCAAACAGCTTCTCTTCCCCGAACGCGCCCTCTCCAAACCTCATAAAATTTACTAATCCCCTATCCACTACAGCCACGATTACATTTCTGTGGCCGTGTTTCAGTCGTTGGTACAGTTTCCCCGGTTGCCCCCGCCAGGCTTCGGGTGCAGGATCATACGGCGTAGACTCGAGCAGCGTTTCGATTTGCTCCAGCGTGGGCAGACATGAGTCAGCCGTGTCGGCAACCGCGATGCGAAAGTCGGGTGGTGGAGGGTTCTTCTTGGAGAAGCCTCCCGCGCCAGGCTTCCATACATGAAAGTGTACCCTGAATGGATCCTCTGGCTTAGACGGATTTGGCGGTACAGGGAGAGGTTTGTGTCGTGGAAGAAGAGCTAGTTGCTGGTATATAGGCCGATAAGCCCGGTAAAGTCCTGGGGCGACCAGGGGACCGAAGGGCTGGTGCCGCTGTATCCTATCCTGCCCTGATTCCCATTTGACAAAGGAGAAGAGCCATTGCCAGAGTGTCTGCGAAGGTTCTGTGGATTCTGTTATTGGCTGCTCCAGTGGCGCACGAAGGATGTTAAACCCTGCGCGCTTCAAATGGGTGTAGACTTGATACTTGGGTAGCGTTGTCTTGCCCTGCTCGCCCTCGTAGCCAATGAAGAGCGAATAGGCGGCTTCAAGACTCAGCGGCAACCCAACGTCATAATCATCAGGGCCAAAGCCAGGTCGAGACTGTCCTCCAGCAGTACTGCCCTTGGGCAGAAGGGTCTCAAAGTCCGTATACGGCCACCACAGATCCACGGTGCCTCTCTCAACCAGGTAGATGGCTTCCTCGGGGAGCAGCCATAACCTCCCCACGCCGAGCTGGTCTTTATTTCCAGAGGCCACTCTTCCTATATCCTTCATCCAGCCTCCCTTTTCATGTTCCATGGCCACCACTCGGTCCTTTAACCACATCCCCTCGTAATCTATCGCCTCGTTCGCCTCATCCAGCCAGAAATCTGGGAAACACCAGCCTCTGGCCCACGCATCGGCCCGATGTATCCTCGTGTAGCTCAAGACATCCTCCAGCGCTCTGCGACTCGATTCCAGCGCGCCGTCCTGAGATCGTGTCCCGTGTGCCTCAAAGTCTTTCTCGCCCTTTCTGATCGTCTGGCTCGAGACGCCCTTTTTCGAAAACGCAGATGCAAACAGCTTATAGTCGGGCATATCGTCCTCGAGAGTCTCTTCCGCCGTCGGCGCATTTCCTTCGCCATCCGCCGACACCGGCCCTGCTGCCAGCGGGCTATCGTCGTCGTCGAAAGCCATGTTGTGTCGAGTTTGCTATCCACCCCCGGAAAAAAAAAAGAACAAAAGTCAAAGCTCAGTGCCGGGTAGCTATGTCGCAGAAATCAGCCCCACGAGAGCACAAGCAAAATTCTGCCCAACTTAAGCTCTCTGTATACTCGGGGCTCGGGGAAAAGAAGCTTTAGTAAAACCAGAGCACTTTACGAGGGAAAGTCTTGCTGGAAAAGGAAAGAAATGTAAAATAAAATATACTGTCTTAGCAGAAAAGAAGAAAAACCCAATATAGAGAAGAAAGAAAAATTCGGCCAAGATGACGATGTTGCGCTTCGTTGCGATTCAAATCTCACTAAAGGTGGGGTGGATAGAGGAATTCCTTGCGCATACTTTTGTAAGTCCTTGATAAAGTGAAAGTATACTACCTACCTCAACGTTAACACGTGATGGCGAGTCTGGCCGAGTGGTTAAGGCGTTGTGTTTAGGTAGTCTAGGGTTCCCCCACGACAAATACTTGATCCGCAATGGGCATCGCCCGCGTAGGTTCGATCCCTACGGCTCGCATCGTTTTTTTGTCTCTCTTATAGAGCTTTATTCATATACATACATACAATGAATGCCAGCTTTGATATGAGCTATTTTTTTTTTTTTTTTTTTTTCAAGTTCAAATGCTCTTATCCTCACGTCACTCGCATTTGCTGTAAAGTATTTTCAACATTTTATATCGTAATGGTTGGGATGAATTATCCTCGTGCCTCCTCCGCTAGCTAATAAAACAAATGTACAGCACATCTAAGCCAAATTTTCCTCCAAACTCTCAAGAGTAATATATACTACAGTACATGTATTAAAATTGCAATATCTCGTCAACTTCGTCATCGTTGAATACATAAAGAAGAGAGAGTGTGAGAGAGTGTGAGAGAAAATAAGAAGAAAAGAAGAAAAAGAAGAAAAAAGAAGTAGGTGGGCTAGCGTCCAGTTTTCAAGAGAAGCCACCCTCCTAGGTCCATTCCAGCATATATATCTGACACATTGCTCGTGCCAAAAAAAAAGTTGCGCTTATTGCCTCCAGCCAATATGCAGGCTTCTTCCAGAATGAAGCCCTCTTTCCATAATCTCCCTCTCGGACTATGAAGCGGTCCAAGATCGCCTTGAAACGCCATGCACTATATCTTTGTGTCAAATAGAGAAATAGCTCCACTTCCCACCCTCAGTGAACCAAAATAGAAAACAAAAACGCCTTTTTCAAATGGGTATATGGTGAACCATGTGTTGATAGCCAATGGTAATTCTATGTAAAAACCTCCATGGCTAGTAATGTCGCCTGGACATCGTTTTGCGTCAAAATGTGTTGATCTCGCAGTCCAGCCGAATGAATGAATATAACGCTTATCTGCCTTTTTTTAGAAACGCGCTCAATGTGAGCAAATGCGTGCAGTAAGGTATACGTTATGTAATGCTCTTCGTGACGCAGATGTAGTCAAAGAGTTATCCGCTTCATACTGAGCAAAGTGCCTGGCGTTTTCTGTCGGTTTTCGTTTTACCGTGACCGTTGAGTATATTCAGCAGGCTAGGTTTGATTCATTTGTAGAATCAAGTTCATCACTCAATGAAAGGCTTCTTCTGCCCTCCAACTGTACACAAGCCCAAGGCTCGCAACGCATCTCGATCGTTAGCCAGGACGATGGAACGAGCTGGTACCATGGGATTGTTCGGATCGACGTGTGAGGCTTCTCTAGCCGCGATTTCGATAGCGTCCATTTCCTCCTTGCAGCCTTGTTGATCGAGGGGGCAGATGACGATTGGTTGCCGTATGTGGAGGTCTCTAGCACCACTTACTTGCACCTGCACACATGTCCATGTAAGTATAAAGCTCAGCTCCATCTTTGGTTGGGAAAAAAGGGGAAAGAAATTAGCCGTACCTTGATGCTGAGGTAAAATTCAATCTTGTATAGTGTTGATGATGTGGTGAAGGAGGCAACCTCATACTGGGGAAAGGCCGGCCTACCCCTCTTGATAATGCCCTCAGAGTCTCTCAGGTCCTTCGCGGGGAAAACCAAGCCAATGTTGGTCGCGTATCCTGCTTCTGGCAATTTTGTCTTGACTACCTGGACCTGTTTCGCCAGCTTATTGACCTTCTTCGTCGGCTCGTCTCCTTCTGGATTAAAGGTAATCTCCTCTTCTATGCCTAGCGTGATCTTGTCTATGGTCACCTTCTTGGCCTTATTCCACCAGTCAAGGTTGGGAGCGATTTTGATGTATACGGTTATGGGGTCGTTGGGGCCGTAGCTCCAGCGTGGCAGGTTGATTGCGAGGTGAACGAGGTTATCGCTGGTAATCTGCCTTGTTTCGGGTTTGTTGTACATTCCAAAAGTTGACAGTGTATCGTATCGTAGTAGGGGCAATGGGAAGCTGTATCGGTATTGATTGCTGTGGCCTTGTTGCACCGTCACGACTAATTCATAGTATGTTTCAGCGATTCTGCTGGGTAGCTGTAAGGATGCCGGTGGTATTCTCCGATTTGTCTCCTCCCCGCCTCTTCCAAAGGGTATGAAGATAATAAAGGGCAGGTCCATGGAGTAAACATTTTCGGCATCCTTGCCTGACGAGCATCTGAATAGCAACACCTCCTTGCCAACTACGTCTGTTGTCTCTTTTCGGGGTGCACCAAGATGTCGCTTGGTTAGACTATCGGCATCGGGGTGTATGGTTTCGCGTTTCTGGAGGCATATTCGCACCAGGGATACCGGCACAGGCATGGAGAAGCCCTGGCCCGGCCGAATCTCGACCTTGCCCTCGATTCGCGGCTATATGTTAAGTCCGTGTTAGTACAAGCTTTGACGTCCAAGTGATTTATGTGCGCTCTCATTCTGCTTGATACCGCATTTTCGGTCCAGAGGGAAGGGGATTGGTAGGGGGTAGGCAGTCGTCAACGTACCAGCGTCGCAGAGATGCCCGGGTATCCCACCAGGAAGCTCCTGTTTGGAGGGCCGGAGACCCGTACGCTAGCTGGCGTAGTAGCCATGCTATCGTCGCAGCCGCTGCGGTGGAACTGTGGGTTGTTGCCGTTGTTGATATTGCTGTCGTTGCTGCTGCTGCTGTCTCGGGGATTACGAATGCGCTCAAGGTGGCAGAGGCGTCAGCGGTAGAGCTGGAGGTTCAGCTGCGGTCAGGAGAAGGTCGAGGCCGCGGTGCTGGTGCTGTGCGCTCTCGGAAACGTGGGATTCGCTATCTTTGGTTCCCCCAAGGCCGGGTCGCCAGCAGATGGCCAGCAGGCATAAGCTGCTCGGTGAGTCGCCGTCACGATACCCTATTTCCGCACAAGACACACACGCACGCACGCACGCACACACACACAAGAACAGGCGCTCGGCGGGTCGATGCGAAGGTGGGGTTGGCAGGCCGCGGCCGGGTGGATTTTCTGGTTCACAGGGCTCGAGCCAGCGGGATCGGATCGCCTCGACCGGGTGGTTCTTCAGCAAGGGCTCAGCAATCGAGTTCAAGACGGCGTCAGCCTCGGCGCGCCGGCGCTGGATTGTGTCGATGTTTGCGCAAAGGAAGGCGACGGGCTGGCTGGACGGCGGAGGTTTTGACGCAGCCTGGAGAGCACAGGGCAGAAGCAGCGAGTGGGTGTGGTTTAGGTAAGGCGTTCCAAGCAATGGCGACCCTCGTCAACAGCTGAAATCGGTGGCCCGGGGGAGCCCAGTTGCATTAGCTTCAGTGGAGCAGCTGCAGCGGCTCTGCGCCTGTTGTAGCGGCTGAGGTTGAGAGCTCAGCGTCGCTGAAAGATTTGCGATGGATGCACCGTAATATTGACCGCTTGTGAAAAAAAAGGCCGGGCTGGCGTGTATTACGTCCGGCGAGCTGGCCTTGTGTCTGCGAGTAGTGAGCGCCGCAAGCAAAGAATACTGCGTGGACTTGGAAGCAGCAGCGCTGTATCGACGCAGCACCTGCTCGCACTGAGGAAGCAAAAGCCAGTCGTGGTGATTGAGCTTGGTGCGATGGAGTTGAACCGATTGCCCGTATTGGAGCCCCCGGCCAACGACTGAGGCAGGTTGGTGAGATTGCTCCCAGCACAGACAGCGCAGCGGGGGGGTTTGCGCCGGACCCGGTTGAGATGACGGCCTGCGCCTCTTACGAAGCTTGCCTGAGCTTACTGGTGCCGACGGTGCGAATTATGTCCAATCACAGCACCCCACAGGGACCTGTTGCGAGCAAGAGCAGCGCAGAGCAGAGGAGACTTGGCAGAGCAGATATCAAGCCATTTGATGGATGCGTCCGCTTGCGGGTCAGCCGATGGCCGTTGTACCGTGCAAACACAGTGAAGCATCTGTCAGTCGCCGAGGGGAAACGAAGCGGCTGTGCGACGTGATGATTCCAGCACGGCAAAAGAAAAGAAGGACTGCGATTTGGGGGTGCGGGCCATGCAGATGCAAATACCTACCTCATGTTGGCAGCTAATATGAAAGAGCGCTCTTTACCTACTAGACCTACTAGAGGTACGCAACAGTTAGGGATCCATTACATTACTACAGGCAGGCATTCAACGGAGTGTAGGTACACTGTAGTAGCGCTCGTACCGACTCTGTGAGGCTCCATTTGAGACATTCCAGGCCAGCAAAGTACCCCGCGATCAACGCCGTATTCAGGGCAGAGCACGCATCCGCTGTGGCTGCGTCACGTCAGTGAGTGTAGGATTTCAAATAGTGCCATGTCGTCTCTACAAGTACTACCAGACCAGAGTTCTTTTCTTCTTGGATATATTTAGAAGGGTGCCTATCCATCTAGGTATTCCTAGTATGTAGTAATATATAGCATGGAATATCTACATTACTGCGCTCATACTAGCATCAAGGCTTCATGTTTCTACTTCCTCTATTGCTCTTTAATTAGTGCCAAGGTTTGTTTTAATCTTATTTACTAGCACTATTGCATCTTTGCAGACAAAAGTACTGTCCGCACTGTCCAAAAACGGGCAATGATGGTGCGCGCGCTTCGTATGCCCATTTACTATAGCAGTTCTAGGCACTTCGTGGCCGCGCCTCGCGCATATCCGGCTTATTCGCATCTCTTGAACGAGGTCGTGGACATGGCATGGCCCTGTAGCCGTAAGATCTGTATGTAGAGGCAATATTAACGCTGGTCGTTTTGCTGGACCGCGTCACCATCCACCGTCCTGAGACCTGGTCCCCTGCACCGCTGCCGGTTCTTACCGCAGCGACAGGGGGTTCCAAGGCGTTTTCCCAACCAGCTCCATAACGGCAACGGCCAGAGACGCATTAGACGCGCTGGATTCTGTGTGGCGAGACAAAGAACCTGATTTCCAACCCCCACAGCCGGGCTTCAGATACTAGTGTTCTGACTACAGAGCGGATTGGCAACACTAAGCGCTTCAATCCAGGCATTGTCGCGGCAATCCTGTACATAGTAGCACGCCAGCGCGCGTGGCCCTGCAATTCTGCCGTGCTGTAAGAATAGACGGCCAAGTCAGCCTTGCTGGATCCTCCAACGTATTAATTTAGACCCCAAGACGAGCAAAATGCAAGGCACCAGCACCAGGTAGCGCGCGTAAGACGTCAAAATCCCTGCTCCAGGCCATTATTAAGTATTACTATTCTGCTCGGCCGTCATCAGCTCATCACCGTCTTCTTATTGCCTCTCGCCTGGTTCCCCCTTTTCCCTTTTCTCTTGTTCCGTTTCCAGGCATCTCCAACACCGCGGGATTTGGGTCACATCTCGCAATGTAACCCCTCCACGCGAATCCGGTGGTGGAGGTACATGGTCTGGGGCGGGCCCTGACTGTAGCGTCCATCTGGTGCCCGTTGCGGCTTAGCCTGGGCTGAGCTTCGACAGCCACTTCCGAAGCTTTGGGCCATGACGGGCGACTTTTGTTTTGACGTTGCGGATCTGCTCTGAAATATTCATTGAATAAAGTACTACTACCACGCGGTGGTATTTTTTTTTTTTTTTTTTTTTTTTTTTTTTTTTACCTGACCGCCTCATTGACTACATACCTAAGCTTTGTGATGAGGACTCGGCGACAATCACCGTGTCAACGTGCCTTGTGCTAACTAACTCCATGTACAACGTGACAAAACCGCAATATGGCTGATTCGATGTGGAATTTGCCCTTCATTTGAAGATTGTTGGCGGGACCCAACCGGATTGAACGAGCAATTTGTTTTTATATCACCATGGTTTATTCTGCTATTAACGAAAACTCATCATTTGTATGGCAGTATTTTTTTTTTTTACCTTTTTCCATTTTATCTAACTTGTTGCTGAATCTCGCTGCAGCGGCGCGGTGAAGACACCCTGATACATGTAGATATGTTTGTGATACGGCAGAGGCAGCATTCACCTCCTCTTCTCTGCACGTTGTCGATGATCCTATCGCCTCTAAAAAGCCATGATTCCCATCTCTCCCTCGAACTTCTTTTTTCTCCCTTTCCTCAATTTTTTTCTTTGCCGCCCTTCATGCTTCACCATACATTGTGACGATATCAGGTATATGGTCGCTGCGTCTATCGAAGTTCTCAAGATTCATTAAACTGTGCTTGTCACTCCCAGGAAGACCACAACCCTTGCATTTTTATATGCATAGAAGATACACATGGGAATACTTTATCAACCTATTACAGCTAGCTGGTATGATGTCGACTTCACTCTGTCGGAGAACCACCGAGCTCACGGAGATGTACATGAATGGGCTCGCGCTTGTTTATAAACCATCGACATGAAGACAGTCAATGGTAAAGAAGGTCTCCCAACATCCATGTTCGACTGGCAACAGAAAGAATGCAATGAAAGCCATTCGCAAAAAGCTTCGCCAGCAACAAACATATTCTTCATTAACATCAGCGACGGCTCGGAAAGGTCGTAAAACGCATTATACATAAACAACACCCACGCACGTTATATCATGGAATTTGTCGCAAGACTGGCTGCAATGGCGCCACTCTATTCAGCCAAATCCTCCAAGGCCGAAGCCTTTATTAATGTGGTAGGCAAAGGAAAGGCGAGAAAACAGGAAAACATCATCAACTCATATCAATGGGGATGTATGCTGATTGTCACAGGATACAGAGCTCCCACCAGCAGAGGAGGGAGGAAGGACTAGTAGTGCAGTGGGTTACGTGACAGAGCCCATACTGCTCTTTAACCCAGATCTGTTCGCCAAATTCGTCCTAAAAGAGGTACGAAAGCATAGGGAAAGATTTTTTAGGAAAATGATGATGTTGGTAATACGGAACCAGAAGGGAAATTTTATAATTTATAGGGTACGAGCCATAGGCGTTATACCTATCGCTAGCCATAGCCCAGAGCCCGATCAGACAGATTTACGTCGATTTCTCGAATCATTGAGAGCTTTACCACCTTACCATAGTCGAACTCTTATGAACTCTTGTTTAGCTGTAGCGACTCGGAGAAGAAGCGGCATCAAAGGATTCAAATACTCAGGGATGCTGCGGTCGAGTCTCGGAAAACCACTAAGGTTCCTGCAAGATAGAACATTCATAGGTGGGGATGCTTGCTCCGCGATGGTGTCAATATGATAGACATTGCTGGGGCTAAAGCTGGGGGTATACTTGTCTTTTGATGGGGAAGATTTAGGAATGGGAAACGCCAATTGATGCATCACACCAACGTATCTAGGTACGGTTGAGCCGCCAGAGAAACATCACACACCCTTTATTTAACTAGAAATAAAGACAACTTTAGCGAGCGTACCGAATCGCTTTGCCATAGGGAGTCAACGCCTGTATTGCCTTATTCTGCGCAGAGGTTCCCACCCAGGCAGACGCCATACGGTCTGAACCCCCCCTTGATGGTCATGGTGCCTGCACAAACCCCCCCTTCCATCTACGGAACGAGAATTCTTATCTTATGGTAACCTTATTACGGTACTGTCGGCGTTATCAGAACTCACAGCCCTGGATATGTGCACATGGTTGGTTGCCTATCCAATGAATTACTTGATACAGTGGTAACAATGCACAACAGGCCACCACCATTCATCATTCATAGACTCAGTGTTACACGCCACTATGCATTGTACTACATACAGTACTATCTCATACAAGCAAGTTGAATGCTATTCAAAGATTGAAAATAGACAGACTGCGTAGCAATACTCTTAAAACTTATTGTATATAGTTCTGTCTGTGTGAATATTCATTTTGGTCATGGGGTTGGCTGTGGTGCCGGCTGGCAGCTTTCCAAAACACGTGTGTATATTATGAGTGTTTCATGATTTCCGTCAAATTCGACAAAGTAAGAGCAATGGTTGCTTTCCACCTCATTTTCAATTTGGTCTAGCGCACAAAGATTTGAGAACAATACGCGATGGGACCCTGTTTCTAGATTCGTTCACCGAGTGTGTGATGTTGATAGTGCCCGGAGGAATGTGCCCAGATAAAAGTCTGCTAATCTGTCGAATCATCGCTAAATCTCGCATCTTTACTCCCTACTTCTGATATTCTTTGGCGTGCTACTTTGTCAATTGCGAGAGTCAATAGCAATATGCCAGAGCTGACCCTCCATGTCCCTGACGGCAAATGGAGTCGGGGCCTTTACAAGAATGCCCGACTCCTCGGCTTTGCCAACGCCACGAAAATAGTATAAGCTCATTTCGCAAGGCCTCGGCCGTCGTTGCATTTTGCTGTTAGAGACAGGACCTCCGCAGCCAGACTCATTGTTTGTGAAAACAGTCAATCTCGCCTACCGGCCTGCTTCGTCTTGTTTTTACTTTCCATCCCTTGTGATAAAACTTGGGATTCGCAGTGACTCTCTATTCAGCCAGCGGGTTTGCGTGTATAGTCACCTTTTCGATTCGAAAAGGCTCCTTCGGGCGGCTCTTCTTGTCCACCTCCACGGCCTCCATCTTGGCTAGCGTCACCAAGCCCTCGTCGCCAATCACCTTGCCAAACACGGTGTTCAAGCCATCTAGATGGGGCGCTTTATCGAACGTGATGAAGAATTGCGAGCCGTTGGTGCCGGGGCCCTTGTTGGCCATGGAGACGAAGCCCCGGCCGCCGTGTCTCAACGCGGGCCGGATCTCGTCTTCGAAAGGGGCGCCCCATATCGACTGGCCGCCCTTTGGGTTTTCGGCCGTTGGGTTGGCGGGCGCTCCGGTCTGCACCATGAACTTTGGGATCAGGCGGTGGAAGGGCGACTGGTCGTAGTAGCCGGAGGCGCAAAGAGCCAGAAAGTTCTGGTGCGAGGCACGGGGTGTTAGCAGCTGGAAACCATGTGATTGCGGGGGAAATACTGTGAAGGGAGCTTTTACCTCTGATGTCTTGGGGACGCTCTCGCAAAATACCTCGATCTTGATGTCGCCCAGCGACGTGTGAAGCGTGACAGACATTGTGGCTGGTGAGTTGTGGTTGATGGACGTGCAATATTTCGTGAGCATTGCTGCGCGGTGCTATTTGCTATCTCAAGTGGTAGCTAACTCGATTAGGTAATCGAGCTCTATACTCACAACTCTGTTTGGACTTCCAACGATTTCGAAAAGTAATGCTGTTTAGGGAATATATTTTGTTACTACAAAATTACGAAGTGATTAATTAAAAATAAATCCTATGGCTGCAGCATGTGTCCATAAAATGCAATAAAGTCCCATTTCGCTTAATCTCTCTTTAAACCCAACACCATATCCCATTCTCATCATGATGCCTCCCTTCTCTATACTCCACATCTAAATGTTCTATCTCTCATTCTATCTCATTCTCCTTCATTCATCTCTCAAAGTTTCAACTCTCTAAACATATAGATTGCTTCTCAAACAACAGGTGGTGCCCAATCAAGCACTCGCGGCTCCCCCATTGTACGCCACTCCCTCTGCTCCTGAGGTGTATCTGCATACCTAACGAGGACGACGAAATCCTTCCATTTCCGAGCCTCGATATGCCTCATAGCCGCTTTCACGTCACATAGAACGGCGGCCTTTCCTGGGTGCTTCATCTTTACTTCGAACGAGTTTCCCTTCTGCTCTACAGGCAACAGAACGGCCTCTTGCTCTTCCGTTAACGGGGGAAATAACCCTCTTGCTTCTGCATCCAATCCGCTGGCAATAAACATGCTTAGCTTGGCCCATCCTTGATATTCGGGCGTGTCGAATTGCGGCTGAGACTTTCCACGCCTGGATGTAAATCCAAATGCACACTTCAGTCTATCTAGGAGCTTGCTCTCGTGCTTTTCCCCAGGCTTCCCATCTTGCTTTCCTTCAAGCCGCTGGAGGGCATCTTCTCGGTTGCGTCGTATCTCTTCTTCAATATCCACAGCATCATCACTGTCTGACGTAGACTGCTCATGGGACTGATGATGTGTGAGAGGTTGTTGCGACTGCTTAGCAGAGTCTGTTTGTTTAGTGCCATGACGCACCGTTTGCACAGAGTTAGAAGGCGAAGATGTCTTAGTCGAGGCATCCTTTCTAGAACAGCTTTTGCCAGAAGCGCGAATCGTTTCCAAAGACGAATTTGAGTGCGTAGTCGAAAGCGACCAGTGGCTTTTGAGATTCAAAGTCTCGCCCTCGCCACGCCGTACATCTGCTTCTCCATCATACTCTGTTTCAGTCGTATTTTCTCCATCACATTCTGCTGCAGTCATACTAAATTCTCCATTGTTGTTAACCTCGTCTCCTTGACCAGAAGAGCCCGAATATGGTACGACCGACGTATCAGGGAGATGATCGACCGCATGTCGCCAATTAAGCGTATCTCGAAACCTGATCTGGTACTCTTGACACTCCCATCGAGCTTCCGTATTCCCTTGGATCCTAACTGCCAAACATATTCTAAGAGTCGGCGCAGTTTCGGAGGTGGCTTGAGCTGCGTCAGCATCCGACTCTGAAGAAGGGCAAATGCAGCACAAATTTCCCAACCCCATCGTTAAGGCTTAGAATTGTTCAGCTTTTTTTTTCCTTTATTGGAGGATAGTCAAGTAGCAGGACTTCCGCCGAGTAATTACATCTATATAGAGTCGCCAGTAATTAGCAGCATTAACGGCAAACAAAGAAACAAGTTACACAAAGCCAGAAAGGCCAGAGACATGCTTGGATTTCTCCCGAACAGGTCTGACATACTCTCTCTGCAGTTTCTAATTTCCTCACAATAGCAAATCACATCTATTCATTTACTCATGTCATGTGTTCAAGCCAAAGTCCATTGAACAGCTCAGCTGCATTTTCGAACAATAGCTACCGTTTGGAGAAAGAATAGATGAATAAAATTGTGGTTTCTGTTCTGCTCTGGGCTTTGTTTCGAAAGGTATGCTTCCAAACTCCGTACAATGTCTATTTATAGTAAGCCCCCGTGCGTTATATACTACTAGTTATCGCCACTGCTGGCCAGGAAAAAAAGAAAGCCATGGTCGAAACGCCTTTACCAATTCCTTCCTCCCGTATTGAATGAAGCCAAATGATATGCTACACTATGTTTTTTGTTATAGCAGCGAAGTCTTTGTTTTGTATGTGTTCAATGTAAAAGAGCTACTCCTCATATAGACAAGCTAATCCTTTGATATCGCTCTAGCTGATCGCTTTGCATCTTCAATTCGCCCGTCGCGGGTTCGCCTCTATTTCGTCGCCAATTTCTTTTTTGATTTTTATTATTTTTGTGGCATAAATACCGGCAACCCTTTTGTTTAAGAGCGCCGGGAGCATTAAATTGATGGGAATATCGAGTGTATCTTTTTTATTTTCTTTGTGGCACCTTATAAAACAGTTTGAGCCACGTCGCATGGGATATATGGGCCAACGTCATCGGTCCACCATCGTGTAGAGTGGCAGAAGGTTCAGACTAATGGGCAGTCGACCATCTAAAAACATCAACCCATGCGCCGTCTCTTACTCTCGTGATTAGGGCTACCGTTCAAACCAAGGTCGTCTCGATGAATCTCCTCGGTCCCCGCAGGACTTGGAGTATCAAACTTATGATTTGATGCATCAAGTCCGTTGGGAAGTCCATCTGCATCGAGGTTGAAGTTGAAATCATTTCCGTCTCCAAAGTGAGCATCGTTCAGGAAGGCATTGCTATCAAAAAACTGGTCCAAATCGACAGGTGGAGCGTCGAAATAGGCTTCATTTCCATCGTCTATGCCGGGAATGTGTCCATTTGGACTTAATGGCCCCAAAATGCCGCTTAGCTCGTGAATCTTTGCATCCTGTTCACTCTGTAGCCGTTTGAGTTGTTCAAGTTCATTCTGGTTCGTGCTGATATGTTGCAGGGATGGCGCTGGCATAGTCGGTGACCGCATGATTGGTGAGAGCGATGGCGCTACGGGGCTATTATCTTGCACTGGGGGAGGGGCGGCTGAGGAGGTAGGAGGGGCAGGTCTTTTAGGTAAAGGATCAGACACAGCAGGTACGTTTGGCACTGCGGAAGATGTCGATCGTGCTGCCATTAGGTTGACCAGTTTGCTCCTCTGGTCGTTGCTCAAGGTATTCGGAGCATTATTGACAAGATCGGTTGCGTCTGGTAAATCAAGAGGGTTGTTTGCATTATGGTCGTTTATTATCTTCATCATCCGTTCATGAGGGTTGGCCTCGAGTTCTTGCCTGAGAGTCGGTGTCGTATCCGATGGTGATGTATCGAGAAGCTCAGTAACATGCCCCATTTCAGGATGAACCCCTAGAGGATGATACGGTGTGCTGCTGGTCGACGGCGACCGGCTCGGCTGAGCTGCTGGATGGCTGACGTCGGGAATTCCTGGAAGTAGTTTCTGGGACTTTCTAGGTGTAGGAACGCTTATTGAGCTGGCAGTGCTGGGTTGGTGAGCCTGAAAGAAATCGCCCAAATCGACAACACTGCCCTGGTGGGTTGGCTGTTGGCCTTGATTGGCAAGCATGCTTGAGATGATATCACCGACATTCTGGGAGTTACCCTGATCCTCCAGTGTTTTTCTGAAGACGTTGGCTAGGAAATTAAGAATAGCATTAATCGAGTTCTGATGTCGGTCATGCTGGGTCTGAAACATAATCGCCTGGTTGTATAAGTCGTTGTTATTTCGCTGTAAACGGTTGATGGCTCCGAGAATCAGCTTTTGCTGCTCTCGCACTTTCTGTAGCTCCTCCTTGATCAATGTCATTTCCTTCTTCGGAAGGGGCTGATTAGCTTCAGTCCCAGCAGCGGGTAGAGATCGACCCGTATTGTTGGCCGACGGAATACCCTGGTGAGCCAATATATCTTCGTGGATAACGTCTTCTTCACTGTCTCCGTCGCCATCCTGGCCCTTGTTCCCCTTTTTGGATTTGCCACCGCTCTTCGGCTTATTAATGAGCCATAGAAGATTCGGGTGCCCTCGTCGGAAGTATGGATTCGAGTACTCGCTTGGACTCTTGTTTTTGCGCTCACTCGCTCTCATAGAGTTATCTGACAGTCCTACGCACTTGTGGAAGCCATACATGTTGAGCTGCCGTACGAAAGACGCATAATTGTTGTGCTTAAACAACTCGGGGATGAGCGTCTTGGCAAACTCATCTTCGTCAAGCACAATGAAAGAATCGCCCTTTTCCGACCAGCGAATCAAATCTTCATTCTTTCGTTCCTCGAGGAAGCTAATTTAAATTTAGTTTGTCATGTTGCTGCTAAGAGTTTTGCGTTGTGAAAACTTACCTGCTCAGTTTTTGAACAAACGGCGGAATTTGCTTCCTTTTGGCCTGGGCTTCTCGCTTCGCCTTCTGGGCCATTTCTTCCAAAACTTCCACGTTATCCTGCTCAACTCTACCCTCCGTCGCGTTCTGCGGGACGAGGAGGCTGTCATCGCCAAAGGCGGCCCACTGGTCCGAAGAAGGGTCATAGGAAGCTCTAAGATTCGTGGGAACTAGAGCGCGGTTCATTTGTCGCCGTGCAAGTGAGTTGGATGGCGCATTCACCGCCGGGGGATAAGTCTGCTGTGCTTGCGCAAGCCCATATGGATCCTCGCGGTGTACTGCGGCAGCACTAAAGTAATCGGTCGGTTCGGACGCACCGCCAGCGGCATTCCATTGCATCATAGGGTTCGCTCCAGTGTTGTGGTCGGCTGTATGTGATTGCGGCACATTCCGCTGGATTGGTACGACTGGAGCCGCACCGGGGGCTGCTCGCTTCCTGGAATTTGATGCAGACATGGATAAGGATATACGACGGCGTCGTAGCCGGTCGCTGAGCTATTCAAGCAAGGAATTGAGAGAGAAGATACGATAGAGTGACGGAACCTGTTATCGAATGAAACAAAGCCCAGTCGCGATATCGGAAGCTGATGGATGATGCCTGGAACAGTGCTGAGCCCGCAGCCCAAAGGCAAGGTAAGCAGCCTGCAGTATCTTGAGAAGCAGGCCAGTACACTGCTGCATCCAGCAACAGTGAGCCGACTGGGAATGGGCGCGCGCGGGAGATTAGCGCCTGGCCTCGGCCCGGAGAGAGAACACGTCGACTTTCTTGGCTGATTATTCAAAATCGAGATCGATAAGCCAGTTGCGAGAAGGCTGAGATTCGCTAGCCGCAGCAATGAGCTGGGCGTATATGAAAATGATGCAAGTGTGGCACGCGCGGCTGGCGAGATGATTAGGCAACCAGTTGCAGCCTGGAGAGCAAAAAAACCAAAAGTACCTTTTCTTTGACGGTGCCTTTGTCTCGCCGTTGGGATCCTGCAGACAGGGCGGTAATCCGAGCTCTCTGAATTTTGCCGGCGCGACGCTCGTTGGGCGGATTCAGCTGGGCTCTGCGTCTACCGCAATCAAAAGAGGGAAAATTCTGTTCAGCTGCAGCGAGACCTTGCTCCGGGCGCGGGTGGACGGCAATATAGGGCGTGCGCAGGCTCGCAGCAGGCGGTTCGTTTGTTAGGCTGGCCGAAATTGCAGCCCAGCTCGATGGCAGAATGTCGTGCGTGGTTGAGAAAATGCTTGATTTCACAATTACAAAGTACTTTCGCAAGTGGGCTTCGGTCAGCGGTCTAAGGATGTCATCGCGGTATCTAGCCAGATCGACCAATCAGGACGCGAGGTGATAAAGGCTATTCAGCGAAATAAAGCTTCAAACACGTGATGATAAGCCGCCTTGCCCGGGCTAGTCGCCAAAAAAAAAAAAGGGTCGTCAATGGAACAAACAAACTTTGTTCAGTGTCCAATCTGAATATGGAAAATTGCGGAGGAATATCCGGAGCTTTTCGAGCAAGAGATTAACATCCATTATAAATAGCTCACAAACATGGCTTAGCTTCCTGCTTTAGAATTACTGCCCTCGGACAGGGATATTAGCCAAAAGATGAAGGCTTACATGTTGCATGCAGTAAAGCCCACAATAAAGGAACGAAAATCATTGCCCAAAGTGGTCTTATCGCACTCATAGCATCTAGTCCGGACCGTTCTACTCGTTACAAAATCATGAGATATCAGAATGGCTCGTTTTTGAATTTATATGCCATGAAGTCATGGATTTGCCAGAGATATATAGCTCTTGCAAGGTCTTTCTGGCTCTCTGTTATGCCCAATTCATCCAGCTATCTTTACAAAAAAGTAGCAAAAAGACGAGATCTATGACGAGTCCATTGGGACTGACTAAAAGCAAAAAACAATGTCCTCGGTGAGGCTCGAACTCACGACCTTCAGATGGCCCAAACTGATGTTTGGATCATATCGATATCAATATGAGACTGACGCGCTAGCCAACTGCGCCACGAAGACTTTGTTGAAGACCCGGGCTTGCTAAACTTGATGAGAAACCTCAATTCTGCTTGCGGCTTTCCATTTTTGACAGTCGTTTCTGAATTCGAGGCAATCTTGAATCAAATGGTATGTAGAGCCTAGCTAAGATGGCGTGGGGTAGTCTCTGCTTAGTATCACATAGTTGAAGAGTAGTGGCTCTTGGCTTCCTTAGCTGAAATTGAGTATACCCAATATCTTGATTCAGATTCAGCATAACTCATGATCAATCAACGATGAGCTTGCCGCTATATTTCTCTCATACACTGATATACAGAAAATTAGAAAGACAATAGCAATAATAGTAATAGCCAAAGCACGACCCAGTTCAAAGTATCCCATACGCTGCGCCATAATACCAAATATCGATGTAAAGAGACATTACATTAAGTGAGCGCCATAGACAATCCAAAACTTCATTTGGCTCCTCTGCCGGCTAACGAAGCAGCACGTGCCATTTGAGCATTCTTTGCTTGATCCCACGCCCTCCCAGATCCACCAGCTCGAGCCTCTCGCTCAGCCCGTTTCTCTTCCTTCAACGTCCGAGCCTTCTCCCGAGGGTCAATGACGACCAGCTCCTCTTCAGCCTTCTTACGGTTACTGAGGTCTTTGCCTAGTTTATCAGCCGCAAACGAAAGTGCGTGTGACATCCATCCTTCGTCGTCACTATCCTCCTTTTCTTGTTTGTCCCATGACGTACAGCTTTGGCAGTTTGCAATAAAGTGCAAATCACACAATTCTGCTTCCTCATCCGGTAAGGGCTTCTCTGCTTCATCCCCCTCATTACTGACGGGCGTTTCTGCAGCTATCTCTTTAGACGGCGGAGCCTTGTCAAGCTTCGCTTGGAAAGCTTTCAGTAGGCGAAGAGATGTCTGTTCTTCGCTTGCGGTTGTATTATTACCACCAGGCCTTCTTTTTCTTCCTCGAATGGATGTTTCAGGTATCATTGTTTCTAACGCTGATTTTTTCCTTTCTTTGACTGGTTGCTCGGAATGGATCGTCCTCCTCATTGATGCCTTGAGAGCCGCTAGCTCTTCATTAGCCCTTTCTAATGCGCTCTTTTCCTTGGGCGGCTCTGGCTCGGGTGATGGTTCAGGCGACGGTTCCTTGTGTCTCTTGGGCAGATGAATATGCCTTGGCCTCTCCTCTTCCATTTCTTCATCGCCCTTGTTCCCAGCAGCCGGTCCGTCTAGCTTATCATGGGCGGCCGGGATCTCACTCGTTTGCTTATCCACAGCCTTTGGTTGAGAATGCCTTGATTTTGAGCTCTTTTCTCGCGGAGCAGGAGGTTCTTCTTCCTCTGCCATGACTATTCTTGAGTCAAACTTGGCCTTCTTAAACACAGGCACGTCCTCATCGCCCTCTTCATCTCCAAAGCTGAGCAGCTGCTTTCCACCCTTCCTTTTCTTCTTCTTTTCTTTCTCTACTTTTGGTTTTTCCTGTATTTGTGCCACCCTCGATCGCTTTGTCATATCACTAAAGGGGTTGACCAGGATTTCCACACGCTCAATCTTTACTGGATATAGCGGTCGTTCGGTCGTTTCGTCCACTTCTGATTCACCAATCTTTGCCAGGTTGTAAATTGTGTCTCCAGCAACTCTACCAAACATTGTGTTCTTGCCGTTCAGCTCCTCTGCCTTGTCTAGTGTAAAGAAGAATTGACTTCCGTTCGTATCTGGTTTTCCTTCGTTGGCCATGGCTAGTATGCCACGTCGGTTGATCTTTAGCCGGGAGTGAAATTCGTCTTTAAAGTTGATGCCATTGGATCCTGCGTTCTGTCCATGTCTCTGGTCCATAGGCCAAGGATCCAGGTCGCCGCCAAAGGCGCCTCCGTCGTAGATTGATTCGCCACCATTTCCGGTTCCTGTAGGGTCACCACCTTGCACGATGAAGTTGGGAACGAGTCGGTGGAAGATTGTGCCGTCGTAGTAGCCGTCAAGACAATGCTGAAGAAAGTTGCGGCACGTCAGTGGCGTCTGCTTGGCGAAGAGCTCGACATGGATTTCTCCCAAGGTTGTGTGCAGAATCGCCGAGCCCGTAGGCTGTGGCTCGAGGTTGTAAATTGACGACATGGCCAACCGTATTTCATGAACCCTCCCTCGTGGGTGGCCTTTGACCGTAGCTGTCGCAAAAGTTGGTTGCTGAACCACGCGAGCTGGAGCTTTTGAGGCTCGACACTCAACCCGGTATCGCGTGGGATCCACTGTTATCGATAGCAGCGATTAAGCGTCACTCAAAGGTTCTACGAGCATGTGAACATGCAGAGTGCATACAGATACCTAACACGCAATTCTAAGCAGCCGTAATGCGCTTATATCCCAGTAAACTCGACACTCTATTCCTATTCTTTTTAACAAGCGGAAAGAGTTTGGCTGTTCAATAATTTTAACGGCTGCACAGGCCTCTGTCTTGACGGGCATCTAGTTAGCTTACACAAATGCACATCGTGAGCCCTACCCTAGAACATGGCGATTATCGCCGTTGGAAGCGAATATCAGCCCCTCTGTTCATTCTTGGTGACTATAGGCATTTCAATTATAAATACCTATATAGAAAAGAAGCCACTTGATATAATTATTGGAAGTAGTTAGGGTATGGTGCGTAATGTTTGTAGTGTTGACTATGCACCGATAATAGCAAATTAGTCAAGTAGAGAGACTTTAACATAGTAAACAATGATGGCTCACAGACTTGAAGGAGCGCACAAGATACTGAAAGAGACTAGTCTGAGATTTCATCTCACGAGTCACAATACACAGGATACAAAAAGGAAAAACTAAAAAACTAAAAAAAAAACTGAGGAGACGTCCCATCAACAAGAGGTTTTACGGAAAGCGTCGTACTGTACTTTGGCCTAACTCGATGGGGATAATGAGAAGATACTATAGAGAAGTACTAAAATACGCCTTTTCGATCAACCAACATCGGATAGGTAAGGACTTCTTGCGTCTCTGTGCCTGTGGCTGAAATTTTTTTTAAGCTTAGAGCGCTCTCCGCATGTTCGCACTCAGTTTGGGGCTAAGCCGTGAGTTGCAGGATCGCAAAGCGGCTCAAGCGCCGTGAGCAACACGGGGAGTCGGACAGGGCAAATGAACCGATTGGCGGAAGCTCCAACAAAGGCGGCCACTTTTGTTAGTGGCGCACTTGGTGTTGAGTTGACATGCAAATTGAGAAGCTGGGTGCGTGGGGCTGTGCCGGGTTGCTTCAAAATCATGTACAAGTGAATAGTATGTCTAGGTGCTGCTTGTGAATGCAGCAAAGACAATGATGAAAGGTACCAAGATGGGAAGAAGAGGCTGCTTCTGTTTGCATCACCATCCAACCGGCGCTGCTTCTCCAGTCTCACACCTGTTTCACCTCGTCCAATAATCGCCCGATCGACGGCTCCTCAGGCGGGTGGTTCGACCGCCAAGCTGCCATCAAGCTAAACCCACCGTCAGCCAATGCTCCAGCGAAGCGTAGGGGCTTAGCACCAAACGTCAGCAGCCCCAGCCCCCCTAATTTGCCCGAGCGGCAGCTGCTGGCTGATGTGCCGATGCGAGGACGTCACCGTCGTCACAGCTAGCAGAGCTCCGGCGATTCCCTGTTTTTTATTTATTTATTTTCTTCTTTACATCTCTACTGGTCCTGACTCTGTAAGGCGAGAGGGCGTCGTTGGGCATTGCGTCCTTTGCTTCTGCTGATTTCATATTTTGCCGCGTCGTAAAAATCAACGGCTTCCTATTGCCATTGCTGTCTTTATTTACTTCACGTGTTAATAGATTGATACCCCCTCCAAGTCGCCAGACAAAATGAATCCCGCAAAGCTTCTCGAGGAGCACAACGCTGCTGTTGCCAAGATCCAAGAACAAGTCAAGCACTTCTACGACAACAAGAAGCAATTTCGTGTCTATCATGGCTCTACTAGCTCCACGCGCCCGCTGTCCTTCAAGGCCGATGCTATTGTCGACACTAGCAGCATGGACCGCATCTTCCCTGTGAACCTGGAGACCATGACCGTGCAGGCTGAGCCCAAGGTGCCCATGGATGCACTGGCTGCTCACACTCTCAAACACGGTGTTATCCCCAAGATTGTGATGGAGTTCAAGGGAATCACTGTTGGTGGCGGCTACTCTGGCTTTTCTGGCGAGAGCAGCATGTACCGCTATGGCCTCTTCAACAACACCGTGTCCGAGATTGAGATTGTGCTTGGCGACGGCACGCTGGAAAAGGCCAATCGCGAGCACAATGCAGATCTGCTCGAGCATGCCGCCGGCAGCTTGGGCACCTTTGGCATTGTTACCCTGCTCACCATTGAGCTGATCCCGGCCACTGCGTACGTTCAACTGGACATCCAGCTGGTAGATGACGTTGCCAAGGCCCACGATCTGTTTGAGGCAGCCACTAAAGACGAGTCAATCCACTTCATCGATGGTGTCTACTTCCGCAGGGGCGTAATTGTCGTCATGTTTGGCCGTTTTGTCAAGACTCTGCCCAAAGGTAAAACCCCTCTGAAGAAGATGGAGGTCCACTGGTTTGCCGACACCATTGAGGCTGCTATCAAGAAGCAGCCTACGGCCGAGAAACCCACGGACCTCTACATGTATACTCCCGACTACCTCTTCCGCTACGACCACGGTGCTTTCTGGGGTGGCAAGCTTGCATTCAAACATTTCCACGTGCCTGAGAATGCCATCACTCGCCGCCTCGCCGACCCCTTCCTCGATAGCCGTACCTGCTACCACGCACTGCACAAGTCCGGCCTTGCCAACGAATATGTCGTGCAAGATTTTGGTATCCCGGCTAGCACTGTGAAGGAGTTTATTGCCTTTGTCAACGACACGCTGCCGGAGCTGCAAATCTTCCTGGCTCCTTGCAAGGCTCCCAAGGAGATTGGTCTGACATCTCGTTTCAATGCCCGTGTCGATGAAGTCTCGGATCAGCGTATTTTTGCCGTCGGTGTCTATGGCCGCGGGCCTCGTGACCCCAAGGCCTTTTACGAGCTCAACCGCAAGCTGGAGCTGCGCAGCGCCGAACTCATGGGAGCCAAGCTCTTGTATGCGCGAACATACTATACCGAGGACGAGTTTTGGCTCATTTACCGCAAGGATGTCTACGACGAAATGCGCAAGAAGTACAGGGCTGAGACGCTGCCCTCTGTCTATGACAAGCTCAAGGCCGACATGGACACAGGCGCAGGCAAGCGGAGACCTGTGCGCGGCATTCTCGAGACGATGTGGGACAAGGCCGTTGGCAACAAGGCTTATATCCCTGTGAAGAAATGAGCACACGGCCTGCGAAATACGGGCGATTTTCGTCTGCTTGTTCATAATGCGTTAGGGGGGGGGGACGATTAATGTGCGACATGTTGGATATGTCTAATTACAGAGCTTTGTCAGCCTGTGTGATTGATACCCCTGACTCTCTTCTATCTTTCTTGTTTATTGATATAGAAAGATGTCTTTCTCTCCTTCTCCCTTTGTCGATGGAATATTGCTTAATGATACCAAGACTGCGCTCGTCTAATACATTCCATAGAATAATTTTTTTTTGATATTTTTTACTACGCCTTTTTGTACAAAATGTGTGCTTCTTTTATCTACAGCAGTGTGTGATTCATCATGAATAAACTTTTCCTCTTCAGTCATACATGCCGATAATTTCACCGACAACACTGCGATAAATGCCCTTGGGATCAAACTTTTGCCGTACAGCTTTGAAGCGAGAGAGGTACTATCTTCAGTCAGCTACCAAAACATTCAAAGGAGAGAACAAGCAGTGGAAATCGTGAAATGGGGAACTTCTACTCACGCTCGGATCCAAGTTCTTGACTGCACGCTTGAAGACATCGCGTGTATTCTTCGTCCAGTGAGGTCGACATGGGAACTCGTCAACCAACGTATTGGCCAAGTTGATGTCTGGAAAAGAAATCAGCCATATTCGCCATCATGTTTTCACTTCTCCCGAGTCTGATGATGGGTCTTCACTTACAGAATGCCTCATTATATCGCTTCTGATCCCCAATACTGGGGCGGAAGGAAGGGAAATCAAACATGATGGCGCCTTTGCTCCAATCCTGCCCATCAGCAGTGCCAGTCGTGACCTGGCCGAGGAAATCAAAGTGAGCCTTGCCAAACTTGATGTTGATGCCGCTCCGGTACGTAGACGCCATGGGCATCCCTTTAGCCGTTTCCGCATCGAAAAGGGCACGAATTCGCTTCAGCACCTCGTTTGCTCTCGTCACGGGAAAGGCCAGTTCAAGCGTATATCCCTTGAGCCCATATTCCCACTCAGGTCGCTGTCCGGGATACAAGCCGCCAATCAGCACATCGTAGTTCCAGCCGTAGACGGGCCAGTCCGTGATTTCAGCGTCGGTGATTTTGTCGTGGAAGTTTGGCTTTTCCCAGAGCCCGAAGAAGATGGCTTCGGAAGCGAGGTTGGGTATGGAGCTGAATTTGCCGCTGTTGAGGAGGACGACTGCTGCGCCTGCTTCGAGGGCTGTGACGGAGAAGGTGGATTGGAATCCGAGCTGGCTGCTTGTGTTTGTGGGCACGATGTCGTAGGTGCGCCAGTGGAATTTGCGCTGGGAAGGCCACCACTGCATAGGGGAAATATGAGTGCTCCCTTTCATGTTTTTCTCATCTTGTCTCTTTTAAAAATAAAGATGGCTTAGGTGTTGGACTTACCCAGAAATTGGCTGTCAGATATGGCGAGATTAGGTTATAAATGTCGCCGTTGAGAACATCCTTCTCTTGGAGACTGGAAGACTGTTAGCTGTAGATCATGAAGTTGGTGAGGTTGAGAGCGATAGACTATAGAAAGGAACACCAACGTCGTTTGCATGGCGTATACTTTGGTCTCTGGGAAGATTTGCATTTTGATCCTCGCAATAATCCCCAGCAAGCCCAAGGACGTCGAGGCAGCAAGCCAATCCTCATTGCTCTCATCTCGCTCAACCCGTCGAATATCTCCGTTGCCATCAATGATATCCAACGCCAGCGCGCCACCAACAACCACGGCATCCTCCCTCAGCGAAGTGCGATGCGCGCCCATGGCGATGCTCCCCCCCAGCGTGATATTCCAGTTCACCAAGCCAGTGCCGATATTGGCGCCCCGTTCATGGAGATACTCGGCAAGCTGGAAGAAAGT